CAATAATAGAAAACCTATATATATATATATATTGCAATTCCTTTCCACTAACTAATAATGTCATCAGCCTGTCACGACTAGTATTAAATATGATTTTTCTACGTGTATGTCTTATTTATGGTTATCTGTGACTGTGACTGAATGGACATTAGTATGCGCGGGACGGTAGCGACGGTCGAGAGGTGGCGAGGAACCCATTTAGATGCGTGTACACATCGCCAAACGGGCTTTGCATCCCAAACTGGATTCCATAACGATTAAATTATATATCAAATTAATAAAAAATATATAAAAATTCACTATCCGATCCCTCTTGGATGACTAACGTTTTAATATTCTATTTTAACACTTCAGTCGGATCAATTTACTATTGTTGCTTTCTTTATAAAGGATTTCTGTTTTGCCTCAGCTTCGTTTCAAATGATCGGCGATTTAAATAAAATTGACAGTACATTAAAAATGTTTAGCAATGAAAGATAACATTCGCGGGTAAAATGTATTATTAGATATATGTATATATGGTTGATATAGTTTAGCGTTGGCAGCGAACGGTCAACGAGTACAACATGTCCGCCGACTAGTCCGCCCGCGGTACCAGGCGCTCATAACATGTATGGAGCTTTACGATTCATTCAAGAGCTTCTTTATGAATGAATTATTATGTATGTGTGCGTATCTCGTATAGCGCGGCTGTGTGTGTGTGTGTGAGCATCGAACACGTGTTTGTTGAGTCAACATGTTAGGCCGTTCATGAGAAATTTTCTTGTGTCAACATCTGAACTTGCTTAGACAGAAATAACTCGCAGCTTTGTTTTCGCGAACAACTAATATAAATGGCCAGCCTACCATTCCTACACGCTTCTTATGTTGCTATAATATGCTCGTTTACCTAAATTTAACTCTTAATATTATTACAAGAAAAGAGTAGTTTTTAAATGAAAATTATTTTAATTAAATTATGGCCAGTAATTTCTAAATAATTTATATAATTTTGTATAAGAACTAAGGGTAACAAAATTGAAACACAAAAACAATTTTTTTTATAATGAGTCGTTCTGTTGATGTTTTTATTGTCATGAACACAGATAATCAATTGACTCACATCTGGAGACATTTAATGCGTCTGAATATTAATGGACGAATAATTTTATTATTAATTATTCGTTATACACTTAATATATAAAATATATACGGAACCCTAAAAAAAATTAACGTACAGTATCCGATTTAAACTTGTGTTTTAAACCAGGTGACATTCGAGCGTTTCCACTTCATAGACCATAAAAAAACTGTTCAGCACGCCACAGAGTATAGTGTTACTGGTAAAAATATTAATTTATTTTTAATACGTCTCATTATTTTAATTCATAAAGTTTGAATATGATAAAACATAATTAATATTTGGCAATTATTATCTGTTTTTTTCCTGTTAAAATACAGATAAAAAGTAGGTATATATGTTTTTTATTTTATTTTAAGTAACAGTAATTAGGTTTGTATAATAGAAATATTAAGGTTAAATGTTTACAAACTGCGATCAAAGTAACAAATATTTAGTATGGAATGTATAACGTCATGGAGTACATGTGTGAAAACATACACTTAGTTTTGGCAACATCCTGCGTGTACTACAACAGGGGATGTAGACACCGCAACATCCTGAAGTATCGCGTTGACAATGTTTATACCATCAATATTAATTATATTGAGACATTATTACTTTTTCTATACATATTTTTATTTAACTACATCTAAAAGTTGCAAAGCATGATGTCAAAATAAGAGTTTTTGTATCAGCGCCATCTATTGATACAAAATGAAACTTTGTGAATTATTTTGTTTCTTAATTTTTGATAGAAATTAATTATAAATTATAAGCCTTTGTTATAGCTCAGTATATAAAATATTTTTAATATACATTGACTATTTATTTACGTCTTCGCTTGTTTGTTTGTTTATTCTACAGCTCCCCTATTTCAGACATTTATAGAAGAAATTGTAAACTGTGCATTCTACATAGTTTAAACACTAAATAATAGGTTCAGTACAATTGGTTAAAGCATACAAAGTATTAAACTTAAGCCTTTATATTCATTCTATTTGTAAAACAGTATAGGATGGATGTAATTATTTTTTTTTGAACAATAAAATCGTTAATTATATTTACTTAAAAACTATAGGAAACCTTTAATTTTTTGTAATAACTCACTAGAATTCTTATCAAAAAGAATTCTGTGTTAAAACGTAATCTTCATTAAATGTTTTTTGTTAACATGATATAAAATGTAACAAAACTTTTGCACTTAAAAAACATTCTTTAAAATAATTAGTAGCGAAAAACTGTATTAAATGTTATTAATTAATATTTTATAATATGATATTCATATTAAATTTTAGCTGTATAATATACATCTTAGTACAATTATACATTTTTTATCTGTTGAAATAAAAAAAATTGCCGCAACGACGGCCATTTTGTTAGAAATATTCTTATATTTTTATGAAATATGTAACATTATTATTTTTTAGGCTTACATCGTATATATTTCAATGAAACTTTTGTTAATATTTGTTACGTTTCATATATAGTAACACTATTGTTCTAATTACTAGAATACAGATAACTTATCAGTTGTGAACATTCTGGTTACATTGTTAAAAATTAAATATTAATATATAATTATGGTTAAAATGTTCATTTGAACATAGCCGAATAATGGACCATGGTATATAATGAAGAATTATAATATATATATATATGTATATATATATGCTTGTGTGAGTGAGTGTATGTGTGTGTGTGTGTGTGTGTGTGTGTGTGTGTGTGTGTGTGTGTGTGTGTGTGTGTGTGTGTGTGTGTGTGTGTGTGTAATATTATTACAAAGTATACTTTTCTTTAAAAATCAACAAGTTCATTATTAAAAACAAACCAACATTATTAGTAGAGATCGACAAATAACTATATTGTATTAAATTTAAAAACCTTTATTTCCATCGAACCTTATAATAATCACAATTAAATTCGTCTAAATATTTTACGCCTGCTCTTTGTAGTGAATCCTTTATTCAATGTACGGATTAGTATGGCGCTAAGTGTAAGTAAGTACGTGACCACATGTTCGTTAAATACTGAAAACAATAAGCCCCTATGCTCGGCCCACCCTGACAAACCTACCGCTGTACTGTTATGAACTTTCACTAAGTATATTAATATGTATATAATAACTAATTAATAAAGAGTATTCATTTAAATGTAACTTATATTTTTCGGATTACTATGCGTATTTTATTATTGTTAAAACTACGTACTCCCGAAGTTTCGGTTACTTTTACTTACAGCAAACGTCGGAAGTATGTAGTTTTTACAATAATAAAATACGTATAGTATTATTCGAAAAATATTAGTTGTATTTTACTAATAAATTAATCAATCTTTTAACAGATATATACATATATATAGGAATAATAAGGAAAAAATATACAATTTATAAAATAATTTTTAGTTAATCAATCAATCTTTTAAAAGTTCGTCATTTGTTTGAAACGTTCCAAAATAATCAGATATACATATATACAGGAATCATTCCCAAAAGAGGGTTGATGTCAGGCAGGCAGCCGGTCGCATAAACAATAAGCCAAAACTATTCACAACATGTAGGGCAGAGCCTGGCTAAAGCTTTGAAATTGCCACGTAGAAAGACAGAAAGACATATAAGTATATAGGAATAATAAGGAAAAAATTACTTATGTTCGTTATTTACGTATTAGAAAGAAATAATTAATGATTAACGAAGGTTAACAGTTGTGCCATAAGAAAGGAAAAGGATATCTGAGTTCAAGTTTAGTACAGTCTGTGTTGCAGGTGCATGTATAACGAGGATGCGTCAAATTATTCTATTCGGGCTTCACCTATTTGCTAATCGTCCCAGCCCCTTTGTTAACAGGCTAAAACACGCGGTTTTGCTCGCGTAATTCAAGAATAACTCTAAAAATTAGTAGCATGTATGTAAATGGATACTTTTAATTAAGTTTATAATATATAATTCTCTTATTTTCTCTTTTGAATTGTAATATAAGTAAAATTTACATAGTCTAATCTTACATCCATTAATTTTTAGCAATACTAAGTATGATATTTATAATTTTTGTGTATATTGATGTCATAAAAGTATATGTAACTTCCGCGAGTATTTACCGACTTTTATTATGGATGATTATGATAATCTTTCGCCATATGTCCTACTTCCGTTTAGAAACACGAAAACTTAAATTTGATACACTTGTACAGCTTCCTCTTGAGAATTATAAGATGTCTTTGATGTTCGCTATAAATACTAATAAATATATTATTATTAATATATATATTTCTGGTATTCAAATATACTGTAGAAAGATTGTATATGACAATAAGTAAGCGACAATTTACAAGCCATTAGTTTCCATAATAGTTAAAAATGGCCGACAAGACGGAAATGTCTCAACGAACAAGGGAGGGAGACAAGGTGTTACATGATTGACCTGTCATACTCTTTAGAGGAAACTCACGTTACTCGTTAGATTGCAACAATCATGATTGCCACGCGCCATTTATTAAAACTATTTTTAGGTTGAAATTCAGCCGTTTATTTAAGATAACAATCTAATTTTATGTTGTATAATTATTGAATAATCTAAAAGCCTAGAATGTGATTGAAATGATTTGTGGATTGCATTGAGTGTTTCACAAACTGACGTTTGAAATGTCAGTTTGACATATAGATATTGAATCATATATTTTTTAAATGTTTTATGTTTATGACTATGATTTAATGAATATTCTGAACGGAATAAATTTAACATAAAAAATGTTTATGATTTAAAAATATAATAGAAGGATGAAACTTATCTATAAAATCGTACGTAGTCTTATCATGTAAAAAATTAGCTTAAGTTTTGTTCCTATGATTTTAGTCCTTTCTTTATAGAGTTTCCTTTGGTATAGAGTTTTCGATCATACTTACCGAGTGATGCCTCAGGGTCTGTGAGGTCGGAGAGTGAAGGCACCTTCTGCATGGCTCGAGGTTCTTCAGGCTCTGGAGGCTCTGTCTTAATATTCTCTGAAGCGCCGCCGCCTTCATCGCACTAAGAAACAATGATAATTACTATCAATCTCAAGAATTTTATTTAAAATAAATTAATTAAATTATCTATCAAAATATTTAGAAAAAATGAAACTAATATTTTCGGATTTTACTTCGCGTTTTTTATTTTTGATTACAAACTACATACTCCCGACGTTTCGGCTTTTTTACAGCAACCGTGCTCACGGGCAGACGCGATCATCATCCTACTAATATTATAATTACGAAAGTTTGTGAGTGTGTGTATGTTTGTTACTTCTGCACGCTCAAACGGCTGAACCGATTTTGATAAAATTTTGTATACAGGAAGCTGACGTCTAGGAATAACACACAGGCTACTTTACATCCCAAAAATTTCGGAAATCCGCGGATAACACCGCGGGGCGCAACTAGTATTAAATAAAGTTGGAAAAAAAATAAAAAGACAATATTTTAAACAATAAACTACATGCTAAGGCTGTATATGTTTAAACATATATTTTTTAAACAATGACATATCCCAACAGGAACTTGTTTCTAGACGTGTGTCGCTTGTCATCGGATCTTATAATATTCAAGATGCGATCTGTACTTCCGTTATACGTCCGTGAGACTTTAAATTTGCAAATAATTCAATCTAATAAACTATTACTATTATTCTTGTATGGATTTCGAGAATACAATATAAATTATTGAAAGATTCTTAGTATATATGTACGCCTTTTATTGATTCTTTTATTATTTTAACATTATTGATAGTTGCTTACTTGAAGCAACAAAATATATATTTAAAATTAAACATTGGCGTTAAAAAAAGAAGAAAAGACATAAAACTGCGTTTAGTTTTTTAATATAAAACGTATCCGTAAAGTATCATATTTTTATACGTGTAAGAAAAACGTAAGAGAATAGATTTTTACAATTTTATATTATTAATTTTTTCATATCAAAAATAAAGTTTATGAATTTTATATAAGTATGGTCGTTTATAAAAATTAAGAAACATGATAAAAGAAAAAAACTAAACCGTAAATATGTATCTTCGAAATTAAGAAAAATCTTAAATTAAACAGCATCTTATTATATGAACACTATATTTCTAAATATATGTTTCTATAATTTTAGCCATTTCTCTTTAAATCATGTAACATTCATTATATGTACAAGATGCTAAAACTTGTTTTTAAATCCATGCCATTGCTTCATTTGCACTGGAATCGTGGAATATTTTGGTAATTAAGGTTTTTATTTGTTAAACGAATTTGTTTGAAACTTAAAAATGATCGAAGATTTACGTCTACATGTTCAGAATAAGTTAGTAACTTTAGACTAAAAAGCTTTATTTCCCATATATATTTAGTTAATACTCTTATATGAAGAGATTTATTAATGAACCTATGTTTAGTTTAACCATGTAAACTATCAGTAAGGATCTTGTATAATGAAAAGTATGCTTATTCTTAGTTTACGTGGTCGCACTACATATATAGCGTTGCCGTTCCTCGGACTAAGGATGCTCACAAGCTTGTATCATCACGGAGTTGTAACAGATTCATTCATAAATTTAAAACATAGTAAGTTATTGAATGAGACATTGCAAATTAATCGTTTGTAGCCTGCCTAAGTTGTGATAAGTGTACAGGAAAGGACTTTAGTTATTAAATTTGATAAACACCTTATAATAATGTAATGTGTAGTCTTTATATAACAGTAATGTAGCTAATAGAAAGGTCGAAAACAAATCTATGTCCCCTCCTATCGTTGAGAGTAATCACGTTCATCATTCATGATCAGATTTGATATATAAATATATATAAGTATGAAATACACACACACACACACACACACGCACACACACACACACACACACATCTATAGATGATGTGTTGTTTCTAGACTTAGCTTGACTTTTTATTTGAAGACAACAAATGTTTTAATATGAATGAAAATTAAGATAAAATCATTTCAGGAGAGTACAAAGTTGTACTTCAATAAATATTCAGTTACGTTTTAACTTTTCTACATGTTAAATATCAATTGTATTTTATTTTTTTTATTTAATATAGAAGAGAAATGTAAAATTACAGAAAATAAAGGGCTAACATAGATGCGTAATTCAGCGTAATTAACTCCTTCTTTTTAAGTTTTATTAATATATTTTAATAATTTTATAAAACTCGAATCATATATTTTTAATATTTCCTTTAAGTTTATATAATATCTTTTATTTACTGAAATACCATAAATTCCTAATACTTTTGAACCGAAAAAACTCTAAAACAATCTCTTCTAAGAATAAAGAGTGATATTACGAAATGTTTTAAGAAATTATTCATTGTATACTTAGAGTATACAGATAAGATAAGATATATTCATACATTCAACCGTTTATATTAATATTGTAATATAGACATCAAAAATATACATTAAAGTTTTCCGCCCGCAGCTTCGCCCGCGTGGAGTTAAAAACTATCCTATGTTCATTCTCAAGGTCAACTCTATGTCTGTACCAAATTTCATTAAAATCAGTTCAGTGGTTTAGGTGTGAAAGCGTAACATACAGACAGACAGAGTTACTTTCGCATTTATAATATTAGTAGGGATGTTGAGTATAGCTAATGAGTATATAATTTTGTTTCTTGAGGCATGCTTCGTTTTACGAGAGGGGTTTTCATGGAGGGTAAAGATTACCTCCCGCGTCATTCTGGGTGCAATGTCTTTAACGATTGATAAACTATTTGTTACTTGGCTTAATTATTCTGTTAAGTGATATCTGTCAAATGTTTTACGTCCAGAAATTGTCAGTAAACTTAATGTGGCTTGTTGATGTTTGAATCAAAGTGTATATAACATTTCTTTTGACCGGAAAAGACGATTATTATGCTGTTCATCGGAGTGGAAATTTAGGGAAGGTTGAAATTAGCTTTGGAATAACCGTTGGCAATGATGTGACATTATATGAGAATAATGTTAAAAAAAAATACCAATGAAATAAAATAACGTAATTTTATAAACAATTATCGTAAAAGTATTCGTTATTTTTTACTTATTTTATCTATCTATTAAACGAATTTAATTTCTATTGTGACATTTTTCAACAAAAAGGAAGTACATAATATATGTGTGATGTTAATTGACTATTTGTCGTAACGTTCGGTAGCGGAGCGCGTTGCCACTCGAACTTGTCACACTATATCACTTGTCACTTTTTAAACAGATTATCTATGGATTTAGTTTGTATCTGTGATCATTATAAATTAAGAAGGGATTAAATATACTACAGTAAATTACGAACGGTTTAAAAATGTTCGTATTAATTTATTTTTAAATATATCTTCTTGAGTAAAGTTTTCAGTCGATATTTTAATCTTTATTTTTGTCTATGGTTATTAAATTATTATAGAGATTTTATAATATATAAGTATAATGTAGATTTTTTTTATAGTTCGTTATTCCTAATTCAGGAGTTCCGTTATCCAGACGTGATTCGACAATTGAAACGCAATTTGAAAGCGACGCGTTATAATTTTAATGAATTTGACACATATAAAAAACGCATTCATTCAAATGTCACACTTACGTAACATCATAGAGAATATCCGTTTGTAAATGTAACATTTAAATGTAATATTCATGTTACATTTAAATGTAATAAATAATCCATATTTAACGAATTTGTCCTCAGATCAAACAACACATGGGCGACTATTCCCACGCATGTGTGAATTATTGTGTTGCGTTGTTTATTTTACTAATGTTAGATTATTATTGTATGGATTTATGATAAATATATGCCGTCGTGTATGTTTAATACATTATTAATAATATACACTAATAACATGAATATGAAAGCTCATTTGACTTCGCTTGACGATTGTTTTGTTATTATTTTCTTTACTGACTTTGATTTAATTCAAAATTACGATTAGTTATAATAGGATAAGGTTTCTAAGTATTGTTGTACGATTTTTTGTTTATTTTCTTTCACATCAAAGGATGTAAATTTTACGGAACCGGAGTAATAAAATTTTGTCCTAATTCAAATATATCTATTTTGTTTATTTATTAACATTGTATTTCTAAAGGTTTTTTTATTTTAAAAATAATAATTGTAAAGTAAATAAAATTATATTGTTAACGTGTTCTTCAATATGTTAAATTAATCTTTCTAAACAGCCCAATCTTGATATAAAAAGCATTATTAAACAGCTGGCTTTAGTAATAACTTACTTGCAGGCAATAACCCAAGTAAAAAAATATGAAAATATATAATAATTATATATATATACTGGGCAGAATGTACAGGGTTATGCACTCATAAATGCAGTTAAATTTAAAAAGTATTTTATATTTAAATATAATCTGAGCCACTACCAAAAGTTACAGTTTTTTTTCTAAAATCTTTGGTATCCACCTCAGTAAATTTGTAGCACACAGAAGTAGCAGTCAAAACTATAACCTTTATTTTTCCTAATCCAGATTATATTAGATTCTTGTCAGAATTATAATTAATCAATTATTCCGATAAAACGGTCACATTTTCTCGATACGTCAAACACGAGATAAATCCTAATTAAGTCGTCCATTTGGGGGTTGATAATAAATATTTTTATAAGAAATATTACAACAAATTTGTCATATCCTGTGACTTGGCTAGTTATCCTTTTAATTAGCCACCGGATATCGCAGCCCTTAACGAGACGTGCTCCGCTGGTTCCTCTAATTTCTACCTAATAAGTAACATTGTATTGGTTTTTATAATTATGATATTCTTAGATCTAAGAATTCCCTTAACAAATATTGTTTTCAACATTTCTGACGTCACAAATGTCAATTTTAGTAAAAAAATAAGTTTAAGTATTTCAAACATACACCTGAAAAGTACCAGGACTTCATAAATGTGTAAGCATCATGTCTTTGTTCAATTTTTTGTTTGATAACTTATGAGTTTTAAATATTCTTTTTTTTATCTCCAATTCACATATATACCAATTCTTAAATAACTTACATATACTGTCAGAAATAAAATACAATAGTTTATACACACTTTAGTAATTAACTCTATTTTAAGGCCTATCAGAATTAATGAGAGAAAAAATATTTTTGTTTTATTTACTCAAAAAAGATTCACTTTTCATATATCGCTTTTGTCATATAACACACTAAAATGTGATAGAAAGAAAATTAACAAAAATGATGCAAGCAAAAATTCGAAAAAATCAAATCTTATTTAACGCATACTATTTTAATGAAAAAAGGTTAAAATATTAATGAATAAGTAACAAATCAAGGATTTCGATATTACTAGTAGTTGTGTTCTGAGGTAACCCATTCTTAATTACATTCTGGTAGTAAACTAATGTCAGAAGTCATTAGAGCCCGCCGTCAGTGTCACGGACATGTTAAAAAATAAAAATAATAAAAAAAACAACATCTCAGAAATAGATATTCCGTTCGGACTATGATGATTGATGGGTGTCTTTGTTTAAGCAACGGAACTATTTCTAATATATTTAAACGTTCTTAATATGTATATATATACTGAAATTATTTTCATTTGTATTTTGTACTAGCTTTCCGCCCGCAGCTTCGCCGTGTGGAGTTCGGTTATATCGCGTTTCCAAGAGAACCTTTCAAAAGTCTGGGATAAAAACTATCCTATGTTCTTTCTCAAGGTCAACTCTATCTCTGTACCGAATTTCATTAAAATCAGTTCAGTGGTTTAGGCGTGAAAGCGTAGCAGACAGACAGACAGACAGACAGACAGAGTTACTTTCGCATTTATAATATTAGTAGGGATGTATGATCTATTTCGATCACAGATTTTTGAGGACAAAAATCTATGCTATTGCAACACTAAGGCTACATTCATAAAAAATATCTTTAAAATCTTTTGTTTATGTCATATTATAGACTCAAAAATTCACTTTTAATCAATAGTAATGACAAAATAGATAAATAATCTAAACCTCCTACAGATAAAACAAAAAATCGTCATATGTTTTAATGAACATCACTATTATTACTTTATAATCGTAAGATCATTCATGCCCTTCACTACGGTTCATTTTTATAGAGTTCACTTGGAGTTTATAAAGTTGTGAGTTTAAAAGGGCGACATCACGCCTCGCTGAGCTCACATCCGTCCTCAACGAGTCTTTATGAATACAAAACTTATACCAACTGAATATTCAGAGCTCATCATAAAAACCCTTTGTTATTTGAGAGAAATTAATAATCTATATAACTGGGCTGTCACTGAAATATTTTTTGACATACATTTTTATTCACGTATCTATGTACTAAATTGTTCTTTACAAATTAAAACATCACTATCTTGCTCCTGCTTATCTATTTGTATAGCTTATTTTTAATAAATAATTCGTAATAAAATTAATAATCTATACAAAAAGATTTTCAAACGGTTTCTTAAATATGTAATTATTTTTGACACGAAATTACCAGTACTATCTGTAATTCTAGATATTTAAAACCGCTAGAAGTATTAAATACTATAATGTAGAATAGAAGAAAATTGTAGAAAGAATGAAAAGTGGCAGCTACACGAACTGGTACCTGTTCTCGTTAAAAAGCTGTTGTACCCGTTCCTTGAGCAATTATGGATGTTGTTAGAAGGCATTGAAATCTCTATACTGTTAATATATACAATGATCTGTTTATATTTAAGATTAATTTTATTTAATTTTCATTAATATTAATGAGATTATTATCTTTATTAATAAATATAGACTATAAATGTCAAAACTTAGGTGATAATTGTCATTTTATTTATTTTCTAACAGGACCCTTAGTCGGAGTTAGAATAATCACTACATACGGAAGGTTAAAAAGTTTTCATTCATAAATCTATAATATTAACGTAGGTTATGAAGTGAAAAACGGTAAATTCTGCGTTTTGTGTGATACTCGTGGTAAGCACGCTATCTCTAATGCCAGGAAGCTGGAAAAGTTTTCGCAGAGTAAACAAGTTATGTTTTACGCTAATTTCGTTTATTTGCATATTATGTTAATGTATCTATGGATTCGTATTTTAAGATATATTTAAATTTTGATATATCATTCAAACATCCGTTTGAATAAATTACTTATTTAAGTTATTTAAAATATCAAGCCCGTTAATGTTTTTGGAGTAAAAAAGATATATAATACATATATACAAAAAATAAATAAATTAATTAATATTTTTTTGGTACGACATTTTTATGTATCACAATGGAAACGAAAAATTTATTGTATTTTCCCGTAACGATCCCAGAGAATAAAAGAGACAAATTTTCACTAAAAATATTTCTATGTGGTATATTATATATACATATATGATTTTTTTATACATATAGAAGATATATATTATGTAAATACATACCAGATCAAGTCGTAAGCTGAATGAAACATGTTTTCGTGGTGGAGGAGCTAAATTAGCCGGTGCTTCGTAGAATGCAGCTTCTTCTAGTCCATAATCGGACTCACTTTCAGTCCATTCCAGCTTCATTGCGCTGGGGCTGAAAAAAATATAATCATTAGTAAAAAACATTAAGATCATAAAGAAGAAACGAGAAAGGGATAGTTTATCTTTTTTTTTCTTACCAAATTCAGACAAAGGTAAGCATATAAATTTACTACAAAGATCTTATATCAAGAGACTATAATTTAAATATAGAACATAGTCGCAAAATAATAATGTTTAAAATAGCGCACGATATTAAACCTCCTTGCTTTATAACCTAAATAAAATTCTCTATAGCCGTACATAAAATCCGCGTGCTTCAACACAGGCTACCGACCACGCTTCTCAGTGGTTGATATAATTTTACGATAACTTCTTATGGGCCTTAAACAATAGGCCTCGATGACCACAGACATCAGTTGAGTGATTTCAGACAATTGACAAGCTGCTGTCCCTCTCACACGTACAGCTTTAGAGCGAGATGATATTTAATCTATGTCCGTGATGAGCATACCTGAATGGGATCTTGAACCTGTTCCTATAACTCGATACTCGGCCTCATTGTTGATACGGCTTCTTGTTTTTTAATCAACTCGTACACAACGCGGGGGTTGTTAAAATTAAGACTTGTCAATTATGTTTTAAAAAAAATACAATTAGCATAACTGCTTTACAAAATAAACTTTGTTTTAGTTCAGGATGTAAATCGTAAACAGACATTTTTTTAACATTTCATTGCTGTCCGTATTTCATATGCAGTGATTTTGATCCTAATTCTGTTGAAGCCCTTATTGATTCCATTAATATCCCATCAAAGATGTTGAAATTAGTCAACACTTTCGAATATAACTATCCGATCCAGCGGAAGTGATTCCCAAAAGCACGTGTTACTAAGCTTTACCCCTTACAGAAAAACATCTACCGACTTATTACTATGGTATTAAGATTCAAAATCGTGTGATAATTATAACAGATTAAAAGTTCTTCGTGCACGAAGAATAAAGGCGAGAGTATAATAATTAACATAGATGAATATATGTAAAGGAATAGCCCGAAGTAGTCGTGTAAATATGTCGTCGGAAGAATTCGGCGCTTCACAGAGGATCGTTTCGACCAATATCCGCAGGAAATGGTGCTAAGCATTGACACCGAGGACATTACTGTCTTGTAATTGAATCGGCGTGTCGATTTGTAGCTCGTTTGTAGAGCGCGAAGGGTTTGTAAATATAGTGCATTAGTTATATGTCCGTAGTTCAAAATATATTGCTCCCTCAAAGACACAAGATATCACTCATTACTAGAACATAAGCATCCTATTTTGGCTCACAAAACAGGGTCAAATTTGTTGTTTTTAAATTGAACTATATTCAGTTTCAGTGATAAATAAATCTGTTGCCTTTAATTGATGGGACAAATAATTTGTTTTCGAGACTCATTCTAATAAGCGACTTATCTGATAATAGTTCAAAATAAAACAAACCAACTAAGTTTAAATCTAATCTCTTCCAGATAAGTTATCATATCAAATTATAAATGAAAATTATTTTCACAGAAGATAAAGCGCTTCATGCTCCTGCGATTTGACGCCTTGGGCAGATTGATCTGAATAATTTCGATTCCACGAAAGCTTCTTGTGAAGATGCGTTAACCCATATGGTAATGCTGCCATAAGGTTCCCGACCTACGGGACACTGTCCCATTAAATTTCAGACACGCAATTTTGCATGCAAGCAATCGTGTGCACGGAGGATAATCGTTTTATATCTGCCTGAATTGATGAGAGAATTGACACGACAGATATAAATTATTGAAATAGTTTTTGAAGGGATCCGAATATTTTAAATATTTTTTATAGTTATACTCTTTGGTATCAATATAATGTTGGTAGTATTGACAGTGACAGCGTATAACTTTGTATTGTAAAAATTATCAGCAATGGCTAAAAGATTTACAAAGCCTACAGTCAATTGGGTTGAATTCGAGAAGAGAGTGCCACCTGAACAGAAAGCTAAGTTTTTGGCTTTCAAGGCAAAGGCGGATGTGTATTTGAGACGGTAATAATAGCTTTAAATATTCAGATGTAATACGATAGGAATATGAGAAAAGAGTCTTTAATTTCTTTGATATATAAAACGACAATTGTAGGGTGCAAGCTAATCCACCTCAACCACCAAAAATCGATTGGGAGACGTATCAAAAAATTGTACCAATATCAGGACTCGTGGATAAATTTAAAACTGCGTATGAACAACTACAAATACCATATCCAACCGACTGTCTCTCGACTAAAGTTGACGAACAATGGAAAACATTGGAACCAGAGATAAAGAAATTTTGTGATGACATGCAAAAACATATTGAAGTGTACGTAAATGTATATAATTTGAAAAGTTCAAATAAATCAATGCTTTATAATTATTTTTCAGAACGAAAAAGGAATTGAGTAGATTAAACGCACTGCCAAAAGTTGAGGACATTACGTTAGAGATGTATTATGATTTATATCCGAAGGATGCTTTGGATCCTATTAATCGTCCAACAATGTGGCCTCACACTCCCGAAGAGCAGATAGGTTACAAGCCACCCGAGAAGAAAGTGGAAGAGCAAAAGAAAAAGTAATTAGGTCAATGTTTCGGGCAGAATAAAAACATAGATTTGCAATAAAAATTAAAGGTATTTTGGTAGTGTATTATTTATTAGGTGCTATATGAACTTTTCCAACAATAAAAACTCCCTTGCCGTACTAACGATCAACGGCAATTGTCCTCATGTATGGATGAAAAAGGGCTGCTTGCTATATATAGCGTCACGTTCAGGGCCGGAGACATTAGCCAAGAAGTCGCTTGGCAAATTGAGACTGATCATTGGATTAAGTTACATCTATTTTTGGCTTTATTACGCCGGTAACTGGACATTAATTGGTGGAGCACGTGGTTGATATTAATGACACCTTTCTCTTTGTTTTTCTCTCGATAATATGAATAGTAATGACTTGAGAATAAATTATCTTTTATAGCATCAGTTTAATATTATTTTAAATCCATACAAAATGTTAGCTTATAACAAATTGTAACTAGTTCTTAATTTTTAATTCGTCGTTGACACGACACAGAAATCATGACCATATAAGTTCATATTAGTGAGTTTAAATCAAGTATATTTCCACACGACATGCAGGCGTTTGATTCCGTGATGAAGGTATTTTTATTTCATTCGATCTTCAGTTAAAACGCATTGATTGCGAGCTGTTATTGCCAGACGTCTGATTCGCTTCCAAGAAATTCAGCTCTCGGTAACTAAAGTGAAATCCGAGTTTGTGCCGTCAACATGTCTTCAACATAAACAGTATTATAAAATAATAGTGATGCCTTTAATACAGATGATAGAATTTAATCTTAATTGCAAGTTTGTGTCCAAAGAATTATTATTTTCCCATACAAAAGTTTATAATAAATGTCTATTATATTTCGTCTACTTTGTTTTATTAAGAAACCTTTAATATAAACCGATTATCCCTACTAATATTATAAATGCGAAAGTAACTCTGTCTGTCTGTCTGTCTGTCTGTCTGTCTGCTACGCTTTCACGCCTAAACCACTGAACTGATTTTAATGAAATTCGGTACAGAGATAGAGTTGACCTTGAGAAAGAACATAGGATAGTTTTTATCCCAGACTTTTGAAAGGTTCTCTTGGAAACGCGATATAACCGAACTCCACGCGGCGAAGCTGCGGGCGGAAAGCTAGTCTTAAATAAGTGTGAGAATAAAGGATAAAATAGTAAATTTTGATTACAACAACTATCCGAATAGAAACTTTGTTGATTTCAAAATAAAATACACAAACAACTTCCTCTTCCGCTTTTGAAAAACATGCGATGATCGATTCACATCTTGGAAATGACTGGACTACATTTAGTTGCGTTCCCATTAATACCAATTATAGATCAGGAATCTTTATGTTCTGTCTCTAGAACATCAGATAGTATCTAACTGGACGTCGACAGAGTAGTGTTCATATTAATAACAAAGCAACGTTAGGTATTTCTAATTTAAGACGTTTAATGTGTACGTTAATTTCATTCAATCTCGCCAACTATTCATGCAGCGCTCCATGTGGGTGGAAGGGTGAGGACCACCTGTTTCACCAGCTATTTTTAGCTTCCCCCACTCTTCAGTCCCTCATAAATCTATGACTAATGCTCGGTATACTTGCCACTTTGACCGGTCAAGCTGCTAACTAATTCACAGAAAAATTATAAGCATTTTTATATAGCCGGGTAAGATAGACCCTTTGATTTGACCTATTTCAGACAAAATTGCAACGTTGGGTATTTATGACCCTATCGTTTATCTGTATACAAATACATTATGGATCATTACAACTAGATTTATCGATGTTCAATATCGTTTAAAGCTTTATCCGAACTCGGACTGAATAAAATTGATTTAGTTAAAGAAAAAACGTGTGTGTAATCCAATCACCACATTTCTATTGTTTACAAGAATTATCGGGCAATCATGAAGTCGTGCCTCTTTTATAAAAATGCTAAATAAATCGCGTAAAAAAATAAATAAAACGAAGTGTTTATGAGCATTTACAGGGAATGTAAATGATGAGATTATTTATAGCTCGAAAGAACATGAAAATATGTCAAAGCTGATCCACACTAATTGTTTGCCGCGGTATTGTTGAGTTATTTTTATGGTACCCTAATATGCTGGCTGCACTCGATCGGTTCGTAAAAAGGCACCGCATAACCTTTAACTATAATAACCGTCTGGTCAAACATTTATGTCAGTATTATAAAGCTGTTTAATCGTGATGGGACTAGCGATGCGATGAAACGTTTTCTTGGATGATATACGCCCAGCGTTATGTTTGATGCTACTCTGTATTCCCAACTCTGTTAGATGACACAGATTGTGTGAAACTTGAGCGACACTGACCTATAACAGCCGTTGGCTATAAATCACGAGTCACTTGATACAAAAACGTTGAGATAGGTTTTAAAAAGTCGACTCCTATGCGAGCGTACGTAATGCGTAAAAATTGTCATATGACTCAAAACACGAACGGACTAATTAAGATAAAAGTAGAGATAATGAAACACTTAAGCAATATGAATTGGGGAAAAACAATTGTTAGGTAGATGTGTTTCATAATGATAATGAAAATAGTGAATATTACGTTTTTTTAATGTAATTTTTTGTAACTTTTAAGAGAGTTGGTTAATCCTTATTTTGTTAATTCATTGAATGGGATATAATGCTAGAGTTTTCATTAAATGTGAATAAAAAACATTTTTAATAGAAATCAAAGTGACGTAGTGGTTCTGAAGAAATATATAACAATTATATATGTGTTTACAGTGAGTCATTTATCACGAGATCTCCGTACGATCATTAGACGTGTCATAGACATTCGTTAGGATTGATAATAATTTTTATACTAATACTTCTGCTTCTACCTGGCAATTACCCAGCTTTAGCCAGGGTCTGCCTTATTTGTTGTGAATAGTTTGGTCTAATTGTTTTTACGACCGGCCGCCTGCCTGACATCAACCCACTTTTGGGAATGCATTATTCAGTAATGTCTAAATACTCTTAGAAAGTACGTATGACTCGGAAAAATCACATTGGTACTTGCCAGGATCGAACCCGCGTCTTCGTGCATGACAGGATGGCCTTTTAACCACTAGGACACCACTGACTTGATTTTTATACTAATACGTGTACAATTTTTGTCTTACATTTACTGATAACTCTACCACAAATACGTATATATATACATACATAAAGGATTGAAGGGAATGGCATTAACGTTGCGTAAATTAGTATTCTAAAATGTTCTTTAATACTATTACAATAATTTCTTAATCCAAAATCCTGATTCATTCACACATATATAATATATATATTCTATTATATATTCTTATATATGTATATATAATGTCCTTCGCGATAAACAAACAATAATATGGCACGGACTTCGATAGGGACTGCACAGTCGTTATCGGGGTGCGACGAACCCGAATACAACAGTTATGTAAGCTTTATACAATTTATATTCATGTAAAAAAACTTAAATATATTCCGTTCAGTATTACAGTTGAAAAATTTAATATATAAGAATACTTATACCAATGATATACTTTGAGAAGTTGACCGATTTATATTTTATACGCATACTTCTAAAGACTAAAACATTAACAATTTTAAAACCAATTATTTTATATAATATATGTCTCTAAAAATTGTTAAAACAGCCTCTTTCATACATTTTGCTTCCTATTTCATTTATTCACTCAAACGTAATAAGAAGTAATTTCAACTTTTGTATTATTATAGAACTAAAAGCATAGTAATGGTTCTGTAAATTAAATGTTTATTGATGTAAAATTAGTATAATTTATTTAAATATGAAATGCAAACACTAACACGAATTGGGCGAGATGATCGCTGGTGATTAATTCATAATTAAAAATTCTGGTGCGCCCGCGCAGACGGCGTCGACCAATTACGCGACACGGGATTATCATAGGATTTTGAACTTTATAATAAATGTTATAAGGTATGAAATTGTTATTAAAATATGGCAGAGTTAGTATGAAGGGCAAATGACAGTTGTTTTATTTTGAACTATATTTAGTACTTGGGCTGAATTGTTACTGTGCCAGCTTTGAATGGATGTTCTGACATACTCAGTGTAGCTTAGTCAATATTATAGTGTTGCCAGTGTTCAAATATGAAACATACTCTATAAATAAGAAATGTATTATACTGGCAATATTATAAAAAGAATATATTTAACCAAATCAAAACAACATTTTTAATACTATGAGATTTTTATTCACAAATAAAAATAAAATTCTAGAAATCTCTAAAACAAAATTACTTCACTTCAAAAAAAATCCAGTTTTAATTTCAAAGTAGAAATAAAATTTATAAGATTTTATAAGCAAATTTGAAATAACTTCTAATTAAAGTTGCCATACTTATAATTATTTTTCGTTTACAAATAATATTGCTACCTATTATACAAAACTATAGATAAGTTATCAATGTTAGATCTTGTAAACCTTATTTTTGTTGTGTTATAAGTTTTTGTTCGTCGGTCGATGTGTTGAAAGCTATTTTATGTATATGTAGGCGTACAAACATGTCCGATATAAACATCTGCTGGCTGTTTAAAATATCACGATTTATAAATCGTATATTGTGATTTAATTTATAAAATATTAAGATATTTTCAGTATATTATAAATATATAATTACTATGCAAGAGTAATTCTAGGATAGGATTTTTTAATGTCCAGTCGTGTAGTAATAATAAGTGTTACCCGTTACTGCGTCGTATTTGGATATATTAAAAAGTTTTTGTATGTGCAACAACATTACCATATAAAAAATCCTAAGTAAATAATTTTAATAGCTTTATTGATAGAAATAATAATTTAATTCAATACTATCCAGTAGTTTTGTAACGCTACACGATCATAGATCTCTAACAAGATATAGCACAGATTAAAAATACTATATTAAGAATACGAGAACGAAATACAAATCGATAGTAGAAAATTATTTATAATAATAAATTTTGTTTCCGCGAAGCAACTGTTTTCAAAATCCATATTGCCAAGATCCGTCCCAAATAGTGTCAGCATGCGACTTTTCTACCTGCGGGTCCCGTTGCGTGCAAGGTGTACAGTAACCCTACACGCACACACACACACACACACACACACACACACACACACACACACACACACACACACACACACACACACATCAGGGATGCCAAATGTTCTTAATTTAAAGTATATACAAAATAGTTTTGCTATATAATAAATATGAAACTGTTTGAAAAAATTCAATGATATTTTGACTAAAGTCGAATTTTTGTTTATTTAAGACTATATATACTAAAACGATTAATTTATTCCTAAATTTATTTCAAAGTGAATAAATAAATGTTATTTCCATATATACGAACGTTTGTGATTTTTTTTTTCAAGTCATCACAGATCTGTGATATGATGCAAATGATGATTGAGGGGACATTACTCGAATTATGTTAATCTTTATGATTGTAAGACAGCCCTGCATGCAACCTGCCTCCCTACGCAGATTCAAATTATTACATCCAATTCGTCATATGTCGATCAAGAAGAAAGTATTATTTAAAACCCATAATATATAACGTAATAATTTTTATATCATAATAATAAATTACCTCGTGATTTAATTGCGATAATTTTTGTTTTGAAGTTGTTAAAAATATATGATACAGATAATGAAACATGTGATAATTTGTATATATTTGATAACGGTTGATAACGTTATGCCAATGTTGCGAAACTTAATTGTACTCAAATAATATACATAATTAGGCTCTAAAAATATATATTATACATAATTAGGCGCTGTTAGAAAAATAATGCTGTTTATTTGACGTGGATTTATATTTAAAAAAGGTTTATCTAAATAGTTTCTATGTATATCACAGTTTCTAGTATTTCGACTTCGGTAACAGACATAAAAGATATTTTTAGACACAATCGGTTGCTCTATACATTAAACTTTGCGTGAATGTTACTTCGATTCGACGAAACAACTTTTCGTTAAAGAATAAAAATAATAGTTTCTTTAACATTCACTGTATTTACTTATTATTCTTAGGTTTTAAAAGTAGTTCTCGTACTTTGTTTTTACATATAAAAAATATTCTAGTATTAAGTTCATAAAGTCTAAATTAGCTTTAATTTCAAAATAAATTGAACAACTCCTATCATATACATAACAATCAAGCAATGAAATACATATATAAAAAACATATAGGTACAAATAATATGTCCACTGAAAAACAACCTACGCCTTTTTATTTAAAACAAAAAACACCGCTCGTTGGAATTGTCAATTCAACTAAATTTAGTAACAAAATATTCATTCAATGAAACATCTAAGTCTTAATGTTAAATAAATAAGACGTTTTCTTTGACTACAATCTTTATTCGGTCCACTCTTTAGAATCTACAGCCCTTACTTATGTAGCCCTCTCACGCGCCATCTTAGAAGGCCTTTGAATCCTTAACTAGACATGTCGTTTGAATAAATAATTTTAAGTCAATGATCCTGAACATTTTAATAAAATACTCATTAAATACATTTATTTTATCTAACTTTTAAATGATTTTTATCGCATAAATATGTATAACAGTAGTGGTAGTAGAAAAAAATATTAATGCTAAAAATTTTTCGTTCGGTAACTTTCTTTAATTGAAAAAGTATATTGTGAAGTCTTTAAAGATTTAAATAGAATTTTTTATCCAATAGGTAAACGTCTTGATTTTGGTATTAATATTTTAATGATTTTATTTTGACGTATTACAAATAAAATTATGTAAATTATGTGTCATGATTCAAACATCGATTATGATTTATTAATTAGTATAATCATATCTAGATATTCTCTCTATAGTGTATATATAAGGCATTATCTACATGTTTCACAAAAATTCGTTACTAAATTATCAAACTATACAAACTTCTTTGTCATAAAATAGCCGTCATATAACTTATAACGTGACTTATAGAATTTTCTAGAAAACGAAATTTTTGTTATTAAAAAGTATAGTATCAAGTTCGAGAAAAAAAAATATAGGATTTTTTTTAAATTTACTAAGATTGCTTGAAAAGAATGACGAAGTATAAACTATGAAACTATCGGTTCGTTACAGTTTAGAAGTTTATAACTGGTAATACGCAGTGCTGGTTACGATACTAATAATACAAAGCAAATATGATATTGTCTGATATATAAATATGCATGTTATCACAAAAGATAAAAGATTACCGCGTGTTACATGAATAAACAGAGAGGGGAGATGTTGATAGTATGCCACAATATCAATGTCTACATAAATTCACTTCAAATGTGCTTTTGTTAATAAATATGCTCTTGTCAATTCAGCATTTAGTTATATCTGTGTTAATCATTTGCTGATAGCGTTCTTAGAATTTACGATGAGTACATTTTGAATTTATTGTCAACAATTAAATCATTTGCAGACATGTTTCCTATATGAGCTTCTATTTATCGTTAGTATGTTGAATGTTTCAGATTTAATTGTGTTTTTGATTATTTATAACATTCAATAGTTCATTTACTCGAGTACAGCCATCCATCTCGATTATTTATTGTTTCTTATCTGAACGTAAAGTAAACTCAATGTTAGAAACGATATATTACCTATATTATAACCTATGTGTATAAAATTTCGTGAAAGCCATAAGTTTTTGAGTAAAATGTGTTAAATACAAAGAAATTTGTGCTACTTATTGCCATTGTTTAAATGTTGCAATGTAAACAAAACTGTGAGTTTCGATTACAGTACATACATGTTATCGGTATTGAATGTATAGAATTAAATTGCTCTTGAGAAATATAACAACATTGATAGCACTGAGTGTTAGATTCAACTTGATCTAGGTGCTGTGATATTATAAGAAATGGCCCTCGGACAGCAACAAGTCGTCTCAGGTAGCTAGGAATAAAAACACCACTTGAAATGGAACGGACGCCGGTTTCACCTAGATAACGCACACGGCTAAAACATTAAACTAAACTGCTGTTTAATTTATGATTACACAGCTTACGATCACACCTTTGAATGAACCTTTGTCTCATCTCCAACAATGAAGACCTAAACGAACGTTCGTATCACAACGATAATAATATAAATACAACCTATCCGATGAATGAAATTATAAATGTAAATTCGTCGCTCACAAATCGCGACAGCGGAGTCGCGTAGGCGTCGTACACTATTTGAACATACGTGTATATCTTACCTCTCGATTTTGATTAAAGTATCCAGATTAGCGATTATCACAACACAGTTACAATGTGTTTTTGTTACACGGTTTCGTTGGCATGACACTTGTGCGCGTACAACGTACGAGAGCTGCGCACTGGCAGCCGGCTACAGCGTTACTAAATGTAAAACATAATGCGTCCGCGACACAGTTCATTCAATGGTGGGGATTACTTATGAATGGACGTAGTGTGGCCATGTTCGTGTAGATAACGCCAGCATTATTCGACTCCACACATCCTAGATCGGAGATTGCATTATTTCGCTGATCATAATAAACATTATATTATATTGTTTCGCAATATGTATAACCTGAATAAATCACGTATTGTGTTCTAGGTTATGTGTATTCGATAATATTTATTGCGTTGAATGTGGGTAATGAAAACTACAAATGCGGTAGTTGCTTTAATAAATAAAGATATAATATTATGATTAGGGTAAATAATTTATTCTTAATATGTTATTTAGGCAGTAAATCAGGCGAGCCCCTTCAGAAAGCTTGATAACTTATGGGTTTTGTAGTCGGAGCGTAGTTGAATGAAGTTGTGGAGAATGGAGCGATCCAGCTCCGCCTGTGAATGAAAAGAAAAAATATTTAATACTATGTTGGACATATTATAAAACAGATGAAAACATATAAAACGGCTAATGCATATTTTAAAGAGATAAAATATACATATACCAATCGTTTAAATGGCCTTAATATAAGGAAAAAATAGATTTCGATAGATTTTTACCAGTAACAAAAAAATTCAATTAAAACAATAGTTTATTTTAAATCTGTTAGTTTTATTTATAACAGAACGATTTTTTAATTCTATAAATTCATTTCCTTCAACTATTTTCTAAATGCTTAATTTATAATAATGAGTATTTACTATTTTATAATATTTAATCTTCTATATATATAAAAATGGATTGCTGTTCCTTAGTCTCGCTAAAACTCGAGAACAGCTGAACGGATTTGTCTTATCTTAGTCTTGAAATGTTCGTGGAGGTTCAGGGAAGGTATAAAAGGTGAGAAAAATTGGAATAATTGCCGGGAAAACCCTAAAAACAGCCCTTTTCTATTTCCCATACAAACGCTTTTTTTGACATTAGATTTGACAACTAACTAATATGTCAATCATTCTGTTTGATTAAAACAGGAAAAACCTGATTATTTATGGCCTCTAAGACGGAATAGAGTTCGCCTGGTTAGCTATACATATATTACTAATGACGAAACTAACGCGGACGAAGTCGCGGGCAAAAACTAGTTTACAATATATATTTTATATAAAAAAAGCCTGTCTTTATCCGTTTATAACTATAGTATATGTATAATTATTTTGTTTGTATGTCACTATATTTTGCGTCCGGTTTTGTTATCTTTCAATTCAATATAAATGATATATTTCATACATTTTAATACAAACTCTTTATATGAAGTATTTTGTAGAATAACCTTAGCCCGCGTTTGAAGCCATAAATACACGATAATTTCAAGTTTTATTTAAACGTCAATATACGTAATGAGATCTAAGACTTTCGCGAGTATACATTTAAATGAAACTAGTATTATTCGGATTACTACGCGTAATTTTATTATTTTAATACTATAACTATCATAGTTATGTATAGTTTTTGTATGCCTCATATTAAAGTTACATTTCAAACAATTTTTATATGTATAACTTTTTTTAAAGTTAATGAGATCTAAGATTTTCGCGAGTACCTACTCATTTAAATGAAACTAATATTTTCGGATTTTACTTCGCGTATTTATTTTTGATTACAAACTACATACTCCCGACGTTTCGGCTACTTTACAGCAACCGTGATCACGGACAGACACTCACATCTCGTCTGAAATGATTATTTTCACGATTTAGTAATATTACTAGATAGTAAGCACAAGAATGGTTGTAGAAGTAAAATTTCTATTACGTAATTTATAATATAATATTAATTAATTTTTACAGGATCCAAATATCTCTATGTGACGTTTGAATACAGGGTAAAACACGATAGCTCAACTGCTACAGTCACTGGAACGAGAAGTTCCAAAGGTTGTAGGTTCGAGTCCTGTCCACGTATTGAAGTTTTCATTATATATTCTCTAATTCAAACATTGTTTTAATCTTATGCAATGCATAGTAAATGTATTTTTGAAAATAAGTCATATTATCTTCATAAAATAAACTCGTGTTAGTTAAGTACATTATTTATTACTCAAGAACGGCCGACGGGTTTGGCTGAAAATTTGTAGAGAGATAGTTGGAACAAGGAAAAGGACATAGGATACGTCTTTTTATACGACCGAAAAAAATAGATAAGTTGATCAAACCCGAAATCTTAGAGTAGAGTTCGCCCGGTCAGCTATACATTTCAAAGTCTGAAAGTAGTAGACAAAGTTGCGTGCAGAAACTAGTATATGTTTATAAGTATTAAATAATCTACGTAATAATTAATTTCAATTTGTTTGTTAATGTTTTGATGTTTGTTTCAACGTCTCCGGATATTATTATTGTTAAAATTGAGAATGCACTAACGGATGTTTGATATTTCACGACGAACTGTTGTTTTTTTTGTTTTTTAGTACACGAAATTTCTCATAATTCCATGTATTCACCGTGCGGGTGCCGGGTCCATCGTTGCAGGGAGAGGAGCTTCAACAGTGCCTGGGACTTGAAACTCAGGTGTAGGTTTAAGAAGATTTATTAGTCGAATTTATATAGAGATATTAATTTTTAAGAGAGGTTCAATTTATATCGAATCAAAGTAATAAAATTGTTTATTTTAATTTTTTAAAAAGATTTTATTACAAAATTAAATGTAGTCGTTATATTAATAGCAAAACCGTTTGGCATTTACGTACTTACCTATATTTGTGTGAAATTAGATTAAAAAATTTTTAGCACACTTTCTTGTTATTCTTAAATAATTATAAAATACAGTCGAATGACTAGGATATCGAAAATTAAATATCAATAAAACGTATTTAAATCAGCACGCTTAGTCCGAGTAATCAACACACTACGTACGGAGAGTGTACAGTCTTTCATTCATAAATCGTAACATATTATACATAGTATTGACTAAGATTATTGATTGAGAAACGGGAAACGATTAGTATGTAGTGTCACGATGTAAACTTGGACTATGGATACTATTGAGATTTAAGATATTAAAAAGATTTTTAATGATTAATGATGTGACCTCGATCCGAGCTTAAATATTATATCAAACTAATATGGTAATAACTTCTATATATCATAAAAATAAGGTTGAAATTCCTTTCCACAGAAACTAGAGAAGACAGAAAAGGTAAAAAATATTAAACTAAAGAAATATTGGTTTTAATGTAAAAGACACCTAGTTACATAAATAATGAAAGTATTTGATCAAAATTGTAGTATTATAAGGACCAATTGTGAAAGTAAAAATAAGTTACTTTTTTATATAATGAATTAAATCAATTTTGTCATATAAATATTGTTATTATAAATTGCCATTCTCCCTTTTCAGGTTTTAAATAGGAAATTTATGTAAAGAAATTGTATATGCTATAATAAGTACATACAAATTTAGTGACAACGAAATAAAACATTATATTTAAAGACTACAACAGTTCTTTTACTTTAAATATTCGTTTTGTCTCCGCGACTAGGATAAAAAAGGAATAAATATAATACTTCTGTGTCCAGTATTTTACATACATTTCGTACAACTGTGACGATGTGTTTCCATGGGAATATTACGAGCGTATTCTTTCCATTGGTGATTTCTATTTGACGTAATTATACTATGTGTTATGACGTATGACGTTTTCATTTGCTGGCTAAGCAATTTTACGTGAGTATCTCACATTTAAGAACGTTTCATATAATGCAATTAAAGTTTTTTTAGTAAAGAGCTTTTCTTTTTGAAATTTCTTTTACGAAAGTCTTGTTAAAGAGATAGTTAAATGATTTATCATAACTGGACGGTGCAGCCGGTTGAGGGTTAGTACATACGTTTCGAATTTCGATGATATTTTTTTTTGCCTACTACTTTTGCCTGTTTAATATTATGTCCCTTTGAGATACGCATTATCATTCTTGTGCGATCATTTCATAAGACCCTCAATCGGTGATAACAGCATCCCTTCAGGTCAAAACCCTCAATTAAACAAAATATTGTGAATATTGGCCTTTACGCGAATGAATAATAGCGTGATAAAGATGTAGTCGCATTGAGAACTTCCGCCTTTTTGAAGTTTGTTAAATAGTAGTTCAAGTCACTCATAATCTTTCATAACAGTAATTGCACAATCAAAACCAGTCCAGCCATTCTAGACGTTAAGCGAAACAAACGGACGGACAGACCAAAAAAAATAGTGCGTTGAGTCCCTCCGCCTAGAAGAAGTGAAACTTCGTTATGTGGAAATGAAAATACTCATATTGTTTCTTCAAGACAAGCTTTAAACATTGCTTACAATTCACAACTAACCTACCCATTTACTCTCGCTCCTTCTCTTTCTATTCCCACTCCACGAGCGTTGAACATTTAACGCAACCTTGTTGAAAGACGCATTAGAAGTTTCATTACAAAAAGTATGTTTCATGTACGTATCTAAATAATGAGGTCTATCTAACTCGTCTGTCCGTGATCATGGTTGCTGCGAAGTAACCGATACACTAGAAGTATATATGTAGTTTAAAATAAAAAATAATAGTTTCATTTATCGTAAATAACTTTTGACGTAGTTTTAAAATAATAAAATACGCGTAGTAAACCGCAAAATATTAGTTTCATTTATCTATTAAAGGACGCGAGAAAAAAATGTGAGCGCACTGCTCTCTCCCCTGCCCTTACAGTAATATAAGAATCGTAACTCTCTCTCTATCTATCTTCACTAACTATATCTCTCTCTCACTTCCGTTCGCCTCGCCCGATCACACTTTTCGTAACGCTTTTGTCATGCATTTACCAGCATTTTTAGAAGTTTTACTTCAAATCTGAAAATATTAGTTTCATTAAGTTATATATACTTGACTCACCAGCGTCTCTCCTTCGCAGACTTGATGAAGATTTTCAGGCTTCACCAATAATAGGTTACACAGGGCGTGTAAGGTGTCGAACAACGAGGCGGCCGGCGGAGGAGCCTCCCTCGCCCCGCGCCCGCACACCGCTGAACGATACTCTTTGACGTCGCATATAGCTATCATAGCACCTGATATATATATTAACATATTATAATTACGAAAGTTTGTGAGTGTGTGTGTGTGTATGTTTGTTACTTCTTCACGCTCAAACAGCTGAACCGATTTTGATAAAATTTTGTATACAGGAAGCTGACGTCCAGGAATAACACATAGGCTACTTTACATCCCGGATATCCGCGGGTAACACCGCTGGGCGCCGCTAGTAGTAAAATATGACTTTACTATTATTCTATATTAAAATAATATAGAATAAAACCAAAACAGATCATGAAAATTCATTAATTAGAGTCAAGACACGACAGCTTAAATAGTCTGTAAAGCGGTTGTAACGCTAAATTTTTGAGATTGCCTGTTCGATTCCTGGTATTGATAATTTTTTCAGTACATATTTCCTTTTTGATATCAAATTTAAATTTTATTAACCTTTACTAAATTATATTTCGGTTAACGGTATTATAATATAGTATCTTTTTGTAGTAGTATCAGTTTTTAAATTTTTGATTTCAATTATAAGTCAACAGTAAATATTGTTTAATTCCACGTTTTTAATGTCATTTAGCTTACAATACATATGATGTGTTATTATTTTATGTAAGTGAATCATTTTTTAATTAAATTAATTAATAGAAACTGTATATTATCATTGTCATTCTCACTGAATTTTTATAAACTACAAAGTTAAATTTCTTGAGAGTTTCGTAAAGAACACAATAGATGGCGCTACTAATCCGACGACGGTTAAAATACTCACTACAGTACAAAATCATATTATATATATAAAGATAAGAATTAATGTGTAATGATATGTGTTATCAGATCATTTGATAGGATGTTACTAAGCTAATTTCGTTTTCCTCAAACGTCAACGACGCATATAATTTTTTTCATAATAAATACATAAAGTAAATAAGGATAGCATCTCTAAAATATTAAGATTAAGATAAGTAGAATATACATATTTCAAAAAATAAAACAATACCAGTATGGGAAAAGGGATTATTATTATTATTGGTAATTATCGACCAAGACTTTCAGATATTTTATTACCGTCTATCTATCACCTACTATGACATTTTTGCGTAAACAAAATTGTCCTATAAATATATACATTGATAATAATGTGCGAAAATTATGAGTAAATAACTGAAAACTGTCGAGTTTGATTCGACGATGTAATCTCGTGGTAAGTACTGATATGGACAAAAACATAAAAACAATTAACCCACTGATGAATATCGGGCAATTAATACACCATTAATAATTAATTAATTAATCAATTAAATATAATACGTACCAGCAGAATTGAACTGGAAGTTCTGTAGGTGGTCGTATATGACTCGATGAAGACGAACAGCCAGCTCCAGACTCACGGCGCTCAGGTTCTCATCACAGAGCTGAGTGTGGAGCTTGTCCAGGACAGTATTCAGATATGACACCACTGTTAGACACGCCTACACATATAAAGAACATATATATGTATATATATATATTAGTACCGTGAGGCTTTGATATACATAGACATCATATATTTACAGGCACGCTATCACGCAGACACGCACACATGCTCACACTCACTCACACATGCAAGCACGTACACATCATTCAAGCATGCAAGCGTGCACACACGCACAAAAGCACGCAAACTGTCACGCACACACGCTCATAAGCATTATCAATAAAATTTCATATGACATTTGTTAAAGAGGCAAAATAATAATAAATAAAATCATATTAATACAACTTCTACTTCCGTTCATTCAATATCAAATTATTCGGAGAGCCACTAACCGGAGAAGCTAGAGTATCGATGTCTCCCTCAGGCTTGAAGTCAGTTTTCCTCTGTTCTGTTTGTAAGTGCAGCTTGACCCAGCCCACGATAGCTGATATAGCTCGCTCCAGCCCCGCATCCAGCTTGCTTTCGAGCTGTTCCATCACTGCGTTCTTCCGTTGGATGCACTCGCCTTGTTTGCTGAAGGATTTATTGAAATGAAAAGTCGTTTAATTGGGATGGGATAAAACAGTCAATGATCTATTTGGTACTGTTAATAAAGATAAAAAAAAGTAACCGTATTTTTTATTAGACCTGGATTAGCCCGGGGTTGATAGCTTAAGTTAAAAGCATAAAATTATCGATATATCACTACTCCCAAACATTTTACTATACAAGACAACCATCGACCACAACATACAAAAATAAAATACAAATATTTTTGTAAACATACCTCAAACAGGGCAACACAGATTCTTGGAAATGTTCAGCAAACATCTTGACAATTTTGTTAGCCTGGTTCACTATATCGAAGAAATAAATCTAAAATAAAAACAAACGCTAATTATGATTTCCAAAGTCGGTGGATGCAATGAAACTAACATTTAAATGACTTAAAATAATTTTAAAGTAAATTACAACTATTTGGTTTGACTGTATTATATGAAGGGTGAACACATAGTGACACAATATTCTAAAAAGAAATATAAAACTAAAAATTCTGTTCACAAGAAACCGCTGAGTCAGACCGGTGTGGAATGAACAAAATTTACTTAGAAGCTAAACGCGACCTACGATTACACCGTTATTATCTTTATATTTTAATTAAACTATCACTATGACACCGTCGCATAGCATCCCTACTAATATTATAAATGCTAAAGTAACTCTGTCTGTCTGTCTGTTACGCTTTCACGTCTAAACCACTGAACTGATTTTAATGAAATTTGGTACAGATATAGAGTTGACCTTAAGAAAGAACATAGGATAGTTCTTATACCAGACTTTTGAAACGCGATATAACCGAAATCCACGCGGGCGAAGCTGCGGGCGGAAAGCTAGTGCTATATAACAGCAAACAAACATACGCTATTATTATTACCTGTGGCGGGGATTTATTTTCTGCTATAGGTATAGACTGTAGGCCCAAGTCTAGAGCATAATCTACATGTTCTATAAGCAGGTACTGTATGAGAGTATCCAATAATGATATTGTGGTTGTTTGAAGCTCGTTGGCTGTACAGAGCTGTTGGTTATAAATTAATTATTAGTATTATAATTTTTCTCTTCATAGTACATATGTACATGATAAAGAAGATTCAAATCGAACATAGTTCTGAAAATTTTCTCAACAAGATTTGTATTGAAGGTTTCATGAAGAAAGATTTTGGAGGGAAAAAGTTTGTATATGCATATAATTTCTCATAGACAAAAAAAATTATTAGATTGACAGATAAAAAAAATATATTTTTTTTCTGTATTAATATGTATATTCTATATATTAATGTTTGTTAGTTAAAATATAACAGATGTCTTACAGTCTTGCACCTCGTGAATGATGTCTTTGAATCATTCAGCATCTTCTGAACCAGTTGTTCGCTGAGAAATGTCTCTCCTCCATAGTTTTCTATCTGGGCTATGTTTATATTCGCTCTGGTACCAATCACCGCTTGTAGATCGCGACGCAGCTCTTGAAAACTGTTTGATTAATACAAAAATAAGGATAAATAACAAAAATACAAAAAGTGATTTAATTTGTGTTAATAATTTTGACCCTGTGTCATATGTTTTAATAACTCAAGTGTATATTCAATTGTTATTACAAGTTATAGTGAACTTATTTTTTTGCCATTAGCAACACTAGTTTTAAATTATATTTGATGGGACATGAAATCAAGAATAAGATATTAAGGTAATTAATATATATTCTATTATATAAAAATTTTAACTTTATCAATTTTATATTTATTAGAACATTTCATTCCAACGTATATAAAGTGTAGACACTAGACATTGAAAAAATATTTCAACAAAGCTTACAAAAATTTCAGGCCTAAAACCCAGATCACTATACATTAATATAAAAATACATATGATTTTTAGGTTTAGCACTAACTTTAGTGTAACTTATCTATCTATGAGAGCAAATCATTAAACCTCCATACAAACTCACCCTCCACCCTGTATTTGCTTCTTGATGTGCTGCTTGTCATTGTAATACACATGTAGGGCATTACTTAGAACAGCCTTCAGTCTCCGTATTTCTAATGCGGGATATCCGTCACTAGCCCCAGCCATGGACCCATTGATTAAAGCCTCTCGCCTTAAATCTCCTGTGGATGATCCATCTGACACCAGGTTAGCAGTAACTAACTCCTCGTAAACCTTTTGGGTGCTGTAAAACAGTTTTAGTGAATTATAACTTGTGTTCGATAACTCTATAGACTGGTTGGATCAAAATATTGAACTATTTTTGAGCTTTACACAGGAAAGGAAATGCTATATATGTATATAGACAGCAACTAGTCTGCATAAACAAGATTAAAACATGCAAAATCCAGAAAAAAAAGAAAAAGTTGACAAATAGATGGGAATATTTAATTTTATTCACAATTGTTAATTTTGGAGTATAAAAGTTGCTGTAATATATTTATGTGAATAAAATATATTTACTATATTTATAAAATACACTGATAAGTATGAGTGTCTTAAATATTACCTTGTATAAGTATCATATAAGTTCTTCAAATATTTTTCCAAGTCAACTTTATCAGCAAGTTTAGTTTGTATATACTTTTGCAGTTTGAGGTGGAAAATATTAAGCACAAACTTGCTCATGACTTGGTCTGGGTTCGGGAACACATTACTTATGACAGTGTAATTCTTCTTGGCTAAAGGTAGCACTGCTGAGAATATGTCCTTACCGAGTAGCGTATTCTGTGAATTATTAAGCATTTGTCAAAATTATATTTGAATTGATTTAAGTGATGCAGTATAAGAGATGGTTATGTGAATGTAATAAAAATTACCATTCATATTGAACACAAATATGTATATTGGTTAAATATATACTTATATACATATATGTACATATATTTTGTTTAGTCTATATTTTTGTATATACAGTGGACCCCCGGTAATCCGGCACCCCCTGTAATCCGACATGATCTAATATTTATTATTGAATACATATTTTGTATTCGCTAATGCATGATTGAACAAGTTACAACTCGTATGCACCATCACTATTGTGCTTGACGCGTAGAGTATTGTTTTGATTCTGATTGCTTAGTTGGAATTTGAATTTGTACTTCAGAGTACATATAAGTAGATATGTATATATAATATGTAAATAATCTTATCATTGAATCTGTAATTTGTTAGATTACAAGGTACTCTTTTGTAAAAAAATTCCAGACTGTAGGGGTCTTAGGCAGTACTCTATAATCTGACAAATTCGATAGTCCGACACTGCCCTGCAAAATGTTTGTCGGACTACCGGGGGTCCACTGTATTACATAAAATTAAATAATATTGAACTGTGTCTTACCATCTGACTTGTTTCTATATATGCATCAACACACTGAGAGTATCCTTTAAAATTCGTCATAATGTTAGCTATGTCTTTCATTTTCGTTACATCTCCCTGGTTCTGGGCTTTTACAAACTCTTCAATTAAACTGCGTTCTATTTCATCATACTTTGCCTCTATTTTCTTTTTGGCTACTTCAAATTTATCTGGCGGTAATTCTTGAGATATTGTGTACAGCTTTTGTATCACATCTGCAGCTTCATTGAGCTGGAAATACATTATTTTAAACCACCATCATGCATTAAAATTCAAAGGAAATGATTTTAATAATTCTCAATTCATATTGTTGTAAAAAGGTAAATTCAAACAAGTCATTGAATTTTATACTAACTAACAGACATTCACATATTGTCTACATGTGATTACAGTTGCTGAAATGTAGCCGAAACATCGGGAGTATATATTTCTTTACAAAAATAAAGTTGTGTAGTATAATTTAAAAAATATTAATTTTATTTAAAGTCATGGAATATAAACAAATTATTTATTATTATTATTATTATTATTATTATTATTGTTATATGATATTTTACCTTAGTAGGATCATTGAATAAATCAGTTAATACAGGTCCAGGGCTTAAGAAGTTGGCTAGATGTGATAAAAGATCTCTCGCCGCAGCTGCTCGGGCCCTCGGGGCTCTTGCTGCTCCCAGCTTTTCCCCTATATCAAGAGCCCTGCCACCACAGCGGGACATCCTCTCATCTAATGAACTGAAGACGTTGACACAGTGCTGAAATAAGATAATTATGATTATAGAGATATTATGAGATATAGACTTAAAATAGACTAATAGCCTATATATTTAAGTATTTCAGACATTATATTGGTGTTAATACAATACTCACAGTATGCTGCTCCATAATTTCAGCAAGTTTTGCTACATAAAGCTTCTCTTCTTCCTGAACGGCTTGCTCCAGTCTGGCACATTTCCTTTCCTGTCTCTCTTGTAGCACCTAATTGGTTATAACACAAAATTGCTTAATGCGGCTGTTATTAGTTTAAAGAAGAAGCAGATCTAAGTACAACTCACCTTTAAATCCTGTATAGCTTGAGTAAATATATCGTGGATCATTTCAGGGTCAAACTGATCATCTGTAAGTCGAGACTCCTGCATACTTCGACGTACCATCCTTTCGACGAATTCGTCAGGATCAAAAGGCTCCTAATTATTATGACAAAATTAACATACATATATTGTACTGTATTTATCTATTTAATTAATAAGCAGTAGTTACCTGCTCCAATTCTTTGATATATTGGTTCATCATCTTGTAAAAATATTATAATACAGAACACAAGAAATAAAACTTTGTTATATTTAATTATAATTTACTTTTGAAGTTACGCCTACTTGTTTTCTAATTTCTAGTATCTTATAGTAAACTCAATTTGACAAATGTCAACTCATAAGTGACACCTAATAACAATGACAACTATCAAATGACAATAACAAATTATAAAGGTCAATATAGATAGGGTACATTTTAAGGAATCAAATATTTTGGCAATTTATGAATGTCCTAATTTACTTTGCTTAGTAATGTTTACATTTTTAAATAATAATAGTGAAGCAATGAAAATTTTTGCTTCTAAAGAAGATAGTACCGTATTCATTTTCCAATTTCAAGAAAATATATTTCGAACCTGTAGAGCCGAAAAATTAATTTTGAGATATTATTTACCAATGTAATTAAATATTTCATTTATAAACTTTCTGCTTGTAAAATAAATAAAACTAGTAATAAAATGATATATTAATTTTTATTCCGATAAATACACACTAGTATACCATTTATTTAAGTAAATATGAATATTGTGGATCCTTCTTTTATTACATCAATGGCATATTAGAAAAAAATCTTTTTAATTTTAGAAACAAAGGAAAAAGTAGATCAATGTAGCAAATACGTCTTTTCGGAAGATTTATTAGTAGTGGAAGCGTTTTTTATATCCAAATTCTTTGTGATGTAATATTTTTTATAAAATTTTGTGCGTGCTATTTAATATTATTGATTGATTTACTCTCTTTAATGAGAGGTGAGTGCAAAATATATACCATATAAAGATCCAATAATTTGACAGAAGGACCACTGAATATTGTGAACATTGTTTAATCGTGAGATGTCCAATGTATCCTAAACGGGTTAGGATAAAGTCGATAGAGCTCAATGGCTGAGCGCCTCAGTCCTCGAAGCTCCGAGGTCAATGCCTTGGAACAACGAGGCTATTTAATTGGCAAAAAAATCGGACAAGGATCTTATGCCACTGTCCATCTGGCGGAATACTGCGATGGCTCCAGCCTCAAAAGGATGCACCTTGCCTGCAAAATATTTGATAAAGAAAAAGCACCTCGTGATTTTTTAGAAAAGTTTTTTCCTCGCGAACTTGATATATTAACTAAAATAGAGAATCCCCATATTATACAAGTTCATAGCATCTTACAGCGAGGCCCACGAGTGTTTATATTCATGCGCCATGCAGATAATGGTGATTTATTAGAATTTATTAAGAGGAATGGTGTGGTGCCCGAAAACCAAGCTAAGCTGTGGTTCCGACAAATGGCTAGCGGCTTGCAATATTTGCACAGCAAAAATATTGCACATCGAGATTTAAAATGTGAAAACATATTATTGTCTAGACGATTCAATGTGAAGTTGGCGGATTTCGGTTTTGCCAGATTCTGTACGGACGGCGACAACAGACGAGTGCTAAGCCAAACCTACTGTGGATCTGCCGCTTACGCCGCCCCGGAAGTGGTGAGTGGAACACCTTATAATCCTAAACTAGCTGATGTTTGGTCACTGGGCATTATATTATTTATAATGCTGAATGCCTCTATGCCATTCGATGATTCCAATCACCGTAAACTTCTCAAAGATCAAATGTCTCGTAACTGGGTGTTTCGGTCCCGCATTCGCGACACGGTATCAGCGGCTGCAAAGTCGATTGTCCGTCATATTTTAGAGCCGGATATCACTCTACGGCTAACATTGGACCGGGTGTTATCTCACGAATGGACGAGACCTCGCAAGGATAAGAGTGCTAGTTTGATGGGGCGTTTGGTGCAGTCTGCCCCCTCGGCGCCTCACCCGCCCGGGAAGCACGATGAAGCTGGGACATCTGCTGGAGCTCGTGTTTCTGGTGACCACCGGGAGACGGAACGAGAGCGACACGACGACATCCACCTTCGCTCCCACGACTGATACAGTACTGCCGTTGACTACATAATTTCTAAGCTTGTAAACCTTTTCGACCATCAAAAATCGTAAATTCCCTTTATTATTTTTGAAGTTTTTTTTTTACAATTGACGGCGTAACTATTGTTAGTCGTCAATAGTGAAAATAAAGATTTTTATATATAATACCATTTGTGTATTTTCATTTAATTATCCGTTTAAATTTTGTTAGAGTAAGTTGGGTATCAAATAAAACATAAAATATATGCTTATAAAGTATGTAATTATGTAATTATGCACAATTTCAAATTATTTTTCGGGAAACCAATTTTCCTTTATAATCGGTGTATTTTTCATGTTGTTTAATTTTCTAGTATATCCTTCAACTCCAAAAGGAAACTCTATGAAGGGAAACTTAATGAAAAATCTTACAGTGGACGTCTTATTGTCGTAGTTTATGTCAACACTAGAAATTGTATTCCAGTAATGGACTCGAACGTATGAATATGTATTGTCCTTTAAATAGATAAAATATCATTAAGAAACCCATACACAAATCATTTGTAAAAAAATCTTTCATAGAAAATTAAATTTTGCAGAAGGACTGAAAGAAGCAGATATTTACGCATTCTATTAGTTAACAGAATTGATAAAAGCTAAAATTAGTAGTAGCAAATCATATTTTTCATTAAAATATATTAATAGGAACTGCCTATGTAATGAAAATATTTCCTTAATCTAAATGCCTACCACAAGTTTTATCGTCACTGCATACAAAAAGTTTCTCGTGTCACCTTCAAAGTTTTATAAATAAAAAACCTGGAATTCTCCTTTTATATAAATAATGAATTTGTAGTAAGCATACTGTGGCTTAATTTTATCAATGTGTGGAATTTTGCCTTACCCAACTATTCCCAAATAAACCTTCAGACTCTATTTCCTTGGTGCATTCGAACAAAGCAGCAACGTGTACTTACAAGATCTTCACCAAAACATATCTGACCCTTATATCAAGAAAATTGAAATAAATATACTTACTTTCATTTTAAAAATATAGTTCGGCTGAAAAGGTGGTATAGTTCCCGTGTACATGAATTTTAAGGTTGATTGATTAGAAAATTTTCCTGCAAATATACATTTAAATTTATATAATTTTAGAAGCGATAGTATATGCTATATTAATAAGAAGATCGGGCGTTGAAATTTCAGAGTGGAGATAGCTTTGAGGCTAGACATGTCCACAAGCGATTTGTTACTTTATATTTAATATAACTATCAATAACTTTCTAAAAATAAACCCATACCATATTCATATATCTTAATATTATCATCTTGTCTAGTATCTTTCTGCCCACTACTAGCCATCACGCAAAATACCAGTATTAGATGAATTTTCATGTCTGTAAATAATCAATTTGAACAGTTCCAATTGTATGTTCTTTTCAAATAGTAATTTTAATAACGATTCGATTTAATAAGACCGCCAACGACAAGTTTATACGACTGTTTTGTACTCAGCTGACTAGTTTAAGACATAATTTTTAGCTGGGACCTCTTCACAAAATATAAAATCCCATATTTGTAACCTCATTGTTGGAACTCGAGACACAAAAAGCGCGTTTTGTAAGCATCCAGAGCGTTACGCCAGAAAAATAGGAAATCGATGGCAGTAGGTGATAAATAACAGGACTAACTGACAGACATTCACACCTCGTCTGCCCTTGATCATGGTTGCTGAAAAATGACCTAAACGTCGGTAGTATATAGTTTAAAATAATAAAATAAAGCGTAGTAATTCGAAAATATTGGTTTTATTAATATATTTTTTTATCCTTTGATTATTATCAATACCGTACTTTACATTTATCACAGCGTAGAAATTAATTACTTAGGCGTTTGGCGTGTAATCTTATAAATTCTAATGAAATGGTAAATTTCTAGATCAATTAATTTTTATGAAAGTAATACAAAACGCGAATACATTTTTCGATTGTTCTGAAAACTGAAACATAACACACTATTTTAAATTTTAAAGTTTGATGATTTCTAACAGCTAATAACGAATCTTTATCTGTAGGTATACAAAAGGATGCCGTAAGACTTCGCCGTAAGGTATTTTAAATAAAGATGTTGTGGTCATAACCGATAACTTTCTTAATCACTTGAATCCAAACGAAACACAGCTAAATCTATCAACGAGTTTCGATAGATGGCGCTCAAATTCAAAAAAATTATATTAAAATAAATAATTAATAAATATTCCTACGACTCTATTGTTCACATACTGAAATTATACACGTTCAATTTGCTTAAGATTCAGTATTCAATAAATCGATCATTATTTTACAATCACGAATACTGATTAGTGAATAGACGACTGTTCACTTTGTCATAACACCTTGCAGAGCAGAACGTCTCACAAATTGAAACTAATCAGAAATGCATAAATTCTATATCTATAAAATTACCATTTGAAGCTTTTATTCCAAAAGATTTAGATGCACAATGAAAGCCGTGTTGTAGGAAGTCTACGATGTTTTGAAAATATTAAATTAAGATGTTATTATTAAAGTTATTTTTGGGTATTACTTAAAATTGGTAAAAAGAGATTTGAATAGCTTATTACCCTTTGTCCACCGATCGATTAATTAATTATCAATACCTACAGCCTGGTTGACGGTTTACTTATAATTTCTATTACAAAAATTTGATGGGTGTATAACTGAACTCTGTCCCTAATAAAATTAATATTTTTTTGTTTAAAATAACTTTTGTAAGGCTAAAAATATAAAAATATTATTACTATTAAGATGAAATTGTAACTTAAATTTATGTTACTATTTTCTTGCATTTCGTCAGCAAATATCAGTATATATAAGCAAACTTTTATTAAAATATAAAGGCAATAAAATATTTTCGTTTATTATTTGAATAATAAGTTTTATTAAATTAACGACTGTTAAGATAAAATGGTCAAGTTGGCAGACTAACTGAAACTTTTGCATAAATTTAAACCTTTTCAGTATTAATTTAACGCTCCAAAATTAAATTTTATGTTCCTATAATACGATCAAAAACTTCAAAACTGCTCAGTACTAATAAAGCTAGAAAACAAAATACTCTGCTAATTGAAAGTAATAAAACATATTAATTAATTATTTTAATCAAATACCTAAGAGATTTAAATAAAAACAATTTTCATAAAAGATATTATATTCCTTTTATTGTTTCATATATTACAAAAGGAGTCCTTTGGCCTGAATCGAGTAAGTAGACATGGAAATTTCAGCCCAGCTATATTTTATGGTAACCACCTGGGTATCACGGTCGTAGTCAACTTTCGGCGGGGCAATCGCATCAACTGTCACCCTGACATATGTCACAATTGTATTTTTGGGTACCTAGATAAAAATTATCAAAAGTTAATATTATGTAAGGTAAAATTAAATAATATTGTGGTTTTAATAATTATGATGCTATAAAAACCAATATATATTTTTGTCTTTAATTGTTGTGTAAACATTTAGTTAAAGTTTAGATATTTACAAAGTAATGCCTAGCAGTTACTTACAGGAATACCTTTCTGGGTTGTTTGTTGAAGTATAGGTATTTTACCGCTGTAGTTGTATAAGACAATTCCTACATTTTCACCTGAAAATTTTCTTAATATTATATAAGTATTTAATTTATAATATAATTATTTTTTAAATGTTAATTAACATAATATAACTTTGCCTGACTTTAACCGTAACACTAAATAGTTTCCTGTCAAATTTGTTGAAAGTACAATATTATAAAGCTAGTAGGAGTTCATTAAGCTGAAAGACCCACAGATTACTAAAAATAAAATAGTCACAGATAATTAAAATATTCTTACCAAACTCATAGACGTAACTATTTAAACGTCCCTGAGTAAAACTCGGTATAAGAGCAAGAAAACAACAAATAATTATTCCCTTCATTATTTTTGAATGCTGTTGTTAAAAAAATTACAACTTATATACCATATTCACCATGGTAATTTCAATTAGATACGCAAAACGTTAATTCTATGTAATAAGCATAATTTCTGCCAATTATTTAATTAAATAAAACTATGATGTATATAATTATTTTCATAAATTTTAAATTTTGACATAATGTGTATAATTAAAAAAAAACCTTATGTTTTGAGACTCAAGCTTTTTGAAGTATTTTGAGAACAAACGTTCAGGGACTTTTCAATTTTGAAATATCTAATTCCTGTCAATTTTTGTCTCCTTGAATATCCTAAAGATTTTCAAAACTTGACAGAAGTGAAAATTTTACAGTACAAAATAACGGACAAACAAACAATTGCTACTTTATTTAATAAAAAAAGTAGTACTAATGCGAATTTGTAAATTATTCATTTCATTACCACTACATCTGCAACTAATTAACATAATAAATTATAAACTAAGCATTTGCCCGCGACTTCTGCAGAGCGATATTAGATTACGATACTATTTAATAACCAATGTTTTTATGATATTTCTAAGAGACAAGTTTTTAATTCTTAATATTCTCTATATTCATAATTTCTCGTAATTCAGTCGTTGTTTTCTAAATGATTAATCGCTATTGAAGTTTATATTAGCCTGGTTATAGCTAGAAAAATCTGCAAGACGTGAGAGCTCACGAACCAAGCTTCATTGATGAATGATGCACTGGAAACCGTCCCGGTCTAATGTAACGATTTAAATTTTGCAGTAAGAGTTATTTCCTTAAGTAAATGTCGTAGTACAAAATGATCTGTAAATATCTTGAACAGTGCTTAGTCTATACATCTGGGTGGAAAATCTTAGAGTTATCGTGCTTTTTCTTAAAGTAGATACACATTTTTTTTCCTTCTAGCTGCGCGATGACAGTTTTTTAGTATAGTAATCATAAATTTTAACACACTGTAATATTAACGAAAGTAATTTTATGACAAAGTTGAATAGTTTCGTATTGAGTTTAACAATTCAAACTTGTAAGCACGCTGATTTTGATGAAACAAAGATTCGAGACTAAGTTTAATGTATCTGAAAAGTTGAGAGGATTATTTTTTTCAGTAGTTTTAAAAGTTACTTTAACTTAGTTAGTTTTATTGTTACTTTTTTTATCAAACTTCACGTCTTTCTTGTTTCTACCTTCCACATTTCACCTAACAATATGTTTTCTAAGTAAATATTTTTGCTTCTACTGTTACTGTTTCTTTTTATCTTTTGGTGCATTTAAGCCATAGTAGAGGATGTAAAATCATAAAATTTTTTCATAAGATTTGGGAGGTGTATAAAATAATTATCTTTAATTTATAAATAATTTAATATTAGTACTTTATTGAAAAAGGAACCAATTCATTAAAATAGCAATTAAAATGAAAAGCATGTAATTTCCGTAAAAATATACTTTAAAATTATTTGCTTTAATTAAATTATTTGCTTAATTTACATAGCTGTAATAACATTCGATTCTCTTAAGTTATATTTGATTTGAAACTGCACCGGCTTTTGAAGACGATTTTCTAAATTTACATACATTTCCATGTATAGGTAAACAGTTATAGACTTATAGTCATGTTTCCCGACTTTCACCAGGAGATAAACAAAATTTCTATCTAAATAAGACAAACTTTTACCTCACTATAAGTGTAATGATAGTTTTAATTTTGAGAATGCCGCTTATTTATATATAATATAAAAGTTAAGCATTGTATTATTTCGAAATGGTTGTTTATATGCAAATGAATCAGAAAAACTACGTCCACGTCATTTCCATCTTCATTTTCTATGTTTTTTTTCAACATGGGTTAACATTTAAATTCCATTTTAACATTTAAATTCCTTGGAGATGTTTCGCCAGATTAAATCAGATTGAATAACTAGGTAAGTTGAGATGATTTTTTTCAAAAACTACTATTACCTAAGTATGTATACCACGTTAACATTAATTTAAACTAACTTTTTGATAATAATTTTAAGTTTAACGATGTAATTCGATAAAGAGGTCTTTATTTATTATCAATATTAGATGTTATATTTATTTATTTTATGTTATTAAAGATAATATTCTTTTAAATTCTTTAATTTAATGGACGTTTCGATCATTACACCTAAATAAATTTTAATAAAAATAAATATTCATAAAAAAGAAACACCTATAAGTTGAAAAATTGTAACCTGCTCTCATTCGGGTCCAAATTATAATTCGAGGAAAAGATATTTCTTAAAGTTGGCGAATTGGAAAAATGTATATATAGAAGTCTTGTTACTAAGATAAGCATATTAAGTATTCATCATACTTCTAGCGTCCGAAATGCAAATCCATATTTTATTTTAGTTATAAAATACATATTTTCATTCTTCTCCTATAAAAAATAATGTTTTCGAATTCCACCTCCCAGTTAGAAGAGGTGTAAATGAATTTACTTAGTTAAATAATCAGTCCTGATATAGAAGCACAGTTTTACAACATAATTCAAACTTTATATTGTATTCTCGAACAAAAAGCATTAGGTGTCTTTTGTCTAGAGATGGTTCTTTTCTATAGATGTACATATTTGTAATTGGTTAAGTTTTTTTTTCTAAGCAGAGGTCACAATATAATAAAATATTTTAAATAGTTGTAAATATATTTTTTTCTGCATTCTAATTCAAATAAAATATTTGATTTTTTTTACGTTTTCAAAAAAAACTATGGAATATAATAAAAAGGAAAAAAATTAATAGTATGAAAAGTATTGATCATGAATGGTTTTATGTACTAACAACCAGAACAATTTCAATAACAAGTGAAGAACATACTACGAAAACGAAAATATCTGTGTTGATATTTTTTAGAAAACTATTTATTGGTCTGTCTGTCTGAGAGACCACGCGAGTGTGCGAAGGTGAATACTAAAAATACGTAATGGTAAAAATAACGCTAGTGACGTAATCCATGTATTGTATAGTAGAGACGACTTCTATAGTTTTTAATATAACATTTAGTGTTTGAGAAAATATAAGACACGAACCCCTAGCATTCAATGTATTCACCGTGCGGGTGTCGGGTCCATCGTTGCAGGGAGAGGAGCTTCAACAGTGTCTGGGACTTACGACGATGGTGAAAGTTTAAGGCCCCTATCTAACATATTACATACCTAATCTATGTAAAACTTCATCTTCACCAAATTGCATTTTATATGAGTTATATAAATTTAGTTAACCACATGTCAATAAGTTTTAGAATATACAATTTTTGATAGAATACTCAATACAGTGAAAAGTGTAAATACAATTAATTCATTAATTAATGCTACAACACTTTCGTTTAAATATTGCTAAAAACGGTATCACTAACAATATTTTTTTCAAATTATGAATTATTTATTAAAAATCATGTTAGGTACATATATAGAGATAAAACATAAACAAACATGACACATTGAATTTCAAAAAAAATAAAAACCTTTTTAATTTCGTATCTCATTTATTTCCTTCATAAAATACAATGTCGAATGTATTTCTTCTTGATTATAATAAAAAAAATACGATCGACACTTATAACATACATTTTAATTCTTTACTTTTATTGATCTCATTCTTTCATTAATTAGTATTCAGTAACAACCGGGCCATCTAAAGAATTATCATCTACATGAGATATATTATGGCTACACAGCTGATAGGTATTGATGACGGCGTTCCCAAGGAATCTTCCGCTAGGATCCTGTCGTACCACGTGCATGTATTCATCGCCCAGTGTGAATTGCACCTGCGGCGGTGCTGCCCAATCGCAAACTACTGTCACCGCTTTATTGACAGCCGGCGGATTTATACAATACATCTGAATGAAATACGCAAAAATAATAATTATATAACAACTAGTTTACGATAAAACGCTTTTATTTTCACTGATAGATACAAAAATATATCTCTTATGTGTTAATGGATAATATATGCAACACATCTATTTTATTTTGATAAAAAAGTAGTACTAATAATTTAACCTATTCATATACCTGTTGATAAGCTTCATGTTGTCCTGGTATAATATAAGCAACAGGGTAGTCTAGCTTGTAGCGCGAAGCATAATCAGTGTCTAAAATACAAATCAATATTCAGTTAAAACGAGCGATAGAAACCTCTTGATTTATAAATAAATACACGTCAATATTCACCTTTAGTTACTTGAGTACAATGCGGAGGTGTTGCTTTAGCTTTTGCATTCAACTTTCCCTCGATATTCGATGTTAATGCCAACGTAATTGTAATAAGAACTAAAAACATCTTTGTTAAATCACTGAACTTAACAATGACAAGAGCGCTTCGTTAATGTGCAAACAAGGAAAATTGTACGTATTGTGGCTTCGTATTTCGATGTTATACTAGAATAGACCTTATGTGATTGTAATAAAGATGATATTGTATTTGTTTCATTCCGTTCTTTGAACGTTATTCTATCTTTGAACTTATGACCGGCTGATAAAATGAAATTACGAGGTAGGGTATAAGCTATTTGAGCCCATTGAGTTCGCTTTTTTCAGTAGAATAGTTTTTTTCAAATGATTTTTTTAAGTATCATGGATAATGTTTTTGTATGAATTAATAAGGTTCGAAGTTAATAAGGAACAAGGAGAAGAAATTTTATTTATTTATCAGTATTATTAATTTCCATAGAACTGTTTTTTAAGTCGTCAATTTCAAACCATAATTCTGAGTGGTATAGTGCAGCAGTTTCAACTTCCATTTCTGCAGCAATCACTAAAAAAGAACTAGTTGAAACATGATATTTTAAAATTTTCATTACAATGACTGTATTTCAACTTCATTTTAAGTCTAACTATTCCTATTAATTTTTACAAGAAAAGAATTCATTAACTTACTCCTTAATTTTGTTATCATAACAATATTTTTTTTCAAGCGCGCTAAGTCATAATCCATGGAATTATTAATTATATTATAGTAATCAGGACTATTAATGTCTAGGTCAGCCAAGGAATTTTCATTACTCATTTTGAAGAGTTTTTCTAGTTAATTCACCGAGATAGTTCGTGTAATGTAACCAAATGCCTTAAGAGACTTTTTCCCGCCATAACCATATAAAATAGCACATGGTTGACATCTCAGTACATTTACAAAAATAAACAAAAATATTCATTAACTGTTTGTTTTCTAGAAACACTATTTTCTGCTTTATCTACTTAAAATGTTTTATATTTGGATCAGATGTTGACTAAAACATAAAAAGTAAAAAGTTTTGCTAATATACTAAAATGTTTGTAAATATGTTTTATCAGAAAGAACATTTTCGTCATGTATACAATCCTAGAATCCAAGCCTGAATGAAAAGATATTAAAATGTCAAGTTGTTGTTCTCTAAAACCATGTCATTTTCTGTCACGCGTTTTCTTGTGAAAAATTAGAGAGTAATATTATTAAAACATTCAATTTCACGTTTTACAACTTCAAACTAATGTTGTGCTTTTGAATTTTAACGTGAGTTATAGTGAAACGGCTCAAGATGATGAGTGATGACGATCGCGATATTGATATCGAAAGTGATGTAGGTGCTTTCCTGTTTCGCTTCATTGTGTCAGGTCTCTGTGTTTATTTTATTACATTTGTTAAAATTACAGGCTGAAAATGATTCCGACTCTCGAACTCACGCTAGAAGTAGTTTAGGTGGAAGTGGATATTATTCTCAGGTAAAAACAAATCTAATAAAATAAAAACTGATGCATTGATAAAACATCTACTCTAAATGACGATATTTAGTAAATTTCGAAAATAATTAATGGGATGTTTTTAAACCTTATTAGGCTGAAAAAAGAGCACACCATAATGCCTTAGAAAGAAAAAGGAGAGATCACATAAAAGATAGTTTTACATCTCTCAGGGATTCAGTGCCTGCACTACAGGGGGAAAAAGTGGTATGTAACTAAAATGTTTTTACTATAATATAATAGTTGAGTTATTATTAGTTTATATTATTAGTTTAGTTTGTTGGCATTGAAAGTATAGACAGTTTTAGGCAATTTTTTTTGGAGGGAAACTTAAAGTGGTTTGTTACAATAGAGATAACTTAATAATTATTGTTATAGTTTCTAGTAGTATTTGTAGTGGTTATAAAATTTATGTATGGTTTTGATTGGTCAACAAACATATTCAACAATGTGGTTTGTTATAGTAGGAGATGATATCGCTATTTCACTAATTGTAAACATGACTCCTGTAATATTTATAAATATATTTTGAAATTCATGACTTAACCTTTAAATTAATGATATATAGAATTTTCACAAGTATACATTAAAAATTAAAGTAGGTTTTCAGTATATAATGTGGTTTAATAATTCTATTTTAGATTTTCTCAATGTTTCGAATTAAATTGTTGTTATTATTTGTCCTTCACCGCACTTGCTATAAATTGATTAAAACCTTGGAATTTTTGTTTAATAAATAACTTAAATAGTGGAGCATATGTCTAAAATGAAGTTTCACTTTGAAATTACATATATTATGTGTGTACTCATTTAAATATTGATAACTAATTTGAATGACTTATTTTACAAAATTTATTCTAAAGCAGACAAATTATTTTAAAGCATTAATTATGATTAATGAACTCTTAGCTTTAAAAACTAATAATGTAATGGTTAAGATAATTTAAAGTAATATTCTTTAGGTTTGTGAATTCAATGTTATTTTGCATTCTCTCACTAACTTGACCTTGGCTTTCCTTTGGACGATTTAATTATTCTTTGAAGAAGTAACTTAGTTCATTTATTTATATGATGACCTTGCAAGATTTGCTTTTACTTGTCAAACTTACCAAACATAAAACTGCAAATGTATTGAACCCTGAAGTTTGATGTCGATTATGCATCAAGCATTAAGGCGGCAAACTTTCAGTAATTTTCATAAAAAATGTAGAGAACAATAATTATTGATATGAACAGTATTTGAACCTGCAACCTTCTGATGATGTTGTAGTTGCTTTTACAATAAAGCCAGTCTGTTGTGTCAGTGATGAAGATTTCTATATATTTTGCCGATATATTAATGAATTAAGTCAAATATTAACTTAATTACAACATATTTCACCATACACGGTTTTGAATTTAATGCATTTTACTTCTGACAACACACTTCCATTCATGTAAGGGGTTTGAACAAATTCATACCATTGAGAGATCCAAAATCGTTGGTTTTTAAGATGCTATGAAGATGATCCATGTCTATTACCTATCTCATTCAAAGTTAGTGGATTGCCTTATATACTAATGAATGATGACTATGCAAATGCTATAATATTTTAAGTTGATTGATATGTAAAGTTTGGTATATTAAATGGCCCAGGAAGAGTATACCGTTGTTCATGCCACCTTCTTGTTTACTATTCTGGTTGCCGATTTTTGAATCAGTATGCTTAACATAATCTTGCATCATAACATACTTTGTTCTTAATTTCTAAAAAATAATATATGTCAATACTAAATGTTTCAAAATTTTTTAATGAAAAACTGTCAACGCTTCATGTGTAGTGTGCTGTGTGAAGATGCAAGCTTGGGGTAAGCATAATTATTAAGTAATCAATTTGTACCGTGAGTTGGATGCCAAATTAAAAATTTGAAAACAAAACAATAGTGCTAAACTTCTGACGTAAATTACCACTTTCTAAAAATTCTCAAGCATTTTTATAAAGTGCTTTACTAACATTGACTCAAGAATATTTTAAAAGTTCAATATGAATGAAGTCATGGCATAAGTAAAAAGTTCCTACAAAAATCAAATCATCTCTATAAGTAAAAAGCCGCTATTAAAATGTTCTGTAGGTATGTGTATTCATCAATGCAACAAGTTTTAACCACTTTACTTTTTGGTGCCTTCAAACTGAACTTTTTTACTTTGATATTGTAAATTCTGATTAGAAAATAAGTAACAATTTATTAACATTTGTAGCATTCGCTAGAAGAGTTTATTATATGTATTTTAGTCTTTTAATGTCTGTAATATTATAATTTTTTTCAAAATTCCATTGACAATAATTTGCGACCTCTCATTTATAGTGATTTTTTTAATTTCACAAAACGAAAATGAGGTCAAGAAACAGAATACATCATTCCTTTACATATATACCTAATATAAGTTTCTTTTTTACCGTTGAAAGAGCAGATTTTTATGTTGCAAATATTAATCATATTGATAACACTGTTTAAACTGTCATTTCAATAGGTCTTTATCATTTTCCAGGCCAGCAGAGCCCAGATATTGAAAAAGGCAGCTGAATATATACAGTTTATGAGAAGGAAAAACAATGCACACCAACAAGACATTGATGACTTGAAACGACAGAACAACATTCTGGAAACTCAGAGTAAGTTTAAATGATTCAGTCTTTGATCTTAAGCTAAACACCTTCTACCTGGCAATTTACCAGCTTTAGCCAGGGTCTGCCTTACATGTTGTGGATAGTTTTGGCTAATTGTTTTTACGACCGGCCGCCTGCCTGACATCAACCCTCTTTGGGAATGTATTAATCAGTGATGTCTAAATACTCTTAGAAAGTACATATGACTGAAAAATCACATTGGTACTTGCCAGGATCGAACCCGCGCCCTCATGCATGAGAGGCGGACCTTTTAACCACTAGGCCACAACTGACCTTATGGCTCTTGAAATATAAACGGTAAAGGGGGGGGGGTCATAGATATTTGGCATTGTACTTTGTGATCCAATCTTCTGTCTTTCAATAAACAGCTCAACTTTTATAAGGTTTAATTGTTACTGCCAGCTTGTTCCTAACACACAAGATTTAGTATCCTCAGTTTGGTCCGAAGATACCCCGACGAAATAAAAATTAAATTCAAAATTCATATTTTTTTATATCTTTGCCGAAAATTTAAATATATCGTGTACGTTAAATCAATGACAAGTAACAATTCACTATTTAAATACATATCGATTTGATGATCATAGTTGTACAATATTTTGAAGATTTTTTAAAGTCAATTTCACTTATATGGGATTAGAATAATACTATAAAAAACAATTATTATAGGAAATAATAAGTTTCAGTAACTCTTTTATGAGACAACAAATCTGTAGGGGTTCCTCTCAACAATTTTTCTATTTACCAACATGGTTATATGGAAAACCATGTAAGTTACCATGAAACATACAGAAAATGTAACAATTAAGACAATTTTATTCATATAAAGTTATAAATAATTATTTTATTAATAGAATCGACTTCTTTATACTTTGATACAAATGATCCATTTTCCAAAAAAACTATCAACACTTTGTTAAACGTTTTTTTTTTCATAAATTTAATATATGTATGATTTTATTACAGTTAGAGCATTAGAGAAAGCGAGAGCTACAGGAAACTATATGGATGCACATGAACTAGGACTAGGTATTAAAGCTGAAGACAGTTCACACGACACAGATAGTTCAGATGGTGAGGGAACAACGAGACGTGTGAAAAAACTTAAAATAAACAGTGTTAATGTGTAATGTAATATATAATTTTTAAATGTAAAGAAAAATTTTTCAAAGAACAATATATTTTGAGATATTATTTTTACCAAAGGACCCGTTCTTTGGGTTTTTTTAATATTGCAAAAAATGCCTACTTATTTTTCAGTCGGTGTAGCAATAACTCTATCATAAGTTTACATTAAGATGAATATTCTTATAATAATCTATAATTTTTTGTGCGGATGTATTTAATATATTTTAGTCTTGCTCTTAATATGTTGTGATTTTTTTTTAAGTATTCGAAATTAATTAAGTATGAATTAAGTAATAATATAAAGGTACAATTATCTATAAATCAAGTAGTGTTAGGTTGTATATAATTTTTACATATGCAGCAATATTTTCTTCAGTATAATTTTGTTTAAGAACCTTTTTAATTGACATCAAATGATTTGAATGACAAAATGCTCTCATTATGTTGTAGTAGAATCGCTAATTATGTCATACAATAAATATTCCGCTGACAAATTAATCTATTTTAGATTATTTAATGAATATTCAGTTAGTTTCTAAGTAGTCTTCTTGAACATATTTTACATTGACATTCCTATCTTGTCATTAGAAATGTTTTAAATATTGTGAATCTTGTTTAATTTATGGTTATCTAGTTTGATGCATTGTTTTAATAGTATGTTAAAGAATATTTGTTGTTTTCAATGAAAAAAAAAAATGTTTCTTGAGTTCTGGAAGACTATTAGGTTATGACGTAATATAAAATACTCTTGTTTGAAATTGTTTTATTTTCCTTTAATATATAAATGTTGATTGAAACATTTATATCTATTTTACTTACCAAATCATTTGAATGTTTTTGATTATCATACTTATTCCACATCTTTTGGTTCTGTATCAATTTATCAAGGATAAAAATTTATAGAAAAAAAATAGGTGCAATTTTATAGTTTAATAAATATTCAAATATTTCAATATAATTTCATTTCTCATTTTCTTTGCCGCATGTATGAATGAGAACTGGAAGAAGATTATTTAAAATTAATATGTATACATGGAAAACCTGATTTTGTAAGACAAATTCTTGAATATGTATACTTTAAGTTGCATACAAAAGTAACATATCTTGGCATATAATAATGGTAAGATTCTTTGTATATCTTCACATATTTTACTTCAAACATTTCTAAGGGCAATTCAATCATACTTTTTATATGAATCTAGATATAATCTCCACTTACTGTCTCTAGGATCTTGTACTAATGTGTAATCTCTTCTCCAGCCATCCACAGGAGCCGTAAGTTTTACCTGAGGTAGTAGGTCGAATTCATTATCAACAGCGTCTTTTTTAATAGCGCCAGCTATACCCAGGCAGAGTCCTCCCACGAACAATGCGTAATAGGAACCAAAGTAGTAAGCTAGTATAGGACCACAAGCAACTCCACCTAAAATGATGAAATCATATTGTATCTGTGTTTGTGATAAATTTTCCTCTATGGTATATACCATAAACACGTCTCGATTTTTTTATCCCCATTTATGGTTACTGTACTTTAGTATATTATTATTCCTTCAGGTCACAAGTACAAACGTCTGATGTAAAATTGACAGAAGATAATAACACACGATATATATTAAAAGTTTTTTTGTTTTAAATATGTAAGAGATTTGAATAATTTTCTTTACCAATAAAATAGTTGAGAGGGTCATCCCTTTTTCTAAGGTGTTGCACTCCGTTGGCAACGGCCGCGAATGTAGCGCCAGTCAGAGCAAGAGGCACCGTGTGGTAGGCATAACTATCGTATATATTGAAATTATTATGAATTACTAACACTTTTCCTTAAATAATACTTTGATAATGGTTTAATTTAAGTTGAAAAAAGATATTTGGTTATATATTCCGACCATTAATGGGCGGTTAAGTAACATAAGATTAAGAACGCCTATCTAAGGGATTGAATATTGCTCACCGCCTCAACATGTTCCCCAATCCAGTTGCGTGTGAATACATTAACACGTCGTACGTTGATAGAAATAAACCGGCCATGGCGCCGTATCTAGTCGTTACAAGCATCTTAAAATAAATATATATTACAGAACCTTACGAGTCATTTTAAGAGATTAGGCATTCTCAAACTTTGATGTCAATAATGCAAAAAATCTTGGGAAAATTATGATTTTTATTTTTATTGATACATTGAAATGTAAATACCTTTTTGAAAACATCACAGCCATCGGGAGTATCATAATATTTATAATAATTTCTTCTACCTTTTGGTGTACACTCACATGATGCCATTTTCGTTAACAATAGTTATATTAAAATTATTTGTCAAGTATACCTATAACACCTTTTTTATATATGATAGTCAATTTAATCAACCAGGATCAATGTATGTTACCTTTTTTGGAATATTTTCAGTCGCAAGTTCAAAAAGTATCAAAAACGTTTAAGGAATTTGATTAATCGCGTTTTTATATTCGCTGATTGGCTGAAATCTGTCTTTTATACAATTTATAAAGTTTTGATTTGGTAAGAGTGTGAATTATTCTATGGATTTTTAAGACCTATCAATTCCTTGCTACATATTAAACACCTATAACTAACATGTCAAGTTATTTAAGAAATAACTGTTAAAAAATGTGACTCAAATAAGAGTTAAATTGTAGTTTTAATTAAGATACCTCCATGTTTTAAATTTTTAATTCTTTTATATTGTAACAACATGGGCTTGAGAACTTTAAAAACAAAATAACCACTGATATTTTTTGGGTGGGCAATAATTTCAAAGTGAGATTGTCTATGTCAGTTGGAAAAAAATCTTCGAATAACTATATTTCATATAATAATTCTTAGTTCACGTCTTTTGATGTCTAGGTTTTGAGTTAGGTCGCTGACTTATCAATTACTAATTATCAATTAATAATTAATGATTAATTCTAAAATGATGAACAATGAAAAATATGTTTTAAAAAAATCTTTTATTGCACACAACTTGAATTGATTAATTTTTTTAATGTAATATCACAAATGTTTTTAGTTACTAAATGATTAAAAATCAGTTTACAAAGGAGTCTAGTGTGAGCAAATTGTCTTTATTTTCAAATACCGGTTCTTCATTAACCCATTCACTGCACACTGAAAAGAAAGTAATTTTATGAAAAAAATGTTTAACTTAATTGAAGTTCTTGAAAAATATACAAAAAACATGTCTAGGAGTTAGTGTGTTTTTATTTTAAAATAGAGAAGATATAAAATGAAGTATATTTTCAATTAGATAAATAGAACGATTTAGAGAGTATTTTTTTTTGTGTAAATGTTTTTAGGGCTCTGGATACGAGTCCTTTTGAGCCTGTAGAGAGTCATTAAGAACTAAAGTGTTGCCAGTCTAATAAGTAAATAAATAAATATTTTTCTGTTACCTGATTCAATAATGTTTAGGTCTGAAGGCGTACAAAACATTTCCAGTGTGTCGGAGTCAATTATGTCCGAATTAAAAGAAGTGTTCAGAAGGTTTTCTTCACTTTTACATTTTTTTATTTTGCATATGTTATTTTCGTCAAAATCTGCTTTCCGTTTACGTTCATTAACAGCGGTTTCCTCGTTTTCTTGAGTGTCACTATTATTCTCAGGTTCTTCCCAGTTAGACAAACGTTCTTCTAAAATTTCCACTACAAAAATATCATGTATTAGTTTTTTCACCAAAATGACTTATAAATAATAATATTTATAATAAGATGAATACTACCTTGGAGCAACAACTTTTCGTTGCATCTCCTTATATGAGCGATATCGTCTTCGGGTTCCCTTTCAGAAGCCCTTTGGATTTGCGCTAAAGCTGTTGCTAAAATGTCAGCATTCGACAGCTGAAAATATACAAAATGATATTTAAATCTATAAATAACCAAATATTTCTAGACAAGTACTATTATTCACTCACAGGTATAAAAGTTTCTTGGTGTAGAATGAAAGCTATTACGTATTCAAGTCGTTCATATAAAATTTGCGTGCTCGCTGACACGTCAGAATATGTATTTCTAAACTGCATATAATGCAATGCATATGCTATGCGTTCAGAAATAGCTACCATTTCAATTGTTTTGGCGGTTTCTACCTGACTTATTTAGATAAACTTTGAACATTTAGTTACTACCATAGACATATATTGTCTATTACTAAATAATATACGTAATATCATTAATAATGCAGATTAAATACTTGTTTGTTGAATAATATTTTGTATTTAAATTTATAATACATATTTGTTAAGTACTTACAGAAGGATCACAGCCAGAAGCTTCGGCTAAGATCGACATAGCCTCGGAAGCGGCGTGACGTCTCTCCCTTTCGTACTGAGCATTCCTTGCCCTTTTCTCCTCCTAAAAGTATGCACAAAAACATTTATCATATGTCTTTTACCTCTTTTCATTGTATCACAGTTTTTAAACTATGAGTTTTTAAAGTACACAGTTCTTAACCTGATTGAATGTCTCAATACAGATATCTCTAACTCATTATTTTACGGACAAACGTAGCACTGTTTTAAATATAAGCAACTCCATGTACAGCCATGATAACAATACAAAAAACATTAATACACTTACTAAAATACATATACTTACATGCATATAGTATGTAGTATAAAACATATATTTTTATATATATTGGATGTAATACACGTACAAAAACATACATATACTATAAAGCAAAAGTGTTGTTTGGATGTATGCAAGTAAATATTTATAATTTTATCACTTACAAGCGATAGCGGCGTTCTGTTCTTTCCAGTCGGTCTTCCTCTTTTTTTCGGTTTAATTTCACATGATGATGGATCCTTAAATATACGTAAGAATTCATATTATAATTACTTTATATAAATTAAATGCCTATTAGTATTACAAGGTTTATTTACAAACGAATCTATCATTTGAAATCTGTAAACAACTTCGCAATGAAGGCGCGACGCTGTAAGCTCCACAAACTAAGTAGGTATTATATGTAATGCTTTATTTGAAATTTGAGCACAGCTTTCAGTGTGACCGTTACATTAATAAGAATTAATATGAAATAATAAATATAAATCTTATTTAAACAACTCACTCGATCTTGGTAACTCATTATTTATTGTTCAAACATAAACACATACAACTGCGTACACGTACACACTCTAACAATAATTTTAACTGTGACAGATTTTTTAAAAAGTAACTCGACTCATAACGAGCAAATCCTGACGTGAGACTAACTTCAAATCAAAACATTAGCTATATATACAACCTCATCCTTTTAAAACTCCAACCCCCTACCACTATTCGGCTATTTATTAAAGAAATGGGTACCCATTGTTTCTATATACCTGTCCTATTTAAAAGCATTTGGTTTACTTAATCCTTAGAAACTGTAAACCGGTTCCGCTTAGACAATTTAAATGTGTAGTATATACTCTTTAGTTACTTTTAACAACACAAATAATATATATTATAAATAGATAAATAAAAAATGTTTGCGATACTTTCAAACAGATCTCTGAAATTACTTTCATTACATTGAAAGATATTAAATAAAATGATTTTTAGGAGACATGGATATATATATTAGAATTTAAATTATTTATCCAAAGAATATCCGTGATTTAATGTATTAAATTTTTAAATAATTTATTATGATAAAGAGAGATTCGCATCATACAGCAGTTTCTTTATTTATCAAATATAGATTGTCTAATAATTCCATTTTCTATTTAGAATACTGCTTTCAAAATGTACTATTATTGGTGTTTAATATAAAGTCATTAAAAACTTATTTTTATAATGAAATATATCAAATTTTACTTTCTAGTTATCCGTCGATCGTTAGTTAAATTCGATGCAACCAAAAGGAGGAGAGCTTCTTTTAGATAGATATCTTTATTTAATTAATGTTTTAAGTCTCTGGAAATCAACAAAGAATACTTTATAATAATTTATCTATACTGTTTCCTTATTTAACGAATATATGAATTCTGTCGTCATAATACTAATAGGAAAGTATCGATTGGTTAATTTGTAAATTGTATGTATAAATAAAAATAAAGAAATAATAGAGATCTTTACTTATTTCTAATCATTTAAACAATCTTAATTGAATAAATTCAGAATTATTTGTTTCAACATCTTATAAATTATAATTGTACATAGCAGCTGAAATGGACTACAGCCAATATTATAGTATTTACGAATGATAGTATTTTTCAGGCCACAAATAGAGCCTATAGATTTTCATAATGAAAGCGAGGATTCTTACTGATACATAGATAACGATTTGTATTATAAGGTCTTTATAACTAGACTCGTATGAGGAAAAAATGACAACAAAATTTCTTCTTATTATTTATTATTATCTAATATATATTTCAAATAAAACTGTTTGAATAATCGATATTTCTTCAAGCTTCTGTATTTAATGGCTCTAATTCGTTTTTATCTCAGTTCATTCATTGACGTTGATTTCAAACGTGCTCCAGAGATTTAAAGATTTAGTAAGCATCTCTAACCACAAAGGTAATCTACGTCTTAGTATTAAATCCTTCAGCAATTCTCGTTTGTAATTAGAAAAACGCTAAATCCACACATTTAATATATATAAGCTGCTTATATTAATGTGGATGGTTAAAAATATTCTGTAATAAACGCTTATTAAAGTGTAGAGTAATAAATATATGAAAAAGATATTACTTTTAGATCATTAAGAAGATCTTAGTAAACCTTTATTAGCATACCATAAAATTGTTTATACAACTTATTTAGTTTCTATTCTCATTCAAAAACACTATTACTTTGTGTTATCGGACTAAATATTTCAGTTATATGTGGGCCTCTTAAACCTATACCTGGGTCGCGAGTCCCAGGCATTGTTAAAGCTCCTCTCCCTGCAACGTGACGGACCCGGCAACAGCTCTTTAAATCCATTGAATGATTAGAAGTTTTGTCTCATTTTAAGTTCTACTTAGAATAAATAGCTATAGTATAAAATAAAGATTGAATTTTTTCAGTTTCTATATATAAAACCTTTTTGGTTGTCTAAATAAATTTTAATTCCAGTCGTATAATCTGTGGTTTATTCTGAGTAGAGATGTAATACTTGTATGAAATTAAGTGAATTGTTAGAATTTTGACTGCCAAAGTTACCGCTTATTTGGAACATTTAATTAGACAATTTTGATTAACACAAAAAATACATTCTAACCATAATCTAATTTTTAAATAATGATTCAGTTTCTAGTATTCTTTATAAGATTTTAATAGCAAAAATTCACTTTTATAATTGACTGGTATTTTAACTAAAACTATTTTAATTTTTTTTTAGTTTTTTTTTTAAATATACAAGTCCTTATAGGAAGTTCTCGTCAAACGTCAATCAGATTATAAGCAGTAATTATTAGTTTTAACAATAAATACTCCAAAAAATATTTCATATAAAACCAAAACTAAATATTAATATTACTAATTGTTTTGACAGATTTTAATAGTAATTAAAACAACAAAACTATTATAGAGAATGCTTATACGCCTGGTAATTTATAGCTGGACTCTGTCAGCAAAATTCATTGACTATTCAATTTACGCCAAACATTTTCGTTCATGAATTTATTGGAACGAGTGGCACTAAACATTTTTTATGTCTGAACAGCCTGTGAATGCATTTTATCTAGGCCGACAAAATGGCGACTTTGAATAATGTACATCGATATTACTTTCATATAAGTTATATTGCGTTTTTTATATTTATAGTTTAATTGATCGGGATGTAGAACTGTTATGTACTTAAGAAGATGAATATTATAAAAGAATTTCAGGCTTATTTGTCATATCTTGCTGACGAAGTTGGTGGTTGGTTACTATCTAATAATAAGTCTTAGAAAGCGAAATGTAAAATAACAAAAAGATAAAAATAAATAAAATAAATGATCGAAAACATTCATAATTTAGTATTTTTTTCAAGTTCATTAGATACCTAATTGCTATAGCAATAAAGACTGAAAAATAACCTGTTTCAATCTCAAAGTGAGTATGTAATTTAAAACATAGATTTCGTTTTCTTTAAATGACTTATCGCTTAATAAATTATTACGTACGAAGAGATTAAAGTTGAAAAGAAGATTTCAGATTAGTTCTAAGAGATAATTAGTACAATTAGTAAGATATAATGAGCCTTATCTCATATTTTATGACCGTCATACGTAAAATTCTTGGAATTTTAACAAAAGTAAGTACTAAGTAGTAACTAATATTTAGTTAAAACATAAAACAAATTAGCTTTTCTTACTAATATTATTGAACTTTGTTATAATTATAACAGTTTTAAACTTAATATTTAATATTTTACTATAATAATCAATACACGATCATTTTTATGTTGCAGATAAGCCGTCAATAAGTTTAGCGCTAAGCCGCTTTACCAGGATTTTATTTCTGTCTTTTTGTTAGACCATTGTTTATTTGTTATAATTTATTTTATTGTTTTGTGTAATAAAATAATAAACTCACTAATAGTGCTTCCTTTAAAAAATAAGGTATAATTTATACATCTTAAACTGTTACTCGACGCTCACCTAAATATATGTTTGTTAAATGTTTAGTTAATGTAAATTTTGAACCTTTAGTTATTTTTTTATTAAAAACTAGATTCCCGCCTGCAGCTTCGTCAGCGTGGAGTTCAGTTATATCACGTTTCCAAGAGAACCTTTCAAAAGTCTGGGATAAAAACTATCCTGTCCTTTCTCAAGGTCAACTCCATCTCTGTACCAAATTTCATTAAAATCAGTTCAGTGGTTTAAGCGTGAAAGCATAACAGACAGACAGACAGAGTTACTTTCGCATTTATAACATTAATTTCGCATTTATAATATTAGTAGGGATTTAATCGTTTAATTCAAATTAAACGATTTAAATAAATCGTTTAATTACTATTGGTTAAAATGTTCAATAACGTAAAAAATGTATATTTGTTAAGGAGTCAACATTGTATTACAAATCTAGCTAGCTTTAAAAGTGTTAGAGAGTTCAAAGATAAATTTTTGTATCACATTTAATATGTATTCCGAATACAATAAAAAAACAAATTGACTTTCCAAACAAAGGCACAGCCGGCTCTAAATTATTTAAAGTGCTAGGACATTTTTCGACGTTTGTTTGACTGGCGCTGCGCCAAAAGAGCACTAAACTAAAATGCAATTACTATCCAATCTAGTTTTTTTTTATTTGCGAATCAGAATACATTTGGAAAAAAACAAAAATAGTGTTCGATGAATAGATTCTAAATAAAAATTGTCAGCTACATACATTTATCTTGTTTTCAATAATATAGGAAAATAGTTTTTAGTAGTTATAAAAAAATATCTTAAATTATTAATTAGCGTATATATAACCTTTTCATAATCATTGCTTTAAAAACGATGCAACTAAGTTGTTATACATATTTTATATCATTATGTTCTAATAATTTAAAACCAATATTAATCTATAGAGTGTTTTATATAGGGGAATGTATTTATCAAAATTAATGTTTCTTATATATTAAAGAATACGTAATAGCATTTCTTTTCGATAGTACCTGAAGACCGTTTCACATATATTATTTTTTATTATTTTTCTTAAACATTATAGATATCAATTTATCTTTGATGTTTAATGATTTCAGTGAATGTAAATTATAAGATTAGTTTTTTATGCTATGGCTTCCTTAGCACTTTGACCATGAAATATTATGAGATCTAAGATTTTTGCAAGTACTCATTTAAATGAAACTAATATTTTAGGATATACTACGCGGTTTTTTTATTTTTGACTATAAACTACATACTACCGACGTTTCGGCGTGTTAACAGCAATCGTGATCACGGACAGACGAGATGTGTGTGTCACTCAAATGTAATAAAGGCGATTAATTAAAGATTAGTATTAAAAAAAACATTATTTACAAACATCCGAAAATTTTGTTTCAGATAAATAGTTGACAGATACGACATACACTGTAAAATTACGGTAGATGGACCGATAATTGGCAAATGAGTTTCCAATGTGCACTGCGTGTGAAACTACTCGTACCAATCGAGACAGAAATCTCTCAAAATACCAATTTGTATCAAGATTAAAACTTTGTTTCACTAACGCTAAATTTTTTCTTTAAATTCTATTTTGATATTGTTAATTACTCAACGAGATTTGTGGAATAATATTGTTTAATCTGAATAATAAATCTGGTTGTTTTTATCAGATTCATAAAAAAAATGTAAAAATAGTTTTATATGTGTTTTATTTGTATACTTGTTACCTATTTTGACATTTCAATAATTATCTGATTCTTAACAAACATACATTCCATTTGGTTACATTTCCAATTATTTTAAATGAACGGAAAGATGAGAAACTCGATGATTATTTTTATATTTTGTTTAAATTTGATTGAGTATGAATTAAAACCTTTTATTATGAAAGAATTTGATAAATACCAGACATCAAACGGAAGTAATAAAACAATAAGAGATTTATTATTAAACTTGCTTATTAGGTAGGTATATATTATTTCTGTTTACTAAAAAGAGAAAATATAAATTATATCTAACACTTTCGCGAGTATTTTTTTTTTGATGACGCAGGGGAAACTCTTTTTACGAGCCGTCCAACCGGCCTTAGTGGGGCCGGAAGGGATGTGTGAGGCTCGGCCTGGGCAGGCCCCTACTCACTAAAACCACTGCGAAAGCTATCGGCCGCTATGTCGGTGTACCCCGGATCTGTCAGCGACAGGGCACACCAGCGACTGGCCGGTCCTGGCAAAGACCGGACTTACTCCCTCGGAGAATGGGGGCGATCCCGGTAATTTAGGACCATCCCAACGACGCCGGGCTTTCAATAGGGCCGGGTTACCACGCCGACCCCAGCCCGGAACACAGGGGTGCTTGCGCGAGTATCCGCTATACGCTAGGAAGTTAAGAAATCATCGGCGGTAGATTATTTATGACTAAAAAGACCAACTGACAGACATTTTCACATGGATTACTGCGAAGTAATTAAAACGTTGGGAGTATGTAGTCAAAATAGTAAAAAGCGTAGTAAATCCGAAAAAATCAGTTTTGTTTAAAGGAGAAATCTGATTATTAACCTTAATGAAACTTTCAATCTAATATTATAGATAAAAATAAATTCATGATTCAGGTGTACGCAAATAACAACGGTTTAAGGAAAAACATAAGGCTATTTTTTTAAACGACGTTACAATGTTTATACAAATTGCCTTTAAATATTTTTAAGTCTTTTATTTCATGATACAATTACAATTGTCTTCTTATTGGACAATAAGTCCCAATAAAATAAGCTGACTTTCAGCTAGCCATTCATGATTTAAAAACAAAACACATAAACTATATTACTCGAAACAATAAGATTAAAATAAGGTAAATAGATGAATAAGAAAAATGTATTATTATTAAATTCTGCTAATGATTTGAATTCTACGATAAGGATTTTCGTTAAAAAAACCTTACCGCAGTGTACCTGGAATCGTTATTAAATACTAAGAATTATTACTTGTATTGTTTTGTTTATCTTATCCACGACGTATAAAGTTAATCTTTTATGGTGGATATAAAAATATCGTTCACTTCCTACCTATGTAGGTAAAGTCGGGATATTAAAATATTTATAGATGTTTCTTTTCTTTCAAGGAAGCATAACATTTTAGTTTGTTTTGTATGTGGTGCAAGGTTTTAGTCAGCTATCTTTCAACACCAATGTATCGTAACATGGTTCGTTAAATTTGTTCTTTTATTTATGACATCGATCACAAAGAAAATTCTTTGATCAAACATTACTTCGTTATGAGAGGAAGTAACCTTAAATTGTGCCAATTCATGAAATAGTTGCGTATATACTGTAGGTATTTTTTTCAAAAAATACCTTAAAATATTTCACATTTCTTTTGTTACACGTTCTCGTAATAAGTTTATTGTATTCAATAATTTCTATTTCGGTGCATCTCTGTTAAATTATATTATATTTGAACAAGCAATCTTTTATATGATAATAAAATTGGCATATTTATAAAAACTACAGTTTTTTGTGATGTAAAACCAAACTTTCAGCCAATATCTAATACTTCAAATATACTTTTATTTGAAGTACTCGTATTAGATATTTTTTTAATAAAATATCTTTTAAAGTCGCTCGATCTCAACACTTGGGTTGTATTTGGTATATCCTCTCGTATGAAACATACAGGACCATGAGAGAGGAAGCACTAACAAGCACTCGTATACATGTCTCGTTTCATTACATATCGATAGTTTTTCTTTTTTTATTGTTCCCATAGAGTTTTCACGTTGAATGTTATGAGATGTACGTACGTACTATATGTACTGGACATATATATGTACATACCAGTTTATGACTTAGTGTAATTGGGTTGAGGGAGAATTAAATATTCTGTGCTTAAATAAAATATACATATTTAAAAGATCGTAGAGGCATGACTTCACACAAAACACAACTTACATCTAGGCTTTCTTAGTAAAATAAATTAAAATTTTATATAAATTATCACATTACTTTGAATTTTTTTATAAATCCGATCAGTCGTGTTTTTAGAAAGATAATTAAAAAGAACCATTCGTATAATTTTATAAACTTTGCTTTTCATATAAGTAGGAGTATATACGAGGAGTATAAGAATTAATTAAAGTATGGAGTACATTTTTGTAATTAATATATTTAATTTTTTAGCCCAAAAGCAGTGTTGTATTGAAGCCCGCGGCATCGAGTTGGCTCGTAACGTCGCTGTAACGGCACTCTGATAACGAACAATTTGTACGTAATGCTGGCAACGTTTCACGTAATATTGCCGTAAATATCGTTAATTGTTCCCATCGTTGACTGTTCTGTGGACGAAATAAAAGTTTATATTGAAGCACTCACAAAAATTTGCACCAGTGCATTTAATTTGAAATAAAAAATGAATTTTTTCATCAGTTATTGTGACTATGCCGGGTACATTTCAGTGTTAAATCTTACTTTTTTAATTTTTTTAAAAGATTATATTCAAATTATATAGTAAAAAACACCCTAAAATATGCTAAATATCTTCTTAGCTATAGAATTTATGAACTAAAAATAAGTATAAACATAATCGTATGTAAATTATGAATGTTTTATCCCACCGAGAGACTTATCACGGTTGAGATACAGATTAGTGTGAGATCTGTAATTTCACGTCGTCGTATGTGGGCTCGAGCTTTGTCAGCAAGCTTGTCAATGTCAGCGTCGCTTGGATACACTTTGACGTTTATGAATTTGCTCCTGGAACATGCGTTGAGGGAGTCGCACACTTCAACCAAGACATCTGTTCCACCAACTGAATTAAAAACAATTTTTCTTCTATACATTTGATACATTGGATACGGGATTCTTTGAGACATTTTGAAAGTATCTAACTTATGAATCTGAACCACATTCCCAGGGGTTTTCTGTATAAGAATTTACTTTAAGCAAAATAGGTCGATGTGTCTCTGCTATATTATTCACAGCTCTATACGGTCAGATAGGTTTGAGCAGTGCATGATTTAAGAGTAACCTCATTATATAAACGCAAAATATTTTATGAGTTAAGGAATCAATAGATTATGTTTTATAATTATCCTTAATTAAAAATTTCCTTCAAAATTTTACATATATGGAAGATTTTGCAGTCTCTGAAATGTTTGACAAACAAATATATTAATTTTATTATTATTTTATCCTTACCTATATAAGGAAGGTGTGTTTCTATTGCAGAATGGCCTAAATAAGAGGCTAGTGGAATGGTTCGATTGTCGATCACGTAATAGAATGTGAACCGCAGAGGTCCATCGGGGTCCGAAGCGGAGGCGCTCAGTCGGAACAAGGATTCCAACGCCAACCCCGATTCCGGATAAACCTGAAATTATAAACATATTGATAGGTTCACCGCATTCAATTCAATAAATATTTATATTTATTACATTGTATACCGTAAAGTTATAAATATATGGGCTCTCGTTTAGCTCTAAATGAAGATTTCCGTAGACAAGACCATGAGTTTCACAGTCAAATGAAAAAGAGCAGTTGCATTCTGCTACTAGACGTGCGGTACCGTTGTTTGCTTTCATTTTAGCTTCAATTTGTCTTGTGTAAGTTTCATTTGTGAAATCGATGTATTCGTAAAGGAAATTCTCTTCAATAGAATTCAACGTTAATGATTCAGATATTGCATATCCGTGCTAAAATACATTATTATTTAATAATAATGAAGAAGTCTAATTAACGATACTATTAGATAGAATCTCTTTATAATCACAATGTAACAATAGTCAGGTTTTCAAACAATTCGCTCAAAGAAAAATATTTTATGTTTAAACTACAAAAATATGATTTATTAATATAAAAATGTAGTATATTATCTTCTATGAAATGTCGGATTAAAAAAAACAAGCATAAAAGTAATAAAATGTCCGAGAGGGAAATACATATTTTCAATTCTTTGCAGTGGAAAATATTTGCACAAGCATGTGTAATAAAGGACTGTAGTTAGTGTACATCAGTATGAGCTTAATACAAAAAGAAGAGTTGTATATAAATTAATTGTGTTATTACAAAAGATAATATTGAAAAGTTATTTATTAATTAGTTGATTAACATTACAGGTCGAATGCCTATATATAAAATATATTGGTCGTTTTCAGATTTAGTTGTTAAGATCAATAAATAAATTACTTTACTTAGGTAAATTTTTTAACTCTTATTAATAAAATAAATCATATATTTATACGAGGTTTATGTTTATGCTCCTATAAAAAAATATGTATATTTCAAAATGGCTGTTGTACTAAAATATAAGTAACTATCACCAAAAAGTTTAATTCCATGATATTTTTTTTAGAAAGATAAATAATTTTGAAAGTATCTTTTATAAGCTTGTAATATAACGCTGACATCAAAATTATAAGGTTTATTGTTTGCTTAAAAAAGGTAAATTGAGTTTATAGAATGTGTGTATTAATTTTAGTAAAGCAAAAAGTGCATATGTTTTGTTAATTGCTAGTAAATCGTGTACAAAATCAAATAATTTCCACACCGTGAATCCATTCCATGAGTCATTGACCGAGTAAGTTGATTCACTAGCCAAGTACTCTGCGGTAGCGAAGTACCACGTTAGATGGCAAGAGGGAGCCAAGTTGCTTGCTTTACCCACTAGATGCACTTCTTGGTTCTCGTTCATAACTCGATTTATAGACTGGATCTAAAATAAATCCTCTTTTAGCGAAAACAAAGACGTACATTTTATTGAGGAGCGTCGTTTCGGTTTACAAACAATGGTAGGTAAATATTTCTAAGTGCTTACGTAGTTAAAGATAATGATGAATAAGAAGGTAAGAAAGCTATACCTGCAAAACTGGTAAAATTCCTTTTATAGCTCTTATTGTAGCGTTGGTTTTTGCAACTTCTTGTAGGACAATAACGTTTAAATGTATATCGTAACTGTGAATATTAATCAATAAATTTATATTGAGTTTTTGTTTAATTTTATTATAAACATATAATTTATATAGGTTTTCGCATTAAAATAAGGCTTTCGTAATAGTATTTTCGTTAAATTTACTAACATGCCCTCTTCCGAGATTCCCTGTGAGACATTATAAATTCTTTCATTCCTGTTTTCAAAGAAGTCACATGATTTTTCATTGCTGGTGCACACCCATTCAAACTGAAATACATTGATATATTAATGTGTATAATTTTAGTCAGAAAATTGATATTTTTATAATTTTAGTCCCAACTTAATCTTTAAGACATATCTTATCTTATTTTTTGTTCTGTTGTAAAACCTTACTTCTATTGTAGTATCTTTTAAATCATCATAAATGATAAAAGCTTCAATCGCGAAGGCTTCGTTGAGAGGAACGACTAATTCGTCTATATTTAAATACACTTGGAGTTTTCTACGAAGAACAGAGACTGTCAAAGCTACCTGTAAGAACAAAAGACTTTCTTTTTAAACAGTAATCTTACGATACTTTAATTATGGTCTGTTTAAATTTTATTGGACACGACGCGCAACATATTAAAAAATAAATGAACATCGCCGGGATACCATCGTTGTATGGATATCATATCATTAAACGAGTGACGATGCTGACTCCGCGGAACGAACATCAAGCCGTTTGAACCAGAAGATTCCTGATACCACACAAGCAATAAAATGTCATTGCTATCCTAACATCGGTTCAATCATGTAGACTTAGGTGTAGGTTATAAGTTTTAATATGTATATTAATTCTCATCATAATATACATATAAGTAAGTTTCCTAGTTTTCCTTAATTAATTTACGAGTACCTCTGTGATAAAATCGTCTGAACTGTAAGTTTTTATTTCACAGATTACTTCATATGTCAGTTCAGGTTGTAAGGTGTTTGCAGGTATTTCCAATTTAGAGCCTATTATATGAGATACATTTATAACGTGTTCAGGCTTACTGGAGACAGACCACGAGAACTGAAAGATTAAAAATAAATGAATAAACACAAATATAGTAACTGTAAGGAACTGTGAAAATGGCTTTATAAGCAAAAATGTGGAGGGAATATGTAATTTCATTCTGGGTTCAAAGTTAATTCATTATGTTACAAATGTCTACAGTGCGATTTATCAAATGCAAAAACTCTCCATCTACAAAAAGTTTAGTGATTGTTTTCATTGGTGATTAGATATAGCAGTGCATAAAAAGATCATGCAACTATTCTTAAAATACACAAAATAAAAAAAAATAAAGCAATAATATGTCATTTCCCAACAGATTCTCGTTTATCTTTAGATGTTTATATTATATAAGAGCTATTAATTAAAAATATTTAGATTTAAACTTCATAGTTATTTATTTATTACATAATAATCTTGTGTGTCTGTACAAGTGGTGACGTCGGCTACCAAAGTATATTGTATATCATAATAAGTCGTTTGTCCTCCCAATAATATGACAGAGAATTTTTCAGGCGTATTCTGTACGTCTTTAGAGATTGTCACTTTGTCTACATAAATTATTTTAAAAGCTTTCGTTGTGATACCCTCTATATTAAATGCAGTCACATGAAAGAGGTAAGTTATTCCGCTCAGTAACTGTAATAAGAATATTGATAAACTTTAATATAATAAAAATAACTAACATTAAAACAATTGAAGCGAAAAGAACGTGTTCTTCTTATATTTTTTTATGAAATTAATTATACCTCATTATTTTCTATGATGTAATCGAAATCATTTGCTGATTGCTCGTTCAATTTCTTTTCCAGAGCGCGAACTAATTTCCAAAGGTTCAAAGTCATCCGCTGTGATAGAGATGGCAAGGACACCCAACGTACAATCCAAGATAATTGGAAATCGGTAACAGTATTCGGCTGTATTCTGTAAACATTGTTCTGATAAATTATTAAAAAAAAAACTCAAGGGCATTCCAAGGTTATAAATGTCGTATGACTTTAAAATCATGCATAATGTATATATCGTGTCAAACTGACATTAGGAATATATTAATAATAAAACCTTTTTTTAAAATTATCCGTGGCATTATAACATGAAAAGTATGCGAGTTTTAAAAATGAATATTTAAAAAAGTATTCGTGACGATATATCAAATATAACAAACTTTTGACTGTAGAATATTTATATTTCAAAAAGCCAGGTATTTCTCTATATAAATGGACGAGGTAGGCAGACGAGGTACTTTTTCTGTATAAATTTAATAAGTATTTATAATATATTTATAGATACTCACGTTATAACAGAGAAATCACGTTTGACGCTGGAAATGTTGTCATGGTTGGGGCAAATGATTTGTGGGGCTAAAATACGGAATTCTGGGACTGCGGTCTCCATATGAAAATTATCACGTATTAAATAAATGCTTAATACTTTACAAGTATGAGTTTTTGTCAAATATTTATTATTGACAATGTACTAAAGAGAAATATGTGAAAATTTTAAAGTGCATACAGGTGACGTTTCACATAAAAAAGTTTATTTCCTAGCTCTGATGAAAACTTAACATTAAAATTACTTTGTTATACCCAAGTCGTGTTGTTCACTAAAATGTCTGTTCAACACAGTCGTATATTACAAAGAAAGTTTGTAAAAATAAATCAGATTTTAATATATGTATAAAAGTATAATTTAAAATATACATTTAAGGTCTATTGTTAAAATGTTTTTGTTTAAACATGAGTAAAATTTCCTTTTACGAGTATCACTCATACTAACTCGATAACAATTGTCAATCTACAAAGTAATTTCTGTTATCATCACAATTATACAATCACAATATTTTCATCACAAGAAGACTAGTATTTTTATTAAAAAAAAAACCATTTGACATCAATATCGTCTTCTAATTACAGGTTTTGGTTTCATTATATTTAATGTGAAATTAAAATAAGTCTTGTACAACATGTGATATGGGCAAACTATTAATTTGGAAATAAAGAATCAAGAGATGGAAATATTTTTAGTGACTATTGGATGCTTGAAAGGCGTTCAACGTTTTTAACTTATTAATTTATATTGTATTTGTACTTCATATGTATGAAATCTTATAACTATAATGGTTTAGCCACATAATGCAAATTAGTACTCACTACTGGTTTAAGTTACATAACCATTTTTTTACTATAAAACGAGAAACGTCGGAAGTATGTAGTTTTTTACAATAATGTTTCATTAAAATGAATACTCGCGAAAGTCTTACATCTAATTATATGATGATCAACATGTATAATAATGATAACATAATCAACATTTCATAACTCTCTTTTTTAATACTTTCCGATCTTAACGTAACTTTTCTTTAGCACTTATAACACTTAATTTTAATAAAACGACTTACAGCTGATCCAATGAATATTAACATATTTATATAATATAAATTCTCAATAATCATTTTGTACAATTAAATTTAGTTTCAGAGAACAGTAGTAGTTATGTTTCACGCTTTGTAATTTCTGAAACCTTTCACGGCTATTGATTTTGGTAACATTATAGCGTGATACCAATTATTATTATAAAAAACTGAATATAAAACATACTCGGGGTCGAATTTAATTGAAGCAACTGTATATGTACGAGTATGTATTGACAATTATTAAAACATGCATGATATATGCATTGGGCGTTATTTATGAATGATGAACCAAAAATCTACTCGCGCAATATTTGTGTATCTAATTTGAAGTCGCGAGTTTCACATTTAGTTAGAACTACATATAAAGTTACCTTTTTTTTCTACATAGGCATAAAAAATCGTAATTTTATAGAGTATAATCATATTAACAATTGAAAATATAAATTTGCTAAAATCATCAGTTATTATATTATTTCTACTTCAATGACATTTAAATTTATATACAATATTGACAGAGCGTATACAATATATATTTTTTTAATATACACAATATTAAATCTATGAAAAATCTTATGTATATCTTAATCTACGTAAAACAACATTTAAATTAATCACAAATGTTTTATCAGAAATCTAATGTACCTAGGCATGGAAAGTATTTTTTGTTGTTGAAAATACATATTTTTGTGTTATACAACTTCAAAATTATTTCGAAAATATATACCTAAGCTTTAAAAATATATTTTTTTATTGAAAATATATGTATTTGTGTTAAAAAGTGTTTACCGCTTAAATAAACACCAATTATGCCATGATCTCGTATAATCGTACAATGGGGATATCAAACTGTTTGCGAAAACAATACAGCTGTAGACATAATAATTTAGCTGTAATCGGATAATTGTCCTGTTTTAACACCTGCCGTTAATATTACCAACTTTAAAATTTAATTGTGCTATTAAATTATGGTAAATGTTTATAAATTGGATTTTGTGATATATGGATTTTTTTTTATTGTTTTAGTTAAAGTGATAGAATATAAAAAAAATATTACAGCTATATTAATGTGTTATATTGCTTTTGCGATTTAGGTGAAGAGATGTACCTACATATATGCCAGGTACATATGTATTACAAAAATTACTAGAAGTATCATAGAAAGAACACAAAAAATTATAAATAAGCAATTAAATAAACTAGATAGTATTTGTATTGTTAAATACAAGTCATATAAAAATTTGTTCAAAATCCACATATAAAACTATAATGCCTCAACAATATTTGCACAAAAACACGACTCAAGAGAAACAATCAGTCCACCTTTTTTATATTATTACTAGAAGACCCGGTGAACTTCGTATCGCCCTATAATCAAGAAATATCTGTTACGATTTTTTATTTATATTTTTGGAGTTTACCTATTAAAGACATAAATCTCCGTGTTTTGAAGTGAGAGAGAATGATTGACATATTAGTTAGTTGTCAAATCTAATGTCAAAAAAAAAACGTTTGTTTCAACAACTACTTATAAATTAAAAATTAATTAAAAAAACATTGTTCAGCGGACAAAATTGTGAATATAAACCATTCCCAGATCTCCTTGTGTGTGTACAAAAATTTCATCAAAATCGGTCCAGTCGTTTGAGATAAGTTCAGTGACATACACACTCACAAAAGAATTATATATATCGGCGCTATCAGCTTTAATAACGGATGCGACATGAAAATAATTTGAGGCTGTCATCAATTCTTATTAAAACTCATTAGTATTCATGATTACTGTTAAAAGTAAAACGAAATGAAAGATTGTTTAAAAGGAGAATAGAACTATGTTTAAATCTCGGTATAAATATGACGTGTAGACGCACGACGGCAGAGTTGAGAATTCAGAGTTCAGTGAGTACGTAACATTGAAGTATGTGATTACGAAGAACCTTCGAGTAATACAGGAGTATTAAGAACAATTGAGTTTCATTTTAAAATATCATGGAACGTTCTAGAAGAAATGACATTAGTAAAGTCGGCGAGGCTGGCGTCTATCTCTTTAAAATCAACGAATTTGTAATAAATCCGATATATATATAAAGATATTAACAAGATCGCATCAATTTGAGTGTATATTATATTAAGAGCGTAAATAGCTCTTCAAATAGCGAAGTTAATGTGATATACATAGTTCTAATTTTCAAAAGCTACTAGGTACAAGCGTTGAAAATTCAACTTAAAATTCATAATATATAAAACCTTTCCATTTTAAACGTTTAGCCGATGTTTTGTCATCTATAAAATAACGAATATTATAAATATAGTTAACCTTTGGATATAATTATTATTTATTTTAATATTATTGCCTAAATTAAAGTAAAAAAATGACACAACAAGAAAACCATACATATTATATAAAAACAGTTACATGAGGATTTTCCAACCCGACACCAAAAAAAAAATAAAATAAAAACAGTTACTCATTATGAATAGATCAAAATTCAACCATTTTCGACTGTATTACCTACGCAATAGTGTTTATTATTGAGTCTCTATTGGTGAAATTTAATTTCATAAATGAATAAATAAAATATTTGAAGATACTAATTACGGAGAACTGAGACTGCTCTCTAGGTGTTCTAAAACTGTAATGATTTGGGCAAGTAAAGACTTAGACCATATGCTATTACCAAATTTACACATATCAAAATATTAATTTAATACTTAAAACATGAAAATCTTTGAATTATCGATAAATAATGATTGAGAAACGGTAGATATTTACTGACTAACCGACAAAAATTTCACTCTATAGAATTCGTAGTATGTAAATTTAATCCATATTATACAATGATAGAAAAACAATATAATATATAGTATTGTCGACAAAGAAGTCTGTAACTGTGCTAAGAACATTTTTGATACAGTCTTACCATACAAAGAGCTATGTGAAAGCCGAACGTATTGTGAGATTTTCTTTGTTGGTTGAAAAGAAAACCATTTTTATAGCCCTTTTTATGTTTCTTATTCGGAATCGTGGTTCGACTAATGCGGTTTACAGACAATATATCAGGAGTATAAATGTGGATTTTTTAAAAAATATTATATGACGATTGTAAAAATATACGAAGTACTTATATTTACCACACCAAGCTATATTGAATTGAATCTACTAATACATTATATATATATATGACAAAAGAAAGTAATGTCCAGAATTAAAAAAATAATACATATACGTTATCAAATGGTATATGTTGCGTATAATTATTCAATTCGTTCCGAGAACCTTGACCTAGAAAAAATGTTTTGTGTTTCATGAAGTCGAATTATTAGTTAGAAGGTGTATTTGTAATCGTAAAAGCTAGTGTAGCTTAAACAGTAAACAAAGCTTCGTCAGCTATATTAGGCTATTTACAAATATCTATAAAATATACAAAGATATAAAACAAATAATAATGACGTTATATAATAGTTTTATTGCATTAAACCTATTTGTTATAATCCGATAAGCTTCTATAGAAAATTGCCCTTGAAACAAACTAGCTACATCCAAATATGTTACTAATTCTATTATCTAGTTAGACTTCTAGATTTACGTAAGAATATACAAATAGGGCATACTAATGTACCATCGACTAGTTCCCGTACGCATGCGCCCTGTCTCAAACAACTGTGAACATCGCGCGGACCGGTTGTAACTCATCCGATTCTAGAGCCGAACGGTCACGAATATAGCCGATTAGTGTCGAATCGACCAGCAGTTGAGACTAGCACTCGCCCAGTTAACGTTTTATTAAACATTTCCTGCGATTTATTTGCCTGGATACTGATATAACTAACGTATTTAAAATAAGAACAATAAAGTGATGATGCTGTGAAGAATCAATAACTCAAGTCTTCCTCGAAACGCATGTGTGTGTTAGTTATGGACAGTGGAATAAAAGGAGTAGCTGTGAGGTTTGCATTACGTTAAGCGGCGCTAATCAGGTGGTAATTCAAAAGCGGTGATAATAAACAACAGGCTTTATATAAATCAATTACACTTCACAAAGTGAACAAAGATCGTTAGAGTTTCGCAAGGACAGGAAATTGCAAGATAATGCCCACAACGATACACGAAAATATTGCTCTATTAAACATGATGTCTTCAGACAACTTAGAAGATGATCTGAAAAGTGTTCAGCTCCATTTTCCATCAGAGAGAAGACTTCAGAGCGACGGCGCATGCGTAGAAGAGAGGGTGAGGACTTCCCGCGGAGACATCCTAGTGGCGGTCCGGGGGGATCGCAACAAGCGCGCAATAATAACTTACCATGACCTCGGCCTCAATTATGCAGCTAACTTCCAGGCATTTTTCAATTTCGTAGATATGAGATCAATATTGGACCAATTTTGCATTTACCACATCAATGCACCCGGTCAGGAGGAGGGGGCTCCGACTCTGCCTGAAGATTTCTCTTATCCCTCAATGGACGCTCTGGCATCTCAAATAGATTTCGTACTCGGACATTTTGGTATAAGATCCTTCATCGGTTTCGGTGTGGGCGCTGGCGCTAACATATTAGCTCGCTACGCACTTGTAAGTCCTCAAAAAGTCGATGCTTTAGTATTGATAAATTGTACGTCTACACAGGCTGGCTGGACTGAATGGCTGTATCAAAAGATTAACACACGGCAGCTTAGATCCAGTGGAATGACACAGGGTGCAGTTGATTATCTAATGTGGCACCATTTCGGTCGTAGCACTGACGATCGAAATCATGACTTATCACATGTATACAAAGAGTGCTTTTCGCATGTCAATTCCGTTAACCTGTCAATGTTCATCGATTCCTACTTGCGTCGTTCTGATTTAGGGATAGCTAGAGATAGCAACACCATAAAGGTACCAGTTCTGAATGTGACTGGAGCTCTTTCTCCGCATGTCGAAGATACGGTTACATTTAACGGGCGTCTGGAGCCGGCTAAGACGTCTTGGCTGAGTATTTCTGATTGTGGTATGGTCTTGGAGGAGCAGCCTAGTAAGATTGCGGAGGCGTTCCGTCTTTTCCTCCAGGGCGAGGGTTACTGCAGGTAGTCATCTTGCATACAGACAACGATAAATGCAACGCTGCTATATAGTAGAGTGCACTTGATGCTTATTTACACGCGAGCTTTTACAACACTGTTGTTGTAGACGTTTAAAAGTAGATGGAAATTGTTAACCCTTATTTTAGTTATAATGGGAATAAAAATTATTTTGTGGCTTAAATAGGCTTTCAATTATCCCCTACTTACTTTTTGTACAAATTGACTCTGTTTCTTACTTGTGTTATTAACATTTACTTTGAAATAATAAATTGTTAAATGATTTAAATTTAAATAAAATAATGTTATTAGTATCACAATTTAAAAATTTGAATACCAGAAAATTCCGATCTTAATTTATGATACATGTATTAAAAATGTGGGAGCCTTAAAAATGGTATGAGTGTGATGAACACTTGGAGCGTCAATTATTTAAATGATCCATTAGTGGACTGGAGAGGATGTTAAACGATTTGCATATTCCATATAATGAAAGTTTAAGCTGTAATAATACAAATGAAGCTCGGCGAGTGTGAAATAATCATCCTTTCTTTCATACAGAGAATAAATGCAAAAATATATTTAACATTTCATCAGCGAATGGAATGTTTTATTCATGCTTTTTGATACATAGAAATGAATTTGCACGTTTAAGATTACATTTGCATTAAATATGTAAAATTTTCAGTCATAAACATATTTTTAGATGTACAATATACATAGTATAAGCCTGAAGTGTTTATGTGATATATATTTTGTAGTAAAAATTGGTCTCAATTATGTAAAGAAAACTTTTAGATAAATATGAATTTCGATCTGTTATTTGATACTGGATAAGTATATAAAATATGATCAAAAATTTTACAATACTTTTATGTCATTGTGTTACACGGCTTGAAATGGATATTCTTCTATTGTTCACAACAGAATTTAGAAAAATACTGAAAATAGAAAACAATTATAATAAAAGAAATAGAAAAGAAATTGTTATCGACCATAAGCGATTTCTTCCAGACAACCTTGGAATTTTTCCCTCTATAGAAAATAGGAAATGAATTTGGCATCATAGCATCACTTATAATATATAAAGATATATGTTTAAAACTATATATAATACTTAATATTTAAGTAAGTCATATACAATTGATCATTAAAATAACAATAATAAAGAATATGATATAGTAAGTATTGGAGGTGTCGTGTTATATTTATAATCTTTAGGTTACAATTTTTTTTAATATTAATTATCTTTAGATTACAATTTTCTTTCAATGAATTCTTATATAGATTTTAAACCGAATTTAAAGCTTAAGATGTTCTGATTGATAGAGAATTGCCAATCCATAAATCAACAGAGCGAAAGTTGGACGATTGTTAAAATCATTGTTATTTTTTTATTTGCTATGAAATTGATTTTGGCTCTCTTTATCTTAACGAGAAAGACACATGAAAAAGTATATAAATTTATTTGTAGTAATATAGCTCTAAATATAGCTATCTCTAAATATATCTAAATGGATTTTCTGAGTAAACACAAATTATTATTTTTCCTTTTCTTTTATTCTCTTATTGATTTTGTACTAACTACTACAGATTAAATAAAACTTGGTGTGACGAATGTTAACAATGTTATATGTTTAAGTTAGTAATGTTCTCAAATAAGTGACTATGTATTGTCTTGTTGAGAATAAAGATCTTTAAACCTAATATTAGGTACTTTCAAATAGATAATAATTATAGTAGCTGGATTAATTATTGCTTAAAAATAAATAATTATTTTCCATTGTAATTGATAAATTATTATTGAAATGTTGATAACTTTATTTTATGTCCTATAATTGAAATCCTAAGTATGCGGTTCTTAGAAACCTATATATCATTTCTTCGTTATTTGTTTTCTAATGTTCTATTTATATTATATATATTAAGATTATATATAAAGCTTAAAGTCACGATAGCTTTAAACGGTACAATCATTTGTATTGTGGTTTTAGATACTGTGTACTATGTTATGATTCGATCTTGAATAAATTCATATCAAAATAAAGTTATATATTACTAAAGATTTGGGTAAAAGTAAAAAATAATCTATAAATATCTTGTTTATCTATGGCACGCCGCCATTATGCCGTTCCCATGATGACGTCACACAGCCAACGTTTTTCCCTCTTTGGCAAAAGTTATGGTTTTTTTTACAGCAACGGTACGGCGATTAATGTGTTTAGGATGAGTTCGTATGTTTGTTTTGTGCACTCCAATGTTTACTTTTATCTCCAGGAACGTTATTTTTACATATAAAGAGATGTCGCTTTTGTAGTTCGGGGAGGAGTTTCTACATTTAGGAAATAAAGTATTAAATGCTTGTAAAATTCTTTATAATTTTCTTTGAATGAGTATATATACATATACTGGCCAAACAAAATCAGGTGAGATAATTCTTTTATTAGTATAGGAATTCTGTGATATTACGGGTTATTCTTTGTAGGATGATGACCCAGTCTTCAGAATGTTGAATTTTGTATAAGAGATGAAGTAGTACTATCATGAAAGAAAAGTAAAAGTTAAAGCCACTTAACAAAGAGAACGATTTAGTAATTAATAAAAAGTTTTTGTTTTTGATGTAATATAATGTATTAAGAATCTATGTCGGATATAATAAAAATCTTAAAAGAGAATTTATCTCTCGTTGAAAAGAAAATAATATGATTTAAATAGAATAAATGTTTTCCTGTAATTTAATCTAGTAAAGTCCATAAGTTTATTGAATATTGATAACTTTTGATCACTTATTTAGTATGGAGAATGGTTCTTTAAAACGATAACCAGCTTAGTGACTTGAAGTACCTGAGTTTCCTTTGCTGAATATGATGATGCTGATGAAGATGATGTATGAGAAGGGCCAATTCTCTTCACCATACTTTTTCTATTTCCTCATAATAAAATATCTAAATTATTGAATCAAAAATAAATTATAATGCTTTCATAATCATCGGGTTAGTTGACGCTCATAGGGGATTTTTTTTTATTATTTTCAATACTATGTTCAGCATATATTTTTCTTTGATATTTTTTCAAAGCGACCCACGCCACTCCCGTCCTCAGCGTGTCGTTGACATGTTGGATACGGCATGGTACAATTAACATCCAGAATTGGTGCGGGATAGATTTTTTTCAAAGAGGTTTTATTCTGTTTAATACCCCTTTTCACTTTTTTGTATTTCATCAAATGGTTGAACTAAGAGCTATGTAGGTATTTGTTTGAGTTTGAGCATGTATATTTCTAATATTGACGTGGAAAATTGATTTTCTAATTATGACGAAAAATTTCAAGTGTACATAAGGTTCTTGTTAGAAATTAAAAGTCAATCACATCCTGGCTTCGTTATTCCGAACAATAGGCAAGGACAGCAAAAATTCTACGTAAAATAAATTTTTTGAGAGCTATAATTAAATTTCGATTCGCTTCGAATGCCCATAACGTATATTCCTTTTTTGCGAGGGTTTTTCCTGAATAAACGTATATTGACCACCCCAGGGGGAAGCGGTGGCAAGGGGTGACTGGGTGCGGCTTTGTGAAATGGACTCGCTCTAAAAGAGCGTTGCCTAACGGCACACAGTCCGCTGACCAGATGAATGTATGTGGAAAAAATTTAATGTATTGTTATCAGCGATTCACTTTGATCTCCTATTTTTATATATCTGTAAAAACAAAAAATAACTAAACACTTTAGCGATTTAAACGATCCTTTTTTCATAAGATCTTTTATTTAGGAACCGAATATAGTTTCATGTTACGTATTCATTAAAATTTGTGATCGAATTTTATGCCGTGTTCATTATACATAAATGTTTTGCCTTTTGAAGTTTGAGTATTTAGAGTATTTTTTGATGTTTTCAACACGCATAAAAAATAAATATAGTTATAGTACTTAATAGAGAAATTAAATGTTTAGAAGAGAAATTGAAAAGAAATGTTACCAAGATAATAATTTCCCTTTTTATGCCGTCTGGGTTTAGACATTATAGTGTTAATATCTAAGGTTTTATAAGGTACATTTAAATATAATTATATTTTGATAATAAGGTCAATGTCCTTTCATCTCCTTTTCCCTTGAATACAATAAATGTAATCGGAACTTCGTCGCGTGGGCTAAAATGTAATAATATGATTTTTACGCCTTAAATCTGATTAATATTCTTGTATTTATCACTGGAGGATTTAAGGGTTTTTGGTTTTTATTCCTCAATGAATGACTTTTTTAATATTTCGTATTGCATATAAAAATTATTCAATACGTCATAATAATAACGTCATACGTTATAACTTCAATTTAAAATTGCTAATTTTTAAGTTTGTAATTAATTCAGTTATTCAATTTCAAGATTTTAGAAAGTTATAATATATTATGTATCGAATTTTTATTTATCTCAGCATACATATTTGTTATTTTTATTTATTGAGTAAAAATACATAAAATCATAGCCATTGATTTTTTGGAAATATACTGAAAAAAGTATTCTAATTCGTAGAACTATTGTTTTTATTCTGTATAAATAGGTTTGTGTGATATTAATTCCCTGGTGTTTCATGGAATTTTGTTGGTTTCACAATATTAAATAAATCGTTAGGAATAACTATTGGTAAGCTTTTTCTATATTAAACTCGTGTGTTTATTTTTATTTACGCTAAGTAAACGATTTGTGGGCGTACATATTGCCTGTTTTTTCTCACAACTCTGCGTTTTATTAATGGTATAGAAAATATTTTTCTAGGAATATCACATAAAATTTACGTATTCATTTTTGAAAATATATTTTTCATAGAATTTTAATTATTTACTATGGAAACGTAAAGAGGATGTGTTCGTTGTGGAAAAGACAAGTTTTTTCGTAATTAAATTATTTTACAATAGAGCTACTTACTACCACTTACCCCTTTTGTACCAATTTAGGTATGAAGGAATGAAGCTATGGGTAAATTAAAACAAAATAAAACATAATTCAGAGTTAATTTATATTATAGTAAACATGTTCTCACATACATTTAATATTTACAATACAATTATATTGTCTTAAAACATTCAATAAAAATTGACTAGAACATTAATGATATTTACAAAATATAAGCTCAATTTAAAAGTATAATGTCAGTCTGACCTAGTATTTACAAGTTCTTAAAATATATGACTAAATTAAGCTGGGTTCACACTTGGGTTAACAAGTTTGATAAATTTTATCCTGATGCATCTGAAAGAGTAGGCAGTGTGAACACAGCCTTTTAAACTATAAAGACATGAGATAAATTTAAAAAACTGTTGAGTACATGACTATTTTATTTAAATACGGTTAAGTTATTGTATATAGTGAATTGGATCTTAATCTATGTATAAGAAAATGGCAGTCAACTAAAGCGTAATATTTAAGTCTATGTCTAACACAAAAGCTGAATTTTGCGTTTTAAACGATTACGGCAAAAAATCTCAAAGACATACATAGTTCAAAGAGTGCTCGAAATTAACACTTTTTTCTCTTGTTTAATATTTCAATATTATTTCAGAATACTTCGTAAAACACGTATTTAAACAATTATTAAAAAGTAAATGTATATAATATAATAACGTTAAATCTATACACGTTTTAGTAAAAGCTTTGGTTAAGCAAAAGATATATGTGGAGTAAAAACGTTCCTAAGCTGGATATATCTCGAATGTTGTATCGATTTTATCTCGTTGTAATGGCAAATACGTTTTAAATTCGTCTAGATCCCTGGATTCGGGAGATAAATCAGTGCTGTTTTGCAATTTAAATGTTTTTCTTTGCTTTGATTATACCTTTTTCGATTTACCGACCGATGTGATTCTATGATTGGTTAATTTTATGTTCATTTTGATTATTTACGTAGTTTTGTAGCCATGTAAATGATTGTATTAAATATTTTATGAATAGTTGAGGTGTTATTGCTTCTTTTTTGATTATATTCACCATTCCTTCCAGTATCCTTGATTTATTTAATATATTCTCTATAATTAACAAAACATATTATTTTTAAATTACTTTAAAATGCGTGTGGTCGGTAAAGAAAGTTCATGGTTTTAATTTTGTGTGTGATCATGATAATTATTTTAATATCTACGTCTTAAAATCCAGATTATTTTCTATGTTTCACTATACTAAGTGGTTATTAATATTAACTAAATCCAATACATCTATTTTATTTTAAGCTAACATTCGTCTATACGTTTACAGTAATTCCAGTCACCTTCATATTATTTCAAATAATTATGTTTTTTTAACTCACTTTTAGTGAATTTTGTATGATATGAAAAATAAAAATTACAATTGCGAAGTTACAATAAGGAACTTAAAATTTGCAAGATTTAATTTAAATCTCTTTTCCAGATCATTTTCAATGAAATGAATTTTACCATACAATACATTCCGATAATTTCCATTCAGCGCAATCTTAATTGGTTCCTCGATGGAAATAGTTAAATAAATAAATTATGACTAGCTTGATATAATGTCTTACACAATTCCTTTCATTGGTTTAAGTGGCCCTTGCTTCATTTCATCTTTATAGACTGATAGCACGAGAAATCTTGGCAGCGAGCAGCAAGTGAAAAACATCGAATAAAGAGTAAAAGTTCAATGAAAATAAAGACTTTTCTAGTAACAGATAGTAGAGAAAACAAATATATATATCAATATATACTTATTTAATATGTCATTATTTAATGTACCTACCTTATATGTAACTTCATTTAGACATACATGGAATCTTTCGAAGAAATTAGAAATAACAACCAACAAAGTAGAGCTAAAAATAAATATTTTTCAAACAAAATCAAATACTATCGTCAAATTTCTTTTTCTCGATTATATGAATGTACTACAGTTGAATATGTGTTTATATGATTAAAATTTTTAATGGGTAGACGAGGTGACCGGCGTAGCAGTTCGGCGCTAGCTGTGCTCATGATGGGTTCGTGGCGAGAGAGATCCAGGGCCTGACTCCACGCTGGAATCTCCAGCGTATACCTCAGAAAAGCCTCCGACACTTCCACCACCTCCCGTACTTCCACCTCCTCCTTAAGAAAATATAGAATAATAATAGTGAAGGACAGGAATATCATTTTAATCACAATGAAATCAATGCATACGAATTTCTTAGGATATTTAAGACTTTAAAGTCACAACAATACCACATCTATTTTCAAAAGAATTAAATTAAATGATTGGCAATTACATTCTTATATTGCAAGTTTTAAGCGTATTTAAAGTCTGAACTAAAAAATTGTGCAGTACGTAAAAATGTTAATTTTGGCGCTCACGTAAATTCGATTTAATATTTCCACTGACGCTCCCCTTCCGCTTATTGCTGTGTATATCATAAATCATTATAACATTGAGTTAGAACGCTATGATATATTGCTCTAATATGTTAACAGGTCGCGGTAAATGATTAATGATTTCAAGACGCCCGCTGAACTTATATTTTGCACCACAAAAATAAATTCAAAGATCTTCCCTGGTTATAAATTGTAGAAGCATTATGTACCTACTTATATGTACATAACGATGTTCACAATACTTTTTGGTCTCGACTTATATTATATGCGTGTTATATAAAGTATTGGTAAATTTTCTGCCAATCTACTTAATAGTTTGAAACTGTATAGACGATGAACATTATTATCTTTAAGTAGATATACTTAAATTTTATTACATATATATAGAGGAGTACCAGTGTTACTAAAACTATGAAAAATATAAGTAAATCAAAATTATATTAGAAAAAATAGACACGGCAGGACTCGAACTTACAACTAATCGAATCGCATTTCAGTTACATTGCCAAGTAATCTATCATACGCATTGATGTAGTTATTATTCTATACTTTCTATATACATTTTAATTCAAAAGTTAGCTCAACATCCCTTTAATTTTAAAAACATTCATATATATAATATACTTATTTTAAATCAGGATAATTGGGGATTGGTTTATTAATATATATTTATTTGTACCAACACAATGTATACGTACCGTGGTGTTGAAGCGGCATACAGTATGAAGTACCCGGACAGTGTCTGGGTCGTACCTTCTCGTAACGCAAGTGCTGCAACTCACACTCCGAGTGGTGCTTCTCAACTGATGCTGTTATAACAATTGACGATTAATGAGTAATATTAAAATGAAACCAATATTTTTGGATTAGTTTCCGTATTTTTTTAATTTATGTTTATATTCCTGACGTTTCGGTTACTTCTGCAGCAAGGGTGATCACGGGCAGACGAGATGTATGTAGTTTTTAAAAATAATAAAATACGCGAAGTAAACCAAAAATATTATTTAAATGAATACTTGTTTAATATCACATTGATGAATAATGTTACAAAAAATTACGATTTTAGATGAGTTTATATAAAAATATTGATAAATAATAATTCGTTTCTTATATCATTGGATGCACATTTAATAAAAAATTAAAAACTCAAGTATTTTGTCAATATTTTTGTAAATTAAATACAATTTCAGTGTACGTTTTAATAATTCATACTTTATATACAGTTCATATCACTATTGTAAGTTAGCGGAGTAGATGGTATGAGGTCAAATATCTTTGAGATACGTCAATTAATGTAGAATGTATTTCAGGAGTTCGACAAGCCATATTGGGAGAAGTTAGCTTGTAAAGCAGTCCGTTTAGACATCTAGATTTCATAGAATATGTATTAGATTTCATGATTTAGATTTATGGGAAAAATAAACGATTTTAATAACACCAATATGGTTTGCATTGAAACAAAGTAGACACAAATCGTTTTAAGTTGATTTTATATGCAAGCTTACAATAAATTGTGCTAATTTTTTTTTTTATATGCAATCAAGTTTGTTATTGTAAGTAATTTAGTTTAATAATAGACTGTGCCACCCATTTCTAAATTACAAGAGGCCGTGACCTATAATCTCGGCATCAAACGATGCATAGTTACAAAAACGTGTTACAACCCTAGGTTTTTTAATTAATATAATTATTATGAATATAAGTCAAAATTGGATTCTTTTAGATATCATCTTTCTTTACGATATAGAATTATATTTAACGTAAGAAAATAAAAACGTTGAATAATTCTCATATTATAAAGTAGATATAAAAATATATATTCGGAAATAAATGCGAATTACATTATTATTTTCTTTAAACATTTGATAGAATAATAATATATGTTAATAAATCAAAAATTTCATTGCTTCTTTATTTGAAATTACTAATTTATAATTCATTTTCAATAGGTTAAAGTTTAAACTTATAAAAATATGTTTTGTAAAGCCAATATCTCGTGTTAACTCTGCTAACGAGAGTTTAATAATCCATTCATAATAATTGTTACAGTCTATGGTTTAAATGTAAATGTTTGTGTCAAGATGGTAAAAATAATATAATGTATAAAGAAAAACGTATGTATTATATAACGGGTGATTAAATTAAAGATCTAACTAGACGCTAGCTAGAAGTTATAAAAGTTGTGACAAGTTCACTTCTATAGACTGATTAAAACTGCCAACAAAAACTTAACGCAAACTTCAGTATGAGTCTAAGTGAAATTTCTGTTGTTTCTTTTATCTCTACTTCGTTAGTAAGAGATCTTTGTTATTTTTTTTTTCCTTTAAACGATATTTTTAATCGATAATACAAGTTATGTATCCATGATAAAGATTTAAATATGTAATTTTATTTCAAACTTATGAAAATAAATTGGTTAGAAAAATAATGTTGCTAATATTATTTTGTATTTTAGCAAATACTATTCGAGTTTAGGCCTTAAGACTCAACGTTTAGAACGGAAATACACTGAAACTCACAGAATGCATTCGATTCGAGTGTTTATAGAAATACGAATTTGAATCAGTTAAAGTTATATGAGTTGAGAATTAGACCTTAGTATACCTTACGCATTACATTATATAATAAAAAAAAATATATGTATTTGTTCTTACGAAGCAGGTTTCCTACGCGTTTATTTTTGTGTGGACTTACTTATCTAAATGTCACTTACCATCGGTTCTCTCTCTATGTCTTTGTGGATGTTTCCTGCAGGGCCTGTGAGGAGGAGCGTCGTTTTCCCTGTGCCCGAAGGTGCGAAACTGTAGAGTGTGATCCAGAGTAGCGGCTGTTTCACCACCCACGGCAAACGTGGCGTACGGACTGATCTCGTATACATCTGTATTTTGGTAATGTTTTATTTATTTGTGTATTTACTACGACTAAGTTTAGTAACAGCACGAACTAGGACAATAAAATAAAGTTACTACCTTTTCTGTCATTAAGAATTTCACAGGAGTAGCTATGTAATAAGGTTTGTAAATCAAAATTAAAACAATATAAGAGTACGTATTGCTTTATAGATTAAAATGCATGCATGCATTAAGATATAAATAAGATCTTTTTTATATTGTGCTTTACGTTAACTTAATGGTAATAAAAAAAAAAACGAGAACAATCCGAATAAGTGTTAAACCGATCATGCAAAGCTTCTACACTAAAATAGTGAGAAAAACATCAAATCGTACATAAGTTCTCACCGGAGGCAGGTGAGAGTTTGTCATGTTTGTAGTCATGTTGACAGTTCCTCATGTTCTGCTGTTCGGGACATGCGGTCTTATCTCCACTGGTATGACTGCAGCGACGAGCCTCTTCATCAACTTGGCCCCCACACGATAGAAGCGTGCTATTTTTGGGTATTAAGTTCGAAATCTTACTCAATTTTGATTATGAACTACTTAAAAAAGAAGAAAACACGAGTCAAAATTAAAATGAATATACAAATATATACAGAAATATATATTTTTAATTTTTCTGGCATTTCTTTTGTACATATATTAATCGATAATTGTATTAAAAACATAGTAATCTTGATAAAAAATTTATTCATTCAGTCGATTTTTCCTCAGATATTTCAATCTATTCTTATGTTTACATGTAGAAGTAATCTTGATCTTAATCTTGTAGCAAAAGTCCATTAGTTTTGGGATTTTACACGCGTATATTGGTTTACTTTCTGAGACTTTCATTTAGTCTAGTTAGGACAACGGCTACTGCAAAGTGTATACGTATATATGTCAAGTTAAATAAAAATGGAATACGGAATTTAGTTTCGAAAATATATAAATATATATATTTTCAATAATAAGAACTTTAACTAATATTAATAGGTAATTGTTGCAAATTTTTCAAAGAAACTACTAAAGTAGTAAACAGTAAATATTTTATTTTTTCACGCCCTCCGACCTTAGCGTGCAATATTAAAGCGATGTATTTAAATGTGAAAGAAAAATCAAAATAGATCCATATTTACGATGGAAAAGGTTTCGGGTCGACTATTCAATATATTTTTATAAATATTTAGAAAAGAAAAATATATTTGGAACTAACAATAGAACATAAAAATCAACTTAGTATAGTAACTTATCGAGTGTTTATACCTATAACAAAGTAAGTATTCTCCCGACAATAAAGAGGTTTAAATAAAACGGTATAATAGTGTTTATGATTGTCACAGGTTTTGTTATTTAGTAGGTTTCAGGCAAAAAAGCGACGGAAATTAATTGATTTAGATCATAAAAATTGTTCTGCTAAAGAACAATAATAATAAATAAAAAATAAAGTTTAGAAATATTTCACATTTCAGTATTCGGAACACGTTCTGTGGAAAATGTAAAACATCAAGAAATGTTACTTGAAAAATATATTAAGCGGCGATATTTTTCTAACTTTGAACGCGAACGTTCATAACATATGTATGTTGCTATTAGAATTATTCCGGTTTAAAGTTTCGTTTGAGACGCAATACTTTTATATTACTTTATTATCGATATATATCCATACTTTTCAAATATAACAAATTTATTTCACTCCTGAATACACTAAATAAATGTAACTGTGTCTTAAAACGTAAGGTCACCTTCTTTTCGCCATCAAAACGATTAGTAACGCTGAAACAGCTAGTGCGGCAAGTGCAGCAAATGCGAGTGACACCGCGCCGAGCACACGTTCTGAGTTGTCGGCTGTTGTGTGCGGTGTGACCGGCGGCCCGGATGAAAGAAATGAGGCTGGCCGGCGAAGTCGTTCTAGTGAAGTGAATTTTGATTACATTGTTTGTACGAAATACCTTTGTTATGATAAAGTGCTAAGAGAAATTCTATAGGTAGGGTTCAATATTACGAGTACAATGTAAAGATTTTCCCACAAAAAGTTGTTGGAATATTTAATGTTTTATTTTTGATTTCATTCGCCTTTTACGAGTTCAAATATTTTTCAGATATCCTGTGTATATTTATAAAAATCTTTATACTATTACAATATAAATATATCTAAATAAAAAGGTTCTTCGAAATCCATTGAGTATTTTCGAAATATTAGTGATTGTATAATTTTATCATGACCAGAAGTTTTTTTTTACCACGCATAATATATCGATTCTCTCTTACCTCCTGAATGAGTAGTAGTTGCAGCATAAATCACAGTTTGCTGTCTTCCAGAATCTGTAGCTGTCCATAGCTTCAATGCATACCACATACCAACAGTTAGTCCACCGATGACTACCTTTTAGTTCAAAAAACTTTAATGTGGTCCTTAATTTCAATTAACACTATGTATATATTTCATACTTCTCTGTGATGATGTAAGGATGTTAAATCAGCATCTCTCCATGCTCTACTTGTATCAGCCCTGCGCCATTGTAGTCTCACGAGTCTAGCTCCGCAACTGACAGCTCTACGTGCATCTAATGCGAGAGCAGAGCTATTGCTCCATACAGCAGCCTCTGCGCCTTCATCTTGATTGGTATCCCCCCCACCTTCCCATACTAGCACTGACGAAGTTTAATTTAATGTGAGCTGTTTATTTTTATAGTGATATAGTATTTTTTGTATGAAGTATTTAAGCGATGGATTGATACCAATGATTTCATCTTTGCTTATCAATTTATTTTAATTAGAATTAAAGCTTATCAATTTATTATAATTAGAATTACATATCTAAACAGAAATAGATATACTATTAATAGAGAATCGAGATAAATGGTTTAGAGTTTTGGTTATATATTACTTATTATTAGTACCTAAATCATGATACAAATACCATTCCATTTCATTAATTGATATTAAATTACCTGGTGGTTTCGTTCGAACTAACAGTGGTGGTGAAGGCGACGAAGACCCTGCCCTAGAGTGTGCCACTGCTTTCACAGAATACATGCCACCACACGATAAAGACCTCAAAACAACGCTTGATGCTTCACCTCCGGCTTCAATTCTACGTTCATCTTCACCCCGTGAGCTGGTGGCTTCAGAGCCCTCACCAGACTCATCTCGTATACGCATCCAATATATAGTGAACCCTAGTAATTTGTTTAATGTTAATCCTTAATAAAAATATTCTTTATTTAGAGAAACAACAATTGAAATGTTTAATATCGATTTATAGTCCTAATCTATAAATATTATAAATCTTCATTGCATTCTTTTGCGTTTGCTTTTAAGTAAATCTTTCCTTTTAATCATGAACAATATTTGTGAATGTGACGAAAATTTCTTGTGTAAAAAACTTACCATGCGGTGGTGCCGAAGGATGATGAGTAGTCCGCCATGATAACTTAGCAAGTGTATGATCAACTTTTTCTAATGTGAGGGTAGGTGCAGCTGGTGGTGATGCACATTCAACGCGGTATGTCTCCTCCTCAGAACTGAACGCGTTACGAGCAGAGCAAGTGTAGTTACCAATAGTCGATGAGTCAACTTCTATAGAAGACCACAAATATAAATGTATCATAATTATTAATTATATTATTAATATTAGAACCACTGTTTAATGTTTGCTCATTTTATTTCGTGTCAGCATGAACCATTTTTTTGAGTATTATTCGTATTAGACAAAAATTAAGTTCTAAAGACTTAATTTCATTGAGGGGAATAATACCGTGGACAAAAAATAATGTGTCATGGATAAATTAAAGCTATGTTTAGGTTTCCAAATTGTAATTACCATGGATGGCCAAATGCCCATGGGGGGTTAAGTGTGTTCTTGGGTCATGAGTGACTGGTCGGTCTCCTCTGAGCCAACGAGCTCGTGGTGCCGGTTCCCCGCGCCATGCGCAAGCTAGTCGGAGTGGATGTCCACATTGTACCCGAGCCCATACTCCGAAGGATAGTAACCTGACTGCTGCTACAGAAATTAAGACATAAAAATATAAACTGCGTTATTAAAATCTACCGATTGTCAATTCTTTGTTTAATAATGGAATCTAAGACTTTATTATTTTAAAACTAACGTTTCAGTTACTTTGCAGCAACCGTGATAACAGGCAGACGCAAATTGTTGAATGTCCGTTTAAATATATGGTCACAAATAAAATATGTTGTAAAAGTATTATAGTTTATTGAACTAATGATACCTCTAGACGTGGTTGTTGCAGGTTGGGGCGCTGACTGTTCTCCCTCCCCAGCAGCAGAATGTGCCGCGACCCAAGCTTCGTAAGTCGCTGTTTCAGACAACGAACGTATCTCTGCATAACCTCCTAAACCAACCGACATTTCACCTTCTTCAGCCTGCACCGTAGTAGTTTGCGGAGGTCTATCTCTAAAAGTTTATCTTAAATTTAAGCTGGAACTTTGTCTGGTATTGTTTTTTAGTTTATATCTTACCTGCCAAGTTCGCGATAAAAAACTGTATAATAAAGAATTGGACCATTAGGACGACTTGGCGGTAACCAACTAACTGCCAAGGACGTTACTGATGTAGCAATAACTTTAACAGCAGCTGGTGGCCCTGGTGCTGTAAAGATTTAGACCATTAAAACTTACATTAAAGGGGAATCTTTCATCATATTTCATGATCTCATGTTCACTAGTTAATTCACCATCTTGTTGTGTGGTACAATGCACAGGATGCGCGGGCACGCCATCCCCTGAAGCTGTATACGCTAACACTTGTAAGGTATAATTCATGTGTGGTCTCAATGCTAACAGCAGTGTTTCAACTCCCGCCACTCTCTTTACTTCTGCTCCTGTTTCTGGAGCTCCACCAGCTCCAGTCCGCGCCTCCCACTCCACCCAACCCGTCGCTGCCGACAAACAACTGCCTTCACTCAGCTAGGACTGTTTATCATCTTTATCATTTTGTTTATAGCCTTTTTTGTAAATCCCTACTAATATTATAAATACGAAAGTAACTCTGTCTGTCTGTCTGTCTATCTGTTACGCTTTTACGCTTAAAACACTATTTCTAAAAAAGTGGGTATTGATATATATAACGATAGTCTAAAATCCTATAAAACAAAAATAAAAAATAACATATATATATATATATATATTTTTGTGAATGCATGCTGAGTTAGCCTTTAATTGTAATGTACCTTGTAAGATCATTGTACATTATGTTGGCTTCCTAATAAAATAAATAAATAAACCACTGAACTGATTTTAATGAAATTTGGTACATATAGGACAGTTTTTATTCCAGACTTTTGAAAAGTTTTCTTGGAAACGCGATATAACTGAACTCCAGGCGGGCGAAGCTGCGGGCGGAAAGCTAGTTTTTATATACAAAATGTACTAGTAGTTCTTATGTAAAATTTTTGGGTATTTTTAAGTACGTTATTCGTGAATTCAAAAACATTTCGAGTTATACCAAATAATATGATATGTATTCATGTGGTCTTCTTAATCAGGTTTATATTTAAAAATATGATTAATTACGTTTATTTAATAAATTCAACTAAAGTATTTGAGGTGTCGGTGGGCTGAATGACTGAACTAAATGTAAACGTGATCGGATATTGTCTTTTATTTTATGATATGGGTATTCTCGAGTACAAAGGAACCAGGTACTTAATTTTGTGGCGGAAATTGGTACTGCTTTGTAAAGGATCTTATAGTTATCAAGCAAAATATATGGCAAACAATTTTTTTACGGAGCTGTTCGGTTTTATATGACTAAAAGTTAAGAAAAATAAGAATCCTTGTTTTAAAAGCAGCTTAGTATTTCTTCGATTAATACGTTTAACAGGTTTATCCTACAAAAAACTCGGGTATCGATGACAATTGTCATAAAATTGCATTGCATATCGTTTCTGTCGTTACCATACTATCACTCACTGTGTTCCGGGCGGTATAATAACTTGTATCCCAGGAGAGCACCATGATGAGCGTGGGCTGGTGGAGGTGACCACTCTACCTTGAGGCTCTGAGGTGATACAGCTCTACATCGCACAGCACGAGGCCCTTCAGATGGCACTGTGATGATTTATAATATATACTTAGTACACTCTAGAGAACTTAAAACACTCCATGGAAAATTACACATTAGTTAGTTTTCTTACCACTTTCTTGGGTCAGTGTGTTGACAGGCGGTGTCGCGGGACCCGCACCCGCGCTATTAAAAGCCCTTACGCTTACTGAATACCTGTTTAGAAAGTTCGTGAATAAATCGCCGTTTCAAAAATATTTTAACATAGGTTTATTTGTGGTGGTTTTTTTGTAATACTTTTGTTCCACTAGTTCTATATATGACGATTATACAATAGGCATACATTTGATTTTTTCGTTTCTAATAAAATGTAATAAAAATGGTAATATGTTACTTTCACTAAAGCTATTTTCGGTAGCACAGAATGCTATTAGTATTGGAAAATATTCAGAACATAAATGGCGAAAAGCCAAGCTATACAAGATTTTGCTTAGCGTATCATATTAACCTAGTAGGTCAGGAGACTTGATTTTTAGCTTTAGCTTAGAAAAGAAAATTTGGGATAAAAGTGTTGATACAATATGAAAACTTAGCTGTCGTTTAAATTGGCAGTGAACAAATTTATTTTTTTTAAAGAATGAATCCTCAATAGTGACAACTATTAAAGAAAACAAAAAACTTAAAAACTAGTTTAAGATTATTAATTCTATAAACCAACATTCTTTGACGTATAATAAGACGTAAAGGTAACTTAAATAATATAACAAAATATTTATTCAAAATATTTCATTTAATTTCTAGTTTTTACTTAACATAAATCGTTAGTGCTCGTAAATAGAAAATTAAAATAAGGTAATCTTAAAATACATAAAGCTATATGAAAAAATATTTTTAATTCTCATGACATTTCAAATGAAATTTGGAGGGGTTTATAATACTTTTAAAATCTGAAATGTGGTGTAGGTTATTCAATATGATAAATGAGAATCTAAAAAAATATTTGTTAAATGTAAACTTACCGTGTATAATGTTCGAGACCAGCAATAGTATACTTAGTGACGTGTCCTCTAACAGTAGCGAACTCCATACCAACACTTGCACCTCCAGATAAGGTACCATCCGCAGATAGCCACCACCATACTGTGTATCCAAGAAGTTCGCCGTTCCACGAAGATGCGGGTGGAGCCTAACATAAAAAAACAGTTTCTCAAACCAGAAACATCTATGCTAGCTTAGACAATTAAATAAAGTTAGCTTTAAATACATGACTTTAGATAAATGTGTGTATACAAATGTATTACTTGTTCTTTACTTTGAAATAAAACTATGTTTTTCGGATTTCCTACGCAATTTTATTTTGCTAAATTTCATCCAACATTCATACTATTTCACTGTTTACGGTTACAGCTAAGTGCTAAGTAGTTAAAGCGTTAGGTAAAATATAACGTAAGAAAATCGTGTAGTAAATACGAAAAACATGCTTTTGTTTATGAATCTATTCCTAGGCAAACAAAAAAACTTTTGATTGTATCTACATAAGTAGTCTGATATGTTTATATGAATCTATTTCTAGGTATGCAAAAAAAAAACTTTTGAAAGTATCGATGTAGTCTGATATGTTCAATGTTCATCCTTTTCTTTACCTGCCAAGCTAGTTCAATAGTACTTGGTCGTGGAGCAGATGCTCTTAGAGCAAGTGGTGGCCGAGCTGGAGGCTCGTGCAGCGTTAGAGCAAGAAGGGCTCGCGTTTGTGCTGACGAAAATTGTGCTGTCACTGTTCGGGCGCGAACTAAATATGCTGTCGCTGGTTCGAGTCCCGTAATTGTGGCCTCTTCGTTTCTAAATATGTTCATATATTTTAATACCATATTTTATGTATAAGACTTATGGGAAGTTTTAAAAGTATTATCCTTAAAGAATGCTGAAGGAACATCGGGATTTACTTGAGTATAACAAATCTTTTTACATCAGTCAGGGATTAAAAAATCCGATCTTCGAATAAAGAATTTCTATGTATGATAGTAATATGGGTCAGATAAGATTTAACTCTGTTCTATTATCCACGAAAGATATAAAGTTTTATATTGGACATGTAACTTACTCGGAATAGGAATCGGCATTTCGAGCTGATACCGACACATTGTGAGTGTCAGCATCTCTCCACGGGTTCATGTCAGGATTGGTAGAGTCGTGTCTCCTGTATTGAACGACGTATCCCAAAACAGGGGAATTTCCGTCAAAAGGACGACGCCATTGTAGTCGAATGGTGCGAGACGTTGCGTCTACCACTCGGAAATTGGCAGGCGGTTCCGGTGGCTCTGTTTGTGTTAGCGATATTTTAGTTTTAATTTCTTAATTGTTATTGTTTTAATAAGTTTTATTTAACAAATCCGTATGTGATACACTTAATATCATGATTATATGAATTGTTATACATTTTTTATTTATCAACAATTTTCATTACTTACATTTTTATTTTATTTTTTGCTATCAAAAAGTTTTTAAGTTAAAATTATTTCATTTATTTTAAAAACTATGATGTAAGCTTGGTTTAATTCCCATAGGATTTGCTTTTCTTAAAAATGGTTGTTTTTAGAAAAACAAAATAAAAAATTACAAATGGAATAAACTTATATAATCTAAAATGTTTTTTAAAGCACACAATTCAGAGGGATATTAAAAATAGGAATAAAACCAAAGAGTAAACATTTCTTAAAAAAAATGTTATAAAATTGCTATGACTTCCTAGGAATTACATTTTTATAGAAGGATTTCAGTTTGAAAAATTCATCAGAATCGCATGTTGGAAATATTGTTAAAATATTTTCATAATAACAAAACGAATACCTTTTTTCATTTAAAAAAAAATGATATTCATAGTTAACTGATGTTTCTGATCGTGTGAAATAAATATTTTCAAAGAAGTGTCATATTATCCTTAAGGTTCGATTTAACGTGTATATACTATAAATAGATAATTTTAACAAGTTTAAATGATAATGGACCAACTTACAGAACCACTTTACAAATTTAAAAGAGTTTAAAGTCTGGAACTTATTAGAGTGGAGCCGTAAACAAACTACGTTAAGCACTTTTACGCTTTTCTTGTTTACATAAACTCTACCGAGAGTATTTTCCTTCCAAGGAAACATCAAAGGACCGTAACTAGTTTATCACTTTTATGTGGTTCTTGATATAATTAAACTCAATAATATAGCAAATAAAAATTAACCTCGGGGAAGGAAAGTAAACAAATTTGTAAGGAAATTTTATTAAACGTTCTATGTTTATTTATTTAATATTAATTTTAAGCAACAAGAGGGATTATGATAAAAGTTTAGGTCGGGGTTAGAAGTACTCGTATTGCGAAATGTCATAATTAGATAATGCAAAAATTCTCGAGAAAATTGCTATGGTGAAAGCTTTTTCGCGATGTGTTGAATAATAAAAAAGTACATAAAATAAAAATGACAAAAAAAGATTACTTTTACTACCATGTAATTTACAAAAAACTAAATTATTTCGTTTTTGTTAAATGTAACGACGAAATACGAGTATGTGTTAAGTGTCATTCTTAATTGAAAATAAAGGTAAGTAAAACACTAAAATATTTGCAATTGTAAACGCTTACACTTGAGAAAATATTATTTAAATTCAACATCATGTTAAGGCGGAGACGACGCAGTGCCAACACTTTCATTGGGATAGTTACTTAACTTGTACTATCTAAACTGAGAACGAAAAGGATAATAATAATAGTTATTCTTAACAGAACTTACATAGTACTCTTGTGCTACACTGCTTAACCTATTTATATAATTATCAGCAAGCTACTTCCGCTCTCTAGACCCGACCGAATCAACATCACAACTGATTTCTGGTTGTTTTGATTTGCCTCATTCGACACTAATATGGATTAATATGGATATAACTCTTACCTTGTACTCCTAAATGCACGAAATGGTCAGAACGTCCATATGGGTTGGTAGCCTGACAACGGTATACTCCAGAATCCCGTCTATCGGCGCGTTCAATGACCAATTCACTGCGAAGACCTTCAACGCTTCTGGTTTCTGATATACTCATCCTAGAGATGAAACTTTGTATGAATAGGAAAGAAAATCGAGACTTCTATTTACGAACAATGACAAAAACTATGGGCGGAAAGAGGACACACAAAATGTTTACTATCAACTTCAACTCAAACTTAACATCAAAATAAAAAAAAGGATTTTTTTCGATCTTTTAAGACTGTTCGTTATAATGGAGTAATGTGGAGTTACATATAAACAAAAATATTATAATATATTCACCCATATATTAAACTTAGTATATACATATATTGATTGAAATAATTTAAACCTATGTAATACAACATATATGTACATATGTACAAATAGATATATCCTGCTGCATATATTCTTAAATAAAAATACCATTTTCTGTCAATTAAAATTTTGTCCCTCTCTCTTTTTGGCAGTCGATTTGGTTTCACAAAAGTGCTGTAAAATTCCACATGAGGTTGCCTGTTATCAATTAGGGTCAAGTCCCATAACTTCAAGGCATGTTGGCGAATTCGTTTGAAAATTTTTACTTCTCTACCCTTAACTTTTTGAAAGTAAAATTTTCTTTCTATTTATTGAAGTGAAGTAATTTAAAAATTCAATGGAACTGCTTTCAATGATAATAATTGGAATGATTATAATTAATTGATATAAATTAAGTTATGTTTGAACATCAATTTTTAAAATTAAGTTAATATTACAAAAAAATAGTTGTAGTTAAAATGTTTTTTATAATCTTAAGTTCAATAACCTGTAATCAGAATTTGGTAAGGTCCTTCCAGAATGACTCCACGCCATGGAGAGTGGATTATCACCTCTCGCCACACACACCAGTCTCACCGTCTCACCAAGCTTAGCAGTCACATTCACTGACGGAGTTTCGAATCTAGCTGGTTCTTTATATGAGAGAACATAAACTAAGCATGAGAAACGATTAAGACAGTGTGAAGGCAAATGATCTACTTGTTGTATAAATGGAAGTAATGAAGTTAAATTCATACTCAGCCAACAGCTCCATGTTACAATTGTAATTAAAATAGTTCTCCTCAATTTAAATTACATTTCCATTAAATTAAGAACAAAAGCACGAGAATCTATTCAACAACGTTTAAGAGTCGCGGGACTAAGTGTCTCAAATTGCAGCGCCATTATGTTTCCATTTAATACATTTGCTAGGAAAAATATGAAAAGGGGTTACGGAATGGGAAATTTCAAGCTTACCATTAACGTGTATCGTTAGGGTTTTTGATAAGGCGGGTGCCACGCCATTTTCAGCCTTACAGCGATACTTCCCAGAATGTTCTGCACGCGCCGAGTCCAGTCGCAAAGAACCGTTGCCAAGTACTACGGGATCCGACACTCCGCCCAATGCACTTTCTGTACTGCCTTTTTAAACGGAGGAAGGTTTTACAGATATTTTTGGTTTTATTCTGTTAGAGCTGTTAATTAAGAATATTTTATGCGCCTAAATCATGTTTACTAAAAAGCGAAAAGTCTTTACGATATTTTTATTTCATATCAAGGGAAGCATTTAAGTGATTTGATAGTTTTAAGACGTATCTACCCAAGTATTGTTATATGTAAACATGTATAGCTTCCAAACTTACCAGTGAATTTGGTCCAATAAATATGAGGTGGAGGATGTCCTCTTGCTTCACAGCTGACCGTGAGGGAGCCGTTCAGTAGTACTGATGTATCAGAAGGTTCCAGTTGCCAATACGGGGGCACTAGAGTTGAATATACCAATAAAATATACGTAAAACAAGACATGCTTTGTCCTACATTAATATACTAATATACGTTAGAAAGAGACATTTAATTAGAAAGAAACGTTAGGAAATATTTTAGTTTATATTATTTTAAATATGTTTTACCTTTGATAGCTAGTTCAGCGGACATGTTTGCTTTCCCAGCGGTATTAGTAACGACGCAGGTGTATATTCCGCTGTGAGCCGCGGTCAGGCTTTTGAAAAGGAGCATACTATAGAACTCAGCTCCACGCTCGTCTACCTGTTTTTATAAAATATATCTTTATTTTATTTTTATTTTGTCTGGATATTTTAGCTTAGATTAAATTTTAATGTATTTAAATTACGAATAGATGTGTTATATGTGTATGTTTTTAACTTGAACAGCATTAGGAATTAAGATTTAAGAACGTCATTATATTATGAAGTCACAGTAGGTGTAGCAAACCTACTGTTTTAATTTAACGGCAATTTTTCATAGTAAATCTAAATAAAGACAAGCTGCAATAAAAGAATAAGAGTGTCTTTCTATTTATTTCTAAACATGAAGATGGTTTTCTCAAAAAGTATTTACAGACCAGATCTTAAATAAAAATTTGGAACCCATTTTTTTTTTCTAAACAAAAATTTATTTGGAAAGACTTCTGTGTTATAGTTATCCACTATAAAGACTTTTTATATAAATTCTATGTTTACTTAGTCACATTTTTTTTCTTTGCCTAAAATTGGCGTTTCGATATACATACGTATGTCACATAATATAAGTTTTTAACTTTTCAATTGCAATTCTTACATATCTCTTTTCAAAATAAGTATTTTTTTACAATATCCAGTACACATATAATTTTTTTAATAAAAATTGTTCGCAATATATATATTCAAGTTTTCATTCAACTGTTATTTTAAGACGAAAAAAGGATTTTTCATATTGCAAGAGTTGAGCCGTGAGACTATGTTATTTCAAACGATTAGCATATTGACATAGTTTCTTTAAAACACAAAAGTGTTCTCTTACTAGTTCACTGACACCTTTTCCATATCTGTATAAGCTTAGTTTAGTAAATAGATATAATTTTTTAATTTCAGTAATGTGATGAAGTCAGTATATTAATAGACTTATTGTTTTATACATATCGTAGATCAAATTAACATAATGTGATCTTTGTTGTATTAAAACCGTCCCTTGACATGGAAGCAGTCAGCCGAGGAGTTCAGTGAAGTGTTAATATACAAGATAAATATTCACCGTGGATGAGAATAATCTAATAATATTTATACAGACACTAGTTTTTGCTCCTTGCTCCGCCCACGTGTTTATCGATTATTGTGTCATTAAAGCATATGTGTCCTTCAAAGAAGTTTTATTTATCTCGATAGTCTCAAAAATGGAGACAAAAAGGTGCTTAATTCTTACTCGTTATATTAAAATCAATAGGCAAATATTTTTTTATTTCAAGCTACCAGTATGCTGATAAAATTCTACGTGTTATATATATTAAAATTTTAGTATGTGAGCGTCTTTTGTTTTATGACGAATATTTTATGTTATGTATATACGAGTATATTATTAGATCATAAAGTTGTTTGAAGGGTATAAAAAGTCTGTATATAGATAAGTTCCTCTATAACACTTCTCTTGGTTCATTTTTATGCATCTACGTCTTACCTGAAGTACGCTAGAGATGGGCATTTGGTCTTTGAGCCATGAAAAATACACGGGCATGTCTCCTGATGTTACTGTACAAGTAAGTTGTGCTCGATCTCCCGATCTTAGTCCAGGGGGAAATACTATAGGAGATAGTACTGGCGGAGATACTACGTTTATTTGAACCTGAAAATTACTTATTCCATACATATTTTGAAGAAAACGTGACGCGAGAAGTTCATATAAATTCTAAAAGAAAGATAACATAGAAACCAAATATTATATTACAAGTTAATATTTCTATAAAACATATAAGTTACATATTACAGACAAAATCTCTCATTGACGTAAATAGTGAGTATCTAATAATTGAAATTTTAGTTCGTTTGTTCATCTTCTTACCTCTCTTCTAGCAAGTTCTCCGCCAGGAGTCAGAACAGAACAGATCCAGCCACCTTTGTCCCTAGTACGATCGACGTTACTGATAGTTAGTTGCCCATCTGATTGGTGGTATCTGGGATCATTGCCAGCACCGCCCTCCCATTTTACTGAGCTGTTTTACGAATAGCACCAAAAAATAAAACGAACTTCACCGATGAAATAACCAACAATAGCTACAGCTTTACTTATATTTATAAAATAAATAAACTATAATCCAACATATAAAAACTTACTCAATCGGAAATCCATAATATGGGCACCAAATTGTGATGTCTGAACCAGCCACTGCTTTTACGGGATTGATTGACCGTATATACGGTGGACCTTAAAAAAATCGCTATTCAATAAAATTTCTTTTTCACGGAATAAATAAATTATATTGAAGATTTATATATTTCCAAAGATCCGTTTAAACGAATGTTGAATGCAAATTGAGTTTTTGTTTTTTATTACTTTGGTATTTGTAAAAAAATAAAAAAAAAATATTTACTATGCCAACGCCGAAGTAGAAATGCATTATTTTTATCAAATACTATTGTAATAATCAATTTTTAAGTCTAGTAAAGGTTACTAATTTTCTAATTATTTTGAAAAAAAAACTGTCTAAATCATTGATAAAATATTAATAAATGAAATAAAAGATAAAAGACAACTAAACTTTGTAATCTGTTATTAAGTACTCTCAATTGGCATTACCTTTGTTTTGATTTAGTTTTATAAATCACGTTTTTTGGAAGGCATTTTCATACAAAAACATTAGCCTAATATCATATCAAAATAGGCCATCATGTTCGAAAACAATATTTTGTTTAAAATTGCCACGTACTTGTTATTATTTCATTCCGTCCAACAACATCGACGCTTAAATTATGCAGTATTTTTTTTAAAGCAAACATAAAATTTTGCTGGAATATATTAAATATTTCCCATAATTAACGTTTAAATGCTACCAAATTGGACAAAATTATTTTAACGGGTTTGCAATATTAATTAATTAATTATAATTAATTAAAATAAAATGTAGTACAACAACGATACTAATACATTTCTGCAATTTTTACAGTGAATTGATTACATCATGTAAACATTTTAATATGTTCATTTATATAACAATAAAAAACAATTTATATTTACAATATCAAATTCACTCATAGACGTCCCGTATATAGATTTTTCATATTAGAATTAATAAAAAAATATTAGCTGACACTTATAGATGCTGATTTATACTTAAAGTGGATATATCTAAAACTACTCTATTTTGTTGAACATATTTGCAAATTTAAAAAAATATTCCGACAAAAATCCGGAACAAAGGGGAAATGTTGATGGCACGTTTACGATTTATGAAAATTTTAACAGGCTGCCTGAAAAAATCCAAAAAGAGGAGGACTATACTAGTGATAGTGACTGGGTAGTGGATGCGAGAATTTTTGCAGAAAACAACAAACTCCATTTCAGGATAAATTTTGTTTTATAATCATATGATTTGCAATGGAATATGGAATAAGAACTAGAGTTTTTTTTGTTTCCACGCTCGTAGCATTTAAAATATACTACTTTACTTAACTTTACCTCACGGCCTTAAATTCTGTATAATTGTTAATAGAAATACATTTTTTATCAAATTATTATTTGTTCTAACAACTGAAAATAAATTCAAGCTATATTTTTATCACTCACTGGCTTTTTTTGGTGAGATAGAAGATGCGTAATAAGTTATAATTATATGGCTTACCATAAACATTAAGTCTTGCAGCATGAGCGACTGATCCATGAGTATTGGTTGCTCTACACTCATACCTTCCACCGTGTTCCACACGCGCACTGTTCAGAGAAAGTGTTGAAAGTATGTAATTGCTGGACCCCAAACCTGATTGTCCTGTTTCGCGACCTTCCGTAACCATGGCACTGAAAATATAATATTTGTTAAGATATTACTTTCATTTAAATGAATACTCGCGAAAGTCAGATCTCGTTATTAATTTATTATGTTCATTTTCAAATTAAAATGAAGTTTATTTCTTATATTTTGTAATAGATATAATATTTACGTAACTTTTTTATATCAGAAGTGATAATAATCTAAGATTTAGCTTGCTTTGAGGATTATTATTATGATTTATTAATTTAATTACTTAAAGATTTATTTTTTATACAACATACAATCAATTTAAGAAATACATAAATGAAATATGTAATGTATTTCTTCAATAACGAAGTCCGAAGACGTAAATAGTCGATAACGAAAATGGAAAGGTCCAAGTACAAACGAACGCGCTTTAACAATTCAGTGAAACGAAATTTAGAGGGAGGGATATGATTGACATAAAGACTGGGTGATTTAACTGACCTTTCGTAACACTTTGGAAAATATTCCACTGATTTTATTATAAGTTGATGAAACTTGTAATCATATTTATGATGAAATTTGTAGAAACTTTGTTACGAATGTCGTCTTATAAGAAATGACTAAAAGTGTTAGCGATCTATAAGCGATTCGTAAGCAAATTTATAAGGCAGCAAATAATCAAAAGTCATATATGTAATACAAATAATCATAATATTACAAACAGTCCTAAAAGGATCACTTCAATAGATCAATGCTTCGCATGTATCTTTATATCATGTACTAGTCAGTCATCCAAATAAAATGATATAGGTATGTGAAAACTTTATGCGTTTTCGTCTGTTATTTATCCAAAATATATTCTCAAATACCTGTAACTCTGATACAAAAAATAATCTTTTCCCTATAAATCTTATAAATAAAGGTAATATGGATTAAAAGTTTGAGTAAAGACGCGGGTAAAATATAGCTACATATGTATGTAAATTTACCCATGGTGTGCCGGTATAGGCAGGCCATCCAAAATCCATCTGAAACGCGGTGGTGGTTCACCAACTGCTGAACATTTAAGAGCTACTTGTGCTCCCGGCTGTACAGCCTGTTCAATAAAAGTGTAAACCAATTCCGGACGGGAATCTACAATACATAAAGAAGGTAAATAAACGGAGATAGATACATAATAAAAGTGTTATGTATGTACTTACCAGGCGACCTTTTAGATCGTTGATTTTGCAAGTAAACAGAATCTTCTCGGACTAATGAACACCAGATAACTGAAATACAGTTGAACAATACAATAATCCTATTGTTCCATATAATATATATTTTTATATTACCATACTTAACATTAATACATATCATATATATTATAAGTACTATAATTATGATGTTCTAATTAATTGTGGAAATGACATGAAGGCTTGACAAAACAATGATCATTCAGTCAATCGGTTGTATATAGTAACATAGCATAAAAATATAATTTTAGTTATAAATACATTATAGATTATTCCCATAGTAGCACAATAGCGATACACTTATTATTTTATCCTTTTCATATTGATCACGATATTAATAATGATGTAGTTGAATAACCTGTTTTTTTTATTTAATATAATATTGTATTATTAATATAATTGTCAGTCGTGGCCTAGTGGTTAAAGGGCCCGCCTCTCATGCACGAGGACGCGGGTTCGATCCTGGCAAGTACCAATGTGATTTTTCCGAGTCATATGTACTTTTCAAGAGTATTTAGACATCACTGATTAGTGAATTCCCAAGGAGGGTTGATGTCAGGCTGGTCGTAAAAATTGAGAAAGCTGGGAAATTGCCAGGTCGAAGAAGATAATTAATATAATTAAAACTCTATATAAGCTTGTTATATAATATTTATGTTTATGCATTTATGTATGTTTATAACTACGATGTCAACGACAGTACACTATAAAGTTCATGCAAAATTTAGCTTTAAAAATTCACTCACTTCTTCGTTTTACTATCCGCATTCGTTCAGAATTTATAAGGCCGTAAATCGTAAAACCGCACAAAAAATTTATAACCGCAGTTAACTGTGGTGTAACCGGTAACAGTATTGTAAGATAAACTCAATTTTCGATACTGTTCATATTATTTTTATGTGTAGTAAACTATAATCATAATGTGTTTGTAATAAGATTGAGAATTAAAATGTGATATACATACCTAGAAATATTTCTCGTATTGTTACACAAAACTTTCTAACATTTTTATGAAATTTTACAACTTTCATATTTCGTTAAAAGAAAAAGTAGACTAGATTTGCAGACAGATGATAGATATAGATATATTTACCTAAATCTAGTGTCCAATGACTAAACATTATTATCAAAAACTGGACATTGTATTTTATGTAATAAGAGGAATTTATACTACGTTGTACAGTTTTATAGCTTTAATAGAATTATTTTATGTCATCCGAATTTCCAAACAAAGAAGTGTAAATAAAATAGTACATTCGATTTTATTTCTGGTGAACTTTCATATGGTCTTAAAAAGACGGCTCTCATTAAAACAATACGTTCTTCCAAATTTGTATTCACTATCGTTAATCGCTGTTTGGGTCTATCATAAATTAATTGTTCTCCAATTAATATTGAACCCAATATGTAATTAAGGTATGCAATACATGTCCAAAAACAAAACGAAGCATCCAAAACATTTAAACCGCTATCGGGTAACCTATTTCAACATTTTGATTAATTTGCTCCGAAACGGGATGCAGTAAAAACAGTTATGTATTGCAACGATAGATAGCAACGAATGCGAGTTTGACGTATGAAAATAAAAAAAAAATATAGGTCCACCTCTCACCCACAAACACCCCGTGGTGTTCACCTCCCCCAAGATGGATGCCGGTCGCAAATATACTGTGAACTATTCCAATTTTCAAAGTTTATTGAGAGCCGCAGGGACGAAATGGACCCGAAAGAATTGATCCCCATGTTACGTTTTCATTACAGATGCATCAGTTGGTGAAACGAGAATTTAGAACGTCTAATATTTACTTAGCGTTTTTGGTCCAAATGTATGATCAAAGATTTCCGTTTAATTGTTAAAACTTCTCCCTCTATTACTGGCAATGACAGTTCTCTGGATGAAGCTCATAGAAAAGCATCGATTTGTTTGTAGTAAATTCAATTCAAACCAAAGATAAATTTCACTGCATCTGTGCTTTCATCATTTTTTTCATATTGATTTCTCACGGTTTATTGTAACGAATTTCTATAAAGCTAGTTATAAATACACAACCTATAAGAGTAGTAATGTTTTTATATAAGTTTTATTATGTAACGACACCATATATCTCTCAATTTTATGAGAAATGATTGCTAGCATTGTATCTACATAAAATATTTGCGGGCAATAACAGGCTTGTAATAAGAATTTTTTTCGTTACAATTTGCGACGAACCGTAGCCTTATTTTTCTCTCTGAGTGAGTACGGAATTTATGAGGGACCCCAAAGCAATAAAATACCTTGCGAGAAAATGAAGGGGCAAATCGCAATGTATTTGTTCCTTGGCGGCTAGAAGGAACCCATTGCAAACATTCGCGCGTTGTAATATTATTTCTCAGTAACAATGACCGAATGTATCCTTTTGATTATACTTTCATTTTCAGTGATGTGGCCTTTATTACGTGTTGATCTCTGATTTCCTTCGTAAATATAATACCAATATGAATAAACAAAAGATTATTGTCGCCTTTCCCTCGGATAATAATAAGATTTCCAGACTTATAGAACTTTTTTCAGGAAACAATAGACAATTTGGAAGAAATATTTCATGGGTGTTATTAATTTTATATTCAAAGTCTAAAAATAGTTGATTTTCTAGAGTAATATGATGATAGTTATCTATAAGGAAATATGTTTTATTCATCTAACTAATTTTATGATTTTTACGGGCCATGAAATATTTGTTTTAGCGTAAAAAAATAATATCATTGCCGTCATATTGTAACTTTTTATAAATATAATGACTAACAATTTTATAAAATGCATATCAAAACATTGCAAAAATCCAATAAATAGATACGTTTTGATTTTTAATTCTCGAATTAAAACCTAGAGATAAATACAAATAATTTTATTTGAAAACAAAATTATTTAAATATAATTAATAAGTTTCCAACCTGTATGACCTTTTTCTAATTTATATGGGACTGAATATAAGATATGCTTTGTAAAAAATAAAAAAAGGAATATCAAAATCTTTATTATAATAAGTAAGTGAAATATAAATCATCTCTTGTTTTCTTACTTCAGCTTTTTTTAACTAAATTTATATTGAACTAACCTTAGAGGATACACTTTCTAATGAATAGTATACAATCAGACTCATCTTTGAAAAGTTTTTGGTCATACATATACATGTAGGCAACAAATTGTCAACCCCTCATTTATTTCTTCTTTAGAAACAGCAAAAATTAACTAAAAATGTTCATACAATACCATTTCAGATCACACATAACATTATCTCGTATTATCTTTATTATAATTCAACGAAATAATATACACAGATTAAAAATGTTTGTTTTCATTTAAACCTTCTTTATGAGTATCCTCTTTTATCAGAATTTATTTATCTATGAAATTGGTTAGCTTTTTATACATGTACGTTATGTTTACCTGTATAATTTGATATTAAAATGTTAAAACAGTAATTATAATTTCTATATATTATTTATACTATATAATATATATATTAAGAATCATATTATCTATCGTCTTCATTTCCACCTGCTTACAGGTTGAATAGTCAAGCACGTTCATTGATTTCAAATGGAATAAAGAGAAAAAGGAGAACTTGTATCAGCAAAATTATATGCCATGTATTTATACATAATTTAATCATCAAAAAACTCACCATTTCTCTCATCATTTTGTTTCATCAACTTCTTCACATCATCGCACGTGTATTTTGAGCTATCCACCACAGAGCAGCTGTACCTGCTATATACAGATTTAAACAATCATGAATAATCAAATAGTTTTCAAGTACGCTGATAAGCACACCATGATTCATTGAAATGAATTTTCATTATAATTATTGTATAGCAAATATTTTCCAATGATTGTTGAATTGCGTATTTTATTGAATACAAATATTATATTTGTAAATTTTAATTTAAATCACATACATACACAAATAATGAGAATCATTATTATGTAAACATATATAAAATTTTAAATGTTTGTATGTCCATCAGTTGGTTTGCTTTAAATGTAACGTTAACTTCAAAATATAAGTAAATTCGATCATTACAGACTAGAATAGTAAAATTGCTTCAGAGTTACAGAGAGCATCGATAAAGGCTGTAAAACAATTGATACGACGAGTAGGAGCCTAGAATCAATGAACAACGTTGCAAGAACATCTGAGATAAGTTGCTTTAAGAAATTCTATTGTGTCTAAACAGTACCACTCTTTCTTAATACATACAAACATAGAATTAACAAGTACCTTCTTCTTCACTGCAAACAAAGTCGCGTTTAGACGCTAGTTAAAATTTAATACTGAAAATCAAAATAAAGCCTTCATATTTTGTGATGCATAATGATGCCGTTTGTCTCGCTAATTTATTAATGATATCGCGGCTTATATGTATATAGCACCAGATATAATGGTATGCTTAAATTCTACGAGATTAATTAATAAGTATGAAGTTTTTTTTGATCCTCTAAAAGTAATCAATCTGAGTACAGCCAATGTCACCAAACAGATTTTATTAAATAATAAAGCAGATTTCATTTCAAATATATTATTTTCCCTATCTTCCGTCGTTACATGCCGAAACCAAATACGTACTCGAATAATTTGCCTCATATTCACTCTTTTAACACAGGGCTTTGTAAAGCAAAGGGGTATCAATTTAATTTTAATTATAAGCGGTGAGCCTGTTGAATCTCTGCTTCTATGTAACCACAGTTCAGTTATTTAATATACAAGAATGTATAATTTTATTATATTGTTTTTAAACCTTCATGATTTTAATGTATGATAAACATTAGGTTTTTGTTAAGTTTTAAGACAATTAATTGTTGATATATCAACATTGCTTTACTGTGTTTTAGAAAGAAAACATTAGCTGCCTCAGTGTGGGTAGATTGTTCAAAATATTGATATATGGATAACATAAATAAACAAGTGAACTTTTAAAGGCTCACGTTGAGAAAACAAACATTCCGTTCGTAATTACAACCTAATTTAAAATTCAATAGCTCCCTTTAAGTTGCTAAGTACTTAATATTTGAATTTCAAAACTCAGTCTCGAAAATAAGCTCTCATTTCTAAATGTTTTAAGTTGTTTTGACGTAAAATATCATATTTTGTTTATTTGGAAAATATTGGTTATATAAATTGGAAGAATAAATATATGTAAGGAGTAATGCTTCTTGTAACATTGTTAACTGTTTTGTGAACACAATAGTAATGTTAAGTTTAAAAGCTCGTGAACTTTAAACCTCGTTCCGTATTCAGATAACGTTTTCAGCAGACGCGAAATTAGAGTAAGAAATGGGTCAAAGTCGTAGGTCGTTGCCCTCCGTCGTCTGAAGTAATTATGTTATGTCGCGACGTCATTGTACGCTGTCTTGATAGTAATGAATGGACGCTATCAACATGAACGTCACACGTATAACGTATTTATTATGACAAAGTTTTAAATATTTTATAGTGTGAAAAATAAAGATTATTTTATTTTAACTTGTTAGTTTTTTTTGTATTAGTTTGAGAAGAAATTAAGCTATACATAAATTAAATTTAAATAAATGACAGCTATGCTGAATATAAAGTTGAAAAATGTTTTGTAGTGGCATTTTGTTTATAAAAAGAGAGACGAAACCTCTTAGCATTCAATGGATTCACCGTGCGGGTGCCGGGTCCATTGCGTTGCAGGGAGAGGAGCTTCAACAGTGCCTGGGACTTGCGACCCAGGTGTAGGTTTAAGGGGCCCCTTAACTAACGCGCGTTATACGCTCACCTCCACTGTCCAAGTTCCTCTCCCTACCTAACCAAATTTGAAAAGAACCTACTAGGGCTGCCTTCGACGTACGTTCTAAGAATGAATTAATGTTAGTTCTGGACAGGCCCAAGTCTTTTAGTAGGTTATAGAGAGATTTAGCTGTTATACCTCTCGCTCCCACCTCTACCGCGTACAAATCAACGACGAACCTATTTCGAGTTAGTTCGTTAGTGAGCTCGTAATACTTATTGACCTTGGTGGCATGGTCTTTGGGGATGTTGGTTTCCCAAGGCACCGTAAGCTCTATCATCACAACGCGCTTTAAAATACGCGAATATAGAAATATGTCTGGTCTGGAGGCCGACGCACAAATATCCTCGGGGATTTTGTATTGTTTCTCATACGTATCCATCATGATAGTCCAATCCGAAGCCGCTTTAAGGATAGAGTAAGGCTTGACGTTTGATTTTATAGCCCTGGTGCCCTCTCTCACAAAACCTATTGATCGCTCGTTTGTGGTTATTTCCCTTTGCGCTCTGGCTACCGAAAGACTAACCGCTTCACGTATGATCTCTAAAACCCTATCGTGACGACGCGAGTATTGACCGCTGTCCAGGAGAACCTTACATCCCACCAGCAAATGCTTGGCAGTTCCAACTGCCTTTCCGCAGATATAGCAAGTTTTTTCGGTACCTTTACCCCATCTTACTAAATTACTCTGATCTGGGAGAGTCATCTGGAACGCATTGAGATAAAATTTTAGCAAGGCTGGCGACCAGTCATGAATTAGAGTGCGCCATTTTAGTGCTAGTGGAATGCAAAAATCTCCTATGTCTAACCACTCGTTCTGCATTTCTAAACTCATTGCATGGATTTTGTATTTATCGTTCTCGTCTTGCCGAATAAAAGACTTCAATATATCCGTATCTTGGACTTTCCTACTTGATCCTAACCCTACTCTGTTATTTTGCGCTCCGATCATAAATTGTTTATGGAATTGAAGTCGTGACTCTAGCTCTGGGGCATCATTGTCTTTTGGGAGTGATGTAACGACGTCATCATGGGATTTTCCCAGGATATGTCTCTTGGAAACTCTTAGGTGTTTGTAGAGCTCCGATGGTCTTTTTAGATTCATCCCAAAACTATTACGATCCCTGAATAAAGCCGATGAATCAGCCGTTAGCGCGAGCCCGAGCCACAACTTCAACATCTTTATGACGCCTGCATCTAATTTAGATAAAAGGGTTTTACTAAAATCATAGACGAGGAAAGGCCAATTCAAACGTGAAGTAAAGTAATTATCGTAGATCCATGCTTTTTTTACGTTACTGATCTGCTGGCTATCTACCTTGTTAAGATCATTTAAAAAGCTATCTACTATTCCTTCTAAAGATGGAGTACGACCTATATTATCAATCTTACGACCGAGAAACTTGAATGGTGCATCTTCCGTAACCGTAGAAACGCATTGACCGCCTATCGATAGTCCCGGATCGTATGAGGTGTATCTTGTATTCCGCCTACCAAGACACAAACAGTGACATTTACTTGGTTTTGTCCTCAATCCATCCGTCCACTCACAGAATTTATCCACTTCATCCAATAGTACTTGACAGTGTTTGGGGTGACGTGTCAGTATTGCGAGATCGTCAGCGAAGGCTAAAATGGATTCCGTGTATTTGTTATTGAACTTAAACCGATACCCCCATTTTTTCTCATTGCTGATAAGTTTATCTACTAGGATATTGATTACAATATTAAATACTATTGGAGATAAACAGCACCCTTGGAATAGTCCTACATTGTAACTCAAACTTTTTGAAGGGCCTTCTTTAGTTATTATAGAAAACCTTAATTTTGAGTAATACGACGCGATCATATCTCTAACTAGGGGTGGAAAGTTGTACCATCTAAGCGCGAATAGCATCAACTCGTGTTGTATCGACCCGAACGCGTTCTCTAAGTCTATCCAACAAACTGTAATTTGCCGCTCGCTTTTTCTAGCATCTTTCAAACTCTCCGACAGCAAGGTGTTGTGTTCTAGGCATCCAGAAATCCCGGGTAGAAACCCTTTCTGGTGATTTGGCCTAAAATACTTGTTGCTGAGCATGAATCGCGTCATTCTCGTTTGTAGGACCGAGAAAAAGATTTTAGAAATTGTATTTGTTAAGGCTATCGGTCTAGTATCCTTCGGATCGGTAACTCGATCTTTTTTGGGAATGAGGACAAACATTGCTTTCCCGAAACACTCCGGGATTTGCTTCCTTGACCAGATTTTGCCGTATATATTTATGAGGTGTTTACGAACCGATGGACATTTTTTAAAGACTATATATGGGATACCATCGGGGCCCGGTGCAGATTTAGATGATTTCCTCTTTATGTGACTACTTATTTCGTCTAACGTTGGTGGTATGCCGTGAAAATCGATATGAGGAATTTCCGGTTTTTGTTCGTTTGGATCCGTATAGAGCCTTACACTTTTAGGCACTTCGTATGTGCTCTTGAAATGGTCGTAAATTTGATCGTTGGTCAAGAGAAGCTGTCCGCGTTCTTTCTTAAAAATGGTTTTCGAATACTCAAAAGGGTTTTTATCAAAATCTACTTCCTGTTTGGCCCGGTCAAAATTACCGCGATATTCTGCAGTTTGTGCCGATATTCCTTGAATTAATTTAAGGATTGACCTTAACGCCCTAGCTAGCTGATGACTAAGGTGGTTGTCGCCTAGAGCTTTGGCTATACGTAGATTTTTTATTAATTCCCGTTTTTTTCTTCCTCATTTTTATCTTGAACGAATTTTCTTTATTTTTGCGAGCGTAATGATTACGTGGTGGATATTGCTCGTTGAAGTAGTCATAAACGGTATTTTGGAAAGTTTCTACCTGCGAGTTCAATTCCTGCTTCGAGCCCGGATGCTCTAACAGGACCGCTAAATTGTCGTCGTGAACTTTCCAAGTCGATTGTTTCATGTTAGGAATGCTAAGACGTGTCCGGATGTTAATGGACTCCTGGTGGTTTCCAGTTAATGGTTCACCATGGGATACGTGAGGGTCAACTCTATCCGAAGTGATAATTGAAGAACTTACCAACGATTGTCGCGCTTCAACACCATTATGTGTTTTTAGGTGTTTAATGTACCAGGCTCGTCTCTTGTAATTTTTCCCGCACGTAGGGCATTTCAAGTCCGTATTCGCGCCGTTTTCGCCGTTTAAATCGACCGGTGGACAGATCTTCCGCCCCCCCTCTCGGACTGTCCCAGGGGTATTTTTCTTTATAGGACTTTTAGCTTAATAAATCCCGGGCTGGGCTTGCTAGGCCGTTGCCCTCGGCTGTCTTTCCAGCAGTCATCCGTCTTTCCGGCAGTCATCCGTCTTTCCGGCAGTCATCTGTCTTTCCAGAGTCAGCCCGACTCTCCGGGCAGTCGTTTTATATGAGACGAAACCTCTTAGCATTCAATGGATTCACCGTGCGGGTGCCGGGTCCATTGCGTTGCAGGGAGAGGAGCTTCAACAGTGCCTGGGACTTGCGACCCAGGTGTAGGTTTAAGGGGCCCCTTAACTAACGCGCGTTATACGCTCACCTCCACTGTCCAAGTTCCTCTCCCTACCTAACCAAATTTGAAAAGAACCTACTAGGGCTGCCTTCGACGTACGTTCTAAGAATGAATTAATGTTAGTTCTGGACAGGCCCAAGTCTTTTAGTAGGTTATAGAGAGATTTAGCTGTTATACCTCTCGCTCCCACCTCTACCGCGTACAAATCAACGACGAACCTATTTCGAGTTAGTTCGTTAGTGAGCTCGTAATACTTATTGACCTTGGTGGCATGGTCTTTGGGGATGTTGGTTTCCCAAGGCACCGTAAGCTCTATCATCACAACGCGCTTTAAAATACGCGAATATAGAAATATGTCTGGTCTGGAGGCCGACGCACAAATATCCTCGGGGATTTTGTATTGTTTCTCATACGTATCCATCATGATAGTCCAATCCGAAGCCGCTTTAAGGATAGAGTAAGGCTTGACGTTTGATTTTATAGCCCTGGTGCCCTCTCTCACAAAACCTATTGATCGCTCGTTTGTGGTTATTTCCCTTTGCGCTCTGGCTACCGAAAGACTAACCGCTTCACGTATGATCTCTAAAACCCTATCGTGACGACGCGAGTATTGACCGCTGTCCAGGAGAACCTTACATCCCACCAGCAAATGCTTGGCAGTTCCAACTGCCTTTCCGCAGATATAGCAAGTTTTTTCGGTACCTTTACCCCATCTTACTAAATTACTCTGATCTGGGAGAGTCATCTGGAACGCATTGAGATAAAATTTTAGCAAGGCTGGCGACCAGTCATGAATTAGGGTGCGCCATTTTAGTGCTAGTGGAATGCAAAAATCTCCTATGTCTAACCACTCGTTCTGCATTTCTAAACTCATTGCATGGATTTTGTATTTATCGTTCTCGTCTTGCCGAATAAAAGTCTTCAATATATCCGTATCTTGGACTTTCCTACTTGATCCTAACCCTACTCTGTTATTTTGCGCTCCGATCATAAATTGTTTATGGAATTGAAGTCGTGACTCTAGCTCTGGGGCATCATTGTCTTTTGGGAGTGATGTAACGACGTCATCATGGGATTTTCCCAGGATATGTCTCTTGGAAACTCTTAGGTGTTTGTAGAGCTCCGATGGTCTTTTTAGATTCATCCCAAAACTATTACGATCCCTGAATAAAGCCGATGAATCAGCCGTTAGCGCGAGCCCGAGCCACAACTTCAACATCTTTATGACGCCTGCATCTAATTTAGATAAAAGGGTTTTACTAAAATCATAGACGAGGAAAGGCCAATTCAAACGTGAAGTAAAGTAATTATCGTAGATCCATGCTTTTTTTACGTTACTGATCTGCTGGCTATCTACCTTGTTAAGATCATTTAAAAAGCTATCTACTATTCCTTCTAAAGATGGAGTACGACCTATATTATCAATCTTACGACCGAGAAACTTGAATGGTGCATCTTCCGTAACCGTAGAAACGCATTGACCGCCTAATACAATAAACAATAATTTTTAACGTATGATTTTTTATAATGGAAAAAGTGCAGTTTTGAGATAGTTTACTTACTTCTGATTGGATTGATTAAGTTTCTGTAGTAGTAAACTGTCATCATCGTTCCCGTGACTTTCATTCGTTTCATCAAAATCTGCAAAATAAATAAAGCATTAATATGGGAAAAGATATTCAATTGCCAGTATTCGCGGAAAGTAAAGGTATCTAATTTCTATAGCTGACATGCGTTCACTCCATTCAAAAACCTTTCCATTCAAACTCTTGCGTACTCAGCCTCAATCTATTCGTTGTAATCAATTGCCAGTCCGAAACCATTCTCGTCCATTTATATTTTCGGGCGTGCGCAATAAAATCAATACTGTGAACTTTCAAGAGTGCAGTGACCCATTCACAAAATAAGGCCACACGTACTATTTGCAGTAAAATTTTAATAGGTATGTACTTAAACGTGTTAAGCATTTTTTATAATAATTTAAATTTAAACCCCATTCAAGGATTCAATACGCATCGCAGTATTAGATAAATGCTTACAAACGCAAGCTCACTAAGCGAGACACTTAAAAAGATAAAAAAACCGTTTCGAATGTGCATATTTCCGTAGAAACCTGCCGCCCACGCGGGCTTAGACAAAGGCCTGTAAAATTACAGTCTTGCTTTTAAATGCGAGAATGAATCGTAATATCTCGTTCCCTCAAAGCTTTGCGAGCCGTTGTGGAATGCGACGATGATTCTGTCCCTGTACACAGATGGGTTTACTGTTTCTACTTTGGGTCTGTGATACCGCTAGTTTAAAAAAAAAAAGTTGATTGAGAATCAACTTTTTATCAAACTTGTGTATTTGACACCCGCTATTAGCAAGCTAGTTTTACGAAAAAGTTTAGATTGGAGTCAAGTTACGATAATAGTTTTGTTGCGGAAAATTCTCGAAAGTTTTGCATCTTATACTGTTATGAACTTAAAAGGAAAATAAAAAATAACTTCTATTCAAAGTTCTTATGGCGCAAGTGAAAAGTTGTAGGTGAAACTTGGACGGTCCTGTCTCACAGAAGTTACAATTTGAATTCCCTTTTCTATAGAAGTTCGTTTTTCTAAGGAAGATATTAAAGATCGGGAGACATTAAAACTATATAATTATAAGGAGCCGTCCATATGCGTCATCTTTTACACTTTCTACTTTACATACAGATTAATATATTTACGTATATACTCTTATGGAACAAACAATATATCAAGTGGAACAATATTATTCTCAAATAAACGCGTGAGTTGGAGATGTCTAAGTCGCATAAAAGGTGCGATTTTAAAAATGCACAGCTCCCTTTGAATGTTGACTTTTTCTCATTTAGTCGTATGGTGCCGCAAGATAAAACTAGCAGAGTTAGACTCATCTTCAAATATGAGCACTGAGAGCAATCTCTTCCTTTGAAACATTGGAAAACTCATAAACATGTGGAATAGAAACAGTGCCGTTTTTCTCACACGTGGAAAAAATTGCTGCCGGCCAAAAATGGAAGGGTATTTCTGTTTTTATTTCTAATAACGAAGCTCGTAAGTTTTTGACGTATCAATAATTGTCATTACATGGTAAAATCAAAGGTATATTACTACTGTATTTTCCATTACACAATCCTGTAGTTTACTGGTAATAATTCATTAGTTAAATATATTCTTTTGTAAAGTGTGATTTAATAATATTATGTAGTACTAATGACGTTGAAAATTTGCTTACAAAAATCCATCTTGTCAAAGATTCCAAGGGACGTTACGAGTTTGGCATTGTACTTGAAGCTTGCAAACAAGATATTTTATGGTCCCACATTAGAGCAATGAAATGAATTACATCCATAGCATGTCGTATTGCGTCCCAACTAAATTGCTGCCTCCTTTTTTATGTCCCTATTATATAAGGTTTGGACGTTGATGTAGAAGACCATTTCGCTTGCTTTGCTCGTTAAATTTGAGCTCCTTGGAGGAATTTACATGAGAAAGATATGACTTGCGAAAGTTTGTTTGTCATAGAAGATACATAAAGTGGATTGATATATTATACATAGTGTATTTTAAAATTATAAAATATTTAATCTTTTCTTTTTAAGATGATGAACATGTTTTTTGATTCTTATATATAAAAAATACAAGATAAAATATATAAAATAGCGACGACTACATGGCACTTTAAATCATAAGAAAATTCAATACCTATTTAAGAGCAAGGACTGCTTCTTTATAATTGAATTGCTGAAAAAAATAATATTTTAATATTGACGGACACTTGCATTAACTTAAATAAAATGGAAAATAATACAAAAAAGTCATTGCTTATCTTAAATATAAAATATTATTTTTAATAACAAAAGATACCGAATATATCAAAATTATATATTAAACAAACGTGTTTCTTAGTTTAAAAATATTTACTTGAAGAATAATTCCAATTAATGGATTAATAGACAATTTATATAATACAGATTTGCTGGGGCTACTAACGAGTGAAATACACAAATAGCTATAGCTTTATTTATTGGAACATCTGTTATAAATGCATTCAAAATCCTTTGAATATGACGGTCTAGCCCATTAATGACCGGGGATACGTCATGACAGACGGCTAAGCATTCAATCTGCCGCTACTGAAGGTAACCAACCAGTCACGATTCGCCAACGACTACCCAACCATGACACTCACCGCAGATACTAAGTTAGTTATAACCGGCAAAATGACCTTTATTAACAGTAAAATAAGATCTATTCAATAGCAAATCATATCTGATATTATATTCTGAAGACGTTCTCACTTTCAGAACGGATGGTGAATAGTATTACGACTATAATTATCCTTAAGTTGTGCCTGATAATTTTATAATCAAAATTTTCAATATGTTATTGATAATTTTGAAAAGAGCTTAAAATCCTCTTAACATATGTATATTCTTCTTAAGAATATGTAGGAGAAGAGTTAAAGTTAAAACAAGTTATCGATCCCACAGAAAGACACACTAGTATGTATTTTCAAAAGTGAACACTTGCACATAATTTTAGCAAAAGTTTTCATAGTCATACTATATAGTCATGCGTTTATACGCGTTTCCAATGTACCATGTGTGAAAACGTATGAGTAAAAAACTGGAAACACGCCGTATGCAGTGTATACACATAACAACAGTACTAAAGCTCTACTGAACATTACTGAACTTGAAAGTATCTTGGCACCTTAGAGAGTATATTATTGTGAAAATCAACTATGCAATTGAATTTGAAAAGGAAAGAGAGATAAGGACTTCTATAACTTTCATTCATCGCACGAAATGAAGCTATAATAGATATATTATTTGAATACTAAGATTTAATGTTTTCATGTTCAATATATTCAATTATGTTACTGCTTCAACGCTTATTTTTTTAACATTAATAAACTGACACACGTCTTTAAATAGTTTACCATTTATTTTCTTATTTATTTATTTTAGTATTATTATATTTGAAGCTAGTATAAATTAGTGTATAAAACTTACTTAAATATTGATTCACTTCCGATATTTCATCGTTGACTTCAACGGGCAAAGTTATTCTGAAAGAAAACAATATTTATGTATCATTAATATGGTATCAAAGGAAAATTGTTATTAAAAAATGTAATTTAACTAAAAGATATTTCTTTACCGAGTATTGAATTTTTCTTTGAAATTAATTGTCTTTTCATAGCAAACGCAAAGTGACTGACTTTTCTTTGAGGTTTGCCATGTTGGTATCCTTTTTTGCAGCGAACCTGAAACATATTTCTTTGTAATAATTTATATTTAATATAAAATGGAGAAATTGTCATACCATGATCTTTAATTGTGATAATTTTGATATTTGAAAACAATTAGACTTGTTTTTGAATTCCAATTATTTGGTTTTCGTTAATCAAAATTGGATTAAAAAATGTAAATATTTATTAAATAAATTTTTTCAAGCAATACTTCAACACATTAATACTGAATACGAAAAAAGATATAAAGACTATTATAATGAAATAAATGAAAAACATTCCCCCTAAAATTAAAGCATGAAAAGATAATTGAATTCGTTTATATTCAATTAAAATCTTCCACTTAATGTGATGTAAAATTGATTGGCAAAATTGTAATGACTTTATCACATCCATGTTACGTCAAACGCAAATTTAAGGAACTTGTACACCCTCGTCATTCCTGACGTATAATATTGTGACGTTTTACGTTCGTATGAATTCACCTTACTTTATTGACATCGTATTGATTAATTGAAGCTTAATCGAATGTTTATTAAAGATAATGTACAATAATGTATTTAGAATAGTAGTTTGAAGTGAAAATTTACATCGATTGGCGTCAGTTGAAAATAAATTGTACGAAAATGAGTTGTATAACCAATAATTATAAAAAGTAACTTAGTTTTTACGCAATGGAATCCAATTCAAACGGCTTTTATTTTGCTCTCGTTTCGATTTCAATTAAATTTCGCGCAAATTGAATCGAAGCGGATCGGAACGTTCCCGCCGAGTGTTTGACAAATAGTCTGTACCAATTTATTCCCTCATATAATGAGATACGTTTCCCAACGAATGCTGGAATAAAACGCCCTTTAATTTTCACGTTACTGTGTAATTTTGCTATCGAGTACCGCCATAACGCGATCGTGATAATCACTTTAACGGAGTCGCTTTTCAAATTATCACCTTGTCAATGTTCCCATCTTGAACACTTAAATTATCGGTACATTACTTTAGGTTTAATATTATTCTATATTATAGCAATTTTTACGCCTTTTTTGATTAAATACATTACATTACAATACACTTTATATAAATTATATATAGTTGTGTTACTTACATATACATTGAACATAAGATTTCTTACTTTTAAAAAACTTACCACTGCTTCCATTGTAGTTTGATTCTTGCATCTGAACTTGACACCTGCAACAATTGTATCCTTTTATATTGCGCAGAATACAATAAATAGCAACTTTTGTACAAAGTGAAGTGAAATATAATAATCCCTATGACGTTTCAGTAACTTATAACATGACAATTTTATAATGCTGCATAATATATGGTTATATTTTTATGAACTGAATCTAAATATAAAATAAATGAAAATGTAGTATCTGTCAATTTACATACACTCGTAGGTATATTAAAAAATATTTTTTACTACTTTTCTAGTATACCTAGTATACGTCCGAGGGTTTTTTCCGGCAAATCTTTTAAGTACTGGAGTGATTTCGATATGACTCTTACCAACCGATAGCTGATATGATAGAAAAAAGTAATTAAGGCTTTTCAGATACTTTATTATTTTGTATACATAATTAATTCAAAAATATATAACGCGGATGAAGTCGCGACCACAGATAATATAAAAGTATAATAATATTGTCTCCTCAAAATACACACAGGTTGTATCTTTGCTACAAAAGCGAATTATTAAAAACAGAGAGTGAATAAAAATATTGTCATGTTATTCCCATTTTAACCGGATTGCAGAACGTGAAAGGAGGCTGACATATTTTGGTTCGCGAGTAGGCAACAATCTACTCCAACAGTGAGGTCGTTTTCAAAGTTGTTGTTGTGAAATTCTCTCCAATTTAGATCTACACAAGCATTTTCATACCATTGTTATTTAAAAAAGAAACATGAAATGCTTACGAGAGTATGAATTCGTAGTTTGCAAATATAAAAAAATGTATATAATATCAACTGCATACCGTGTCTTTTGTTTGAATGGAGTCAATTGGAAACTGATCTATATTAAAACTATACTAAGTTAATTTACCTGTACTATTTAATTATTATTACTGTTCATATATTTTTTATCCTATTGGCAATAGAAATTATAGTAATTTAAACGTTCAATCCATATTTAATGTTATAAGTTTCCTTCCACCCTCTATAGTCTATGATGTAGTGCACTTACTATCAACGCTAGGACTAGATAATTTTTTAAACTCTTTAACGAGAAATAGTTTATGATTTACGCTTATAATGTTTGAAGAGCGAGGGGAAGGATGAAGAATATTTGAACTTGCATATCTATGGATATTATAAGGTCATTTTATTTAATGTAAAAAGTTAATTTGGTCATTGATGGCCTTCAATCTAAAGCTAGATGATTAAGCGATCGTTGGTACTAAATACTAGGTTCAGCCAATAAGGCTAAGTAAAAACAATATTTTGGCATCGTTTTTTGTAGATAAAACGATATTGTTTAAGACGTCCCAGTTTCTCGGAACAATGTTATTTCAAGCCACAATGATTTATTTCAATTGAAAAAACAATTATTTATTCTCATTTTATTGGAAACCGTATGAAATTAAAGTGAAGCTATAGGGTTATTATATTATCGCGTGGGTATCACAAAGTTCAGTACTTACTATCACCAAAATTATTTATTCTGCATATCAACGACATGCTGCGAACTAGCAGCACTCGGTGCTATGAAGATGACAGTACTGGTACTCTTTCTGTATAGGCCACACCAAAATATACCTTTTTAACAATTAGATTTAAGCAGAAAGAAAGTTGTATTTGAAATTGAGACTTCCCTGGAGATGGATGGAGATTAATTAAGTATTACACTTACCAACTGCATTATATTTTATATGCATATCAAAATTTCAAATAAAGAAAATAAATAGGAAATTTCATTCAAAACAAATAACGTTATGTAGTAATGAAATATATTTAAATCTGTGAAGTATTTATAAAGGTTAGACTGAATACCATCACAGATATAATTAACAAACAATCCATAAGCTGATTTATGTAAAACTTTTTTATCCTTTCTCTTGTTTAATAAATTTATTGAATCTTCGTACACAGCGGTTTCATTAATTATAAATAAATATAGAAAATGTAGTAATAAGTTTACTTTTGCTTTTTTATTCATCAATTGAGTGTATAATTAAAAAATAAAATAATAATTTTAGCAGTATAATTTTTTAACGAGTAGTTTTTGAGTACAACTCGATACTGGCTATAAAAGGGGTTTATGAGATATATTTCTAATGATCATTGACGTCACCACTCATGTTAATAGAACAATGGTTCCTGGATATTCATATAACAAGGTTTTAATATTAAGGTGGTAGTTTGAGAACACTCGACGCACAATAGATTGTCACTAGCAGACAATGCTCCCTGAGTTTCCGAAGTCAACGCCGTAAAAACACATTGTTGTCTTGAGTACTATCAAATGCATACCCTTACCTCTTAATACTGTATAGACATGACTCTTATTTTTGATATCCTCAGTTCTGCATTTACTTTTTATATCGGATTTTTTTCTACTCGATATATTAAAAAAAATGTTTTTATAATAGCAGTTATGATTGACTTCAGAGATGATTAACTATGAAAAAAGAAGGCTTTCAATGTAGTTAAATTATAAACGCGCATTTTATAAGCATATTTTAGCAAAAAGATACATTTAGTTTCTATAAAATTTTACAGTATTACTTAATTCAAATGTAATATATTTTTATACGTTTATATTAAACTATATAATAACTGAGCCGAACAAAATTCGTATTACACTGTGCATATTTTCCCCGAAGCAATAATCCATCAATTGTTTTCGATTATTATATAATATGACGAGAATTGTGGGACTAACCACAGGAGTCGGCTTCGGGCGATGTAGTTGATCTATGAGGAATATTGGAGCTGTAGCAAATAACAACGTAATTGTGCTACGGTCACTCTATGAAAATTATTCCGGTATCTGAATTAGTATTTTACTTAATGCAAAATATACATAAGTGTATTTCTATTTAATAGTTTGAATGTAGGAATTCTTTTTCATTAGTAAGTAAAAGTAAGCTATATATAAAAAGGTTTTTATAAAGATGAAAAACGTTTTGTTAAAAAAAAAAAGTTCTATGTATACAAATGTTATAAGCATTATGCGAAGCTTGAAAATTGGATCCAAAGCTTTAAATTTAAATGTGAAGAATAGTCTCTTGGGATATGTAATATATTCTTTAGCTAAAAAATATTTTTAACATACATTTAGAAGCTCTCTGATAAATTGTTATATTTACATAGTTTCTTTCAAATTCCAGGCAGGGATATTAATGTGAAAGTTTTTATTATTCACAAAACGTAAGTTAGTTAATATTCTCTTGTTAAAAATAATATTCAACAATTAATTTACCTTTCAATTGAAAGTTTTTATGAGTCAGACAAAAAGTAATTAGCGCAAGTTAACGAAGCATTCAAAATTATTTATAAAATGAGAACAACCTTCCAAATTTAATACATTTATTTATTGTACAAATCCAGTGAATAGTTATATTGCTTTATTAAATAATTTCAAAAAGGAAGATTCCCAATTAACTTAATTATTTATTTAAGTAAACTCACTATTACCTTTTTTGAAATCACAGTCTTAGCTTTCCCACCATACCATAAGAATAACTAAATTAAATATAACATAAATGCCGGGTCAGAAAATGTTACATATATTTTTTGATTTAATACTATTTGACTACTATGGAATCAAAGGAATTTTTTTTAAGAGTAAATTTAATCATAAATCTATATTTTCTGGTCAAGTTATAACTTAACAACGGCTTTTTTATAACTTCATATAAATTTTTAAAACTTAAAAATCACCGTTATTAGTATACATTTTTAAAAGCGTTTAAAAAAACAATGAGTTGTTTGTCATGTGAGTCACTATATTAACATAAATTGTTTCCAAGCTCATATTACGTATTAGTAAAACTAAATTTTACTGAAATTTGAGATTATAATTATATTATATGATGTACATCTCAGTTTTATCGGTCAAAATTAAGAACTTTATTTTAGTATCCCGTGGTAAACATTAAAAAGGAATTTCAACCTTTATTAAGGTCTCTGATCGGAATGATATTTTTGACAAAGAAGGACTTTTGGGTTTTTTGTTAGGTCTGCCTGTGTTATTTATGTTATTAATGTACCTTTTTAAGTGGGATGGAGACGTATAACCCTTATTTATAATTATAATATAACGCCTCTGTTACTTTATAGTCATTGTTATAATTGATGGGAAAAAATAATTGTGGATAGGTATATAATTATATGTAATAAATATTAGAAGTTTGTAATCCCTCGCAAATTTTTATTATTCAGTTTTCATTATAAATGCTAACATGAATTATTTTTTCACAAAATATAAAAATACTATTTCGAATACAAATAACAAAACGATATAGTTATGACAATGTTAAAAGCGATTTAACTTTAAAATCTATTTTCATTTATGTATCGAATGCTTGAAAAAACATCGCAGCAACTTTTCCATGCGTTTTTATTCGAATTTTCTGTTCATTTAAGTTTTCTCACAATACCAGAATGAAATCCTAACGCTTAACTTTCAAACTACAATGTACTCAGATAGTACGTATAAAAATACTTAGATGGAGATTGGAATTGGAAAAGTTGAAGTTAAAGTAAGCAAAAATTTTGTTCAAAACAAGTTATAAAGCAAGCAAACCGATCTGAGTTATTTTGTGATCAATTCAATTATATATGTAGAAATCAATTACTTAATGTGTTTTCGGTCGGAAAAATCAAAACCCGAATTATTGCAGTGAGATCCACGTTTACATAATTCATATATATATATATGAACAATACACAAAAACTAACATTTATGAGAAACCTCTCAAAAAGTATATGTATTTATCGAAAACCTTTAATTACATAATATACAAAGAGAATTTCAAAAAATGGTCCAATTTAATTGAATTCTCCTCAAACGTTTAAACTTTGACCTGAAAATATTTCAACACATTTGAAACTCTTTGTTTTCAACGGTTACAGAATTTCGAACCGCCGAAACCAACGGCAGGGTAAATTGCGGTCTGTACATTTTTAAACTCTGGACACTGAAATGAAACGTGTCCAGCTATAAATAAATACATAGTAAAACTGATAAATATAGAGAAATTCTTTGATTAAACACTCTAAAAAACCCTATATCCAATATTTTAGTGAGTAATGTACTATATATTTGAATATCGGTAGCAATTTATAAAAATACTTTAATAAACTAAAACTTTTTTGATAATATTAATATAATTTTTGATGAAACCTATTTAACTAAGATAAAATATCTCTAAATTAATATTTCTTCACGAAGGTTTTACAAATAGTCTTTACTACTTATTTCAAAACTTTAAAGAGGAATAAAACTCATTTTTATCATAATTTATATTGGCATATATTAAACTAAGTTTTTAAAGACAGGTCAAGGATGTACACGCTGACCTCAAAGCGGTGAACTCAGTCATGCAAATAAAATTTGGTTCGACGATTGAAGAACACTCTCAGTAGCTTGCTAAACTAATAGCTATCTCAGTACAAATATCTAGCTATATTCACTACTATTACAGATAATGTTTTTGGAATAAATTATTCCATAAAATACATTATTACATTCACATATCGAAGATAAGTAATAAATTTTTTTCTAGATCTGTTAGCTAATTTAATATTATGCTAGTATTACTTAGGAGTGCTCTTAAAATACTTCGCATTCATGGTATGTTTGAACAAATAAAATGCTAGAATTAATATATCCGAGTTTTCATTTGAAACGAAGTTTTAAAATGCGTTCGGAATTTCAAGCACGGGAATTGCTTCGACGTATGCTATCGATCCCCTCTGAACTGGCTACCTGTGATGCAATTAAAAAAACGTTTGCATACTTTAATTGTAAAACTGAAATGATTTTAACGTAACAATTCATTTAAACCTTTTACGGCGCTTTTTTATGATTGTTTTCATAAAAAAGAATTTAAACTATACATAATGTATAGTACATAGGAAAGCTGTTATCGAAAAAATTTAATCGATGTTCTTTGAATGCTATCGGAACTATCGATATGGCGCGAGTTATTGATAAATTCAATATTGTTATGAGATAGAAATGCTTTCATAGTATTTTCAAACGAAATATTACTTCTAATAAGAGCAACATGAAATTTCCTTTGAAATGTACATTTTGGATAGAATATGTGCATTTAGTTTTCGGTTGAACAATTTTAAAAATATAAATTGAAAATTGTCTTCGAATTTTATATAAATCAAAAAACTAGAATCATATATATAATCAATTTTAATTTATGACTTTCAAACGCAATAATACCACGAGTACTGAAAGACTCACTGGAATAAAATTTTCAATTCAGTCTTATTAAAGGAATAATTAAAACTAGTTTAGAATTTTTCATTTACTCGGCGCTTGCGGATCCTTTTAGCACCATAATGATTTAATTAACGAGAGAATTCTTAGCGTCCAGTGGATGTTGAGCTATGTTATTGCCGTCAACCAACCATATAACCGTGACTAAAACAGAACATCGGCTTCCGGCCGCTTATCTTGCTATGGGAGAAAGAAAAACCTATAAAGCTTTAAAGCAACAATGAAAAATACGAACCGTTTTACGTCGGGTGGTACATAGGGGGGCGAGTCCGGCGCGCCTCGCAGGCTTGAACAATGCCTCCCCAGGACGAGAGCTGCTGCAAAAACAAAAAAAAAAAACATATAAACAAGCGTTCCAATTATTGACGTGGGCATGAGAACTTGAAACTCGTTCCCATTTATATTCTTACCTTATGATTGAACCTTTATTACTAGACGGACAAACTATCGGCTAATGAGCTGAGTTTGAAATACGGAATATAATACAACTTCTGTTTGAAAATTCAATAATTTTTTTATTATTGTTTGAAACAAGATATTCTGAATTTAAGCAATTTCAAATGTATGTATTGCGTAATGATGCTTCGTGTGTATTTCTAAATCATTAGATACTCATATACCCACACAATTATTTTACATATTTTGTTAATATACAGGGGATGTTTGATTTATTTATTAAAATACAATAAAGGACTTGTGTAAATTTTTTTATAAATAAAAGAAATACGAAAGGATGGAGATTTATATTGATATTAATAAATTGTAGGTAAGTTTAAAGATGTACTATATTTTTATAAAATAAATTATTTCTTTGTAGTCTATTTATTGAGCAAGTAGCAATTGTAAAATTGATATTTTATAACGAAAAAAATTCTTTTTAGAGAATAATTTGCCATCATTAGTCGGCCGTTTAAGCATATTCTCGTTAAGAAATCATTAAAATTATTTCTTTCTTTCTTTTCGTTTCGGCAACAATCAAAATTATTAGGACAAAGCTATCGTAGAACCATAAAAAAAGAAATAAATATCGAAAAATTCATAAAATTATTTAATGAAAAATTTCGATATTAATTTTGTCTGGAATGTTCATAAAACTTTGAGAATTTTCAACGGAATTAGAGCAATTGTTTAAAAAGTTTTTCAACATGATATAAACGTCGAATTTTTAATCAATCACGAGTTCGTTGACCTGTGAGGAGCGTTTAGAAAACAAATTGTGTTACAAGAGTACCAAAGTAATGTGTTTCGCATGAGTGGGGACAAGGAGCGAAAAAACGAATGGGAAATCCATTGGAAATTGTGGGGGCGGGAGGCTGTGGGAGTTCCCACCGGATACACGGTTTGCAGGAACGCTATGCTTCCACAGTATATATTGAACTAATATTTAGATATTTGAATATGTTTCGTATTTTATCTTATAAAATAATACAGAAGGTTCTTGTTATATTTTGTATTGAAATGCTCTTGTTTATAGAGAGTTTTACGGTTTGAAAACATTTAGCTTTCAACAGAACAACTACAAAGAATTCGTACATTACTAAATATATGAAATTATTCGGAACATAAATTGTACTCTTTTGTTTTACAACTCATGTATGGTAAAAAAACTTATACTAAAAGTAATAAAATTTAAGTACATTACATATAGTTTCGATTTTCAATAAATAGTTCTTAGATTCGTAATGACCACAGTAGCACTTTACATATATATACAATACACATGTATACATCTATATGTACATATATATTAATATATAAAAACTATAACTATATTTATTAAAATTGTTCACGTACATTTATGGCAGCTTTATTGCTCTTAAATATTTTATTGCACAAGGGCTTTTATAACAGCAATTTATATTGGTAATATATATCATTTTTATACCGATATTTTCTCGTTTAACCACTATACGCGAACCATTTTTACGTAAAGTTGATATTAGAGAATCGATATCAAATCTTTAAGTGTTTTCTAGAGAGTTAAAAGCATATATTAATTGAATGAAAATATGACTGAGAAATTTTTAAGATTAATTCAACTACACATTATTTTTTAAATAGGATAAGACCTAAGCCTTTCAGACAAATTGTGATTCAATTTCTTACTTCAATAAACTCTTAAATAAAAGCGAATCTGAGGATAAAGAAAGTATTCTAAGAAGATTTCACCAAATAAAGCAATTGCTCACAAAATAGAAGAAAAGATACTATTTTTAATTAAGCCGAACGCTAAACAAAAAGGTAATCAAGATAGTACATATAAAAAAATCCAATAGCAACAGGATCCTTGTTAATGTGAAGCGAATGGTATGGCTTGATAAGGAAAAACTGGTAAATAAGGTATCATGAGAGCGGTCGGGGTGGGATGTGTATTGTACGTATAAAAACGGAAGCTTGAACCACCAGCTTTGATAAAATACCGCAAAGTTTATACACAATACACTTATATAGCCATACTTTCGAAGGTTCAATGAAAAGCTGACACGGCTGTTAAATACTAGAGCATAATATTGCAACGAAATAAAACGATTTCATTCACATTAATAACACCGAGCTATCATAAAAGCATCGATCGTCATCACAATGCCATCTCAGATAGCTTTGACTTCCTGAAGTCAGTCAAAGCTTACAGTTTATAAAAAAAATATATAAAGAGCTATGGGGAAAAGGTATAAAAAATTCACAGAAACACGGAGGTCGGAGTTTTTCCTGTCACCGGGCACAAACAATGCCTCTATTGTAAACCCTCCTCCCGACCTCAGGGCCGGAAGAGAGGAAACGAGTATCTTTTGTTACCCTCCCCCCCACACCCTCCTGGTTACCGTCCCCCCCTAACCCGCGGTCATCTGTTTACATCATATAGATGAAAAAGAACATTTGGTTCGTTACTTTCGGTAGTGATAAGAACGTCAGTCACACTCTCGAACTTGGCAACACGGAAGACGAGATAAAAATTTTCTTTAGAAACTTCAGCTTGCTTCAGACACTTAATTAATTAAGCTTTTAATTGAAAAATACATTTTGATATTTTTACATTTAATATATAGTTTGAAAAATAATCACATACATCATAATATGAATTTTTAATTTCAGCTTATATATTTTTTAAGTAACACTAAGGCAACATTGTAAATTATAAGTACTGCTTTAAGCGACTTTCCAATCATTCCATGTAATTTCTAAATCGAACAATTTCGTTAAAACTTCACATACAACTTTCAGTGTTATTCGTAAAAATACATTCGTATATAGTTACAATAGATCGAATATAAGAGTTGCATTAGTAAAATTGAAAAAGTATTCAGAGATTTTTCTTAACATCATTGTGAATAACAAGCTGACTAGGTGACTAGGCTTATAAATATTGAGATTCCAGGATTCTTTCATCATTATCGGTAGACGTAAAGAACTGACATTAATAATGTATGGAGGTCGAATCTAGTTACAATTTCAAATGGATAAAGGCTTTATACAAGACGGTTGAAGCGGTCGCGCTCGTTAGTGTTAGTATTTTAAATCTTCAATGAAATAACAAAAAAGGTTGTAACCAGAAACAAATAAATATACATTAATATAGATAAATGTCAAAGTTTTAATAAAAATAAACACTCTATAGAAAATGTCTAAGGGTTTTCTAGTGGGTGACGTAAAATAATTTCGGGCTTTCTACTTACATATATCCCGCACTGGTTCAAATATGAAAAAATAAGCAAGCCAGTTATATTTTCTTTCTCCCGTCACTTGTATTGCTTATTCATGTTAAACGCTCAGGAATTTTTACGTGAAATAATATTGTGAGGGTATATAAGGTCTAAATTTAGAATAATATGAAAGGTATGTAGTATATAATTTTAAAAAATAAATAATTATAGCTATCGGTACATTCTGCTCTTAAAAATATACATATATATTGTTCGAAAAAATAATTAGATTAATTCTAAAAGCATTGAAATAAATTAATTTATTTAACCATCGGACAGAAATAAACTAATGCGAAGTCAGGTTGATAAACAAGTTCGCAATATTTGAAAGAGTTTCTTTCAACATCCTAATTCATTACAAGGTTCTTTTAGTCCGAACAGAAACAAAAAGTCTATAATCTTTTGTTACTACGTTGCTTTAAGATCTTTAAATAAACCTAGATCCTGTTTTCTTCAGACTCAAAAGTATGTTTTTCGTGTTGCTAAACGGATATTTTCGTGCAACTTCTTTTATTGCATACACAAATTGGATTTCTCGGAGCAATATACATTTCTTGGAGTAAATTTCGTTTATTTTGTTTGGGTAAGCGGAATGTGTTGTAATCATTTTTTATAAGAATTCTTGGTCTTTGTCGTTGGGTAATTTATTTAATGATTTCTTCTTTTACTCAGTGAGCCTGAATGTATAAAGGAGTTTAATATTTCCTATCTCTTTTTTAGGTTTTTGTAATAAAAGTATTCTCATTTTATTTTGAAAACAATTTATGTAGAAGACATTTTATAAAAAAAATATTTAATAGGTAATATATTTCATTCGTATATTTGAATTGTGTTATTTTTAAAGCATGAAAACAAAATTATTTTACGCAAAACAAACCTACATGAAATACCACCAAAATATTATGTTCATATAGAGATAATCAGGTGAAAAATAATCATTAATAACCATATACATACTCATATACATATATAAATATGTAATACGTACAGATGTATATATATATATTCCTTGTGTATTATTCCATATAATATAAAATACAAAAACAATTCAAGTAACATTGGATAAACATGAAAAGTTACAGGAAACAAACCCACTTTTCATTGTTGCATCAGATAATGGAAACGCTGAAGTGTTGAGATAATTTAATAAATTCAATGTATATTTACGAAATATAAAATTAAAACAAGTGGTTCCTACTACATATTATAACTTATTCATTTAAGAGATGACGTAATGAATTTTATCTAGTATAAAATTTGTCGCAAAAATTTTAATTCAAATAGTTACTTTCATTAAATTGAAAATGATTTTACCGTGCCTTTTCAAAAAAATATATTAATTCGATAAACTTATTAATATATATATATATATATATATATATATATATATATATATATATATATATATATATATATATATATATATATATATATATATATATATATATATATTTATATATATGTATAAGTTTCTACATAATTTTTATAAGAAGATATCAATTGAACCCGCAAGTTCTTTTATAAGTACTCACTAAAACGAGATTGTTATGTGTCCATTCCACTAAATTGTATAGGGATTTGGTCCAGAGATTAACCTGATTGGTTTGACCCGGACAAAATGTCCCAAGATATTAAAGGACAATTGTTTTAACGTGTTGTACTAGGGTTGTACATTTTTGATTACCCAAAGAGTAATGGTATAAAGAAGGTATTACTTAGCGGCTTGAGCAATAACGTTTCACTTATGTAATTACATTCTCTGCGGGAAAATGACGAAGGTTTATTTAATCTCATGTTATTTTTGCAATAATGGTAAGTACTATGACGAGAATTGCGTCCTATTGAATTTTTTTAATGAAATTATGTTTTCTTTTTTTATTGTTTTACTTTTATTTATAATTATTGGATACTATCGTGATTAATTAATACTCGTAATATTGATTTTTATTAAGGATTTCCGTGTCAAGTTGATGCTTAACAGAAATAATTTATTAAATACATTTACATGCCCTGTCAATTATAATAATATTAATTTGAAATTTAATTCTACAAAATACATAAAAAGTAACGTCCTATTCGTGACTTATTTTATATACAAAATGTATATTTAGTTTGGATAGTGCTTTTATTTTGGTAGCAATAATTCGCAAAAGATGACGCCAGGTCATATTGACAGCCCACAGAAATATTTTCAGCAACCTAAGAAAAAGAACTTCAATTTCAATGCCTCTTTTTTAAAATTGGGCCTTAGCTAAATTCGTAAAAAATAGTAATGGCAGTAAGTAATAAAAATTGGACTTTTACTATGTTTTAAAAACATATGCAAAGTTGTGTCTTGATAACATATTCATGTTTTATTTAATTTTAAGCAATAATAACCACCATAACCATAATAGAGAATCGAATGTATGAGTGGTGAGACCGAATGAGATTTGTGATATGAAAAGAAACGAATATACTTTTTATGGCATTATTCAAGACCACGATCTGCTGCAATTATGGAACTACGAGTATATGGTCTGGACAAATATAAATGTGGGATGTTTGACAAGTGAGAAAGGTTTTTTAGACGAACATACTTGATATCTTTTGTTCCTGTAATTCATAGATATTCCTGGAATTTCTTGGAGGCTCTTGGGTTATCTGGAAAACTTGTGATTGTATGTCATTTTGTGTATGGGTCAATTTCGTTTTATATAAAATTGGGAATAAATAAGTCACAAAATTCTCAAATATTTTACATCAGTCGTTAAAGATCATATATTTTGACTAGTGAGTACATTCTACAAAGCAGGTAGTTTTTTGTCACCTTGTTTTATTCTTTTCTTTTGTGAATTTTATTGCCTACTGTACTTAGTTTTGGACGGACGTTAATCGATATTATCTATATCAGTAACTCCTTTTTTGTTTTGTATTTCATTGCTGCATTTTAATGAACTTTTTGTATTTTTGGATTGCGTATACCGCTGGGTCGTAATCATCCAGTTGACTTGACACAAGTATATATTCAACCTCACACCTCATTATAGTGGTGTTAGCAAGGAAAAGGATAGAAAAATATAGAAAAGGATAAGATGCTCAGCAATTATTCAAATCATATACTAGTTATAAATAAAATATAACAATAAGTTACATATCTAAAATTGCTAGGAGTCAAATTGATATACCGACATTACACCATATATTATCTTATGTTATTTTATATTCATGTAAAATTACACTACAAAAGATTGAGCAGTTGATGCCCACAGTAAGCAAGCAGAGTAATGGAAAATCTAAGCTAAAAATAGTCTAAAATATGTGCATGATGTTTTATGTCTGTTATGGTTACTGTTCTAAAATAAGAGTATACTGTTGTCCAAAAGTTTTGCTGCCTCCGTCACAGGAAACGGTAATGAGAAGTGAAACTGGCGAGACGAGGACAAATGGATATATAGCAGACTTTTTGTTTGATGTTTGGTAAAATAAATCATTCTTAGAATATTAAAAATTCAACGGTAATTATTGCTATTGCTCAAACAATATTTGGATACTGCTTCTTCGTACAATTAATTGTTAGATAGCTATGTTACAGTAAATGTTCTAAACAAGTTAAACTGTGCAAATAAGTGTAGTGAAGCATTTTTCTGAGGGATATTATAGTAATAACAACAACATTCAAATGCTTACCACAGATGGTGTTTTGAACAATAAATGCAACTGAAATATCTTTTATGAAACCACCCCGCTTAAAAAAATACACGGATATCTGCATATTTTCCTTAACTACATATAATGTAAAATATTTTTTAGTGTCTGTTGAAAATACTTCGAAATACAATGGAAATGTGATAAATTTTAAAATTAAATTAAATTCCCAAAGAACCTTCACTTGAAATACAGAAGGTATTAAAAAAAATAACAAAGAGTATCATTGTGACCCAATTCACCTGTGATGTAACCCACGTGTTCCACATGCGCTAAAAATGCTGCTATAATCAGAATAAATTCCCTCCGTCCAATTATACGGTATATGAAAAAATATCTGTTCGAGCTTTATTTTAAATAATCTCGAAGGTACGCATTATAAAATTTTACATAAATACTACTTTAATAAATAAAAAATGGTTGATTTTTTTGGGAAATTTCTAAAAATCTCTGCTGGCTAAATCGAGCTTGGGACATTAGAAAATAAACATGTCTGGCGACAAGGCGTCAGGTATGAAGTGAATTTATTCGCTTCTGTAAGTATGCTAACGTAACCCGTAGTGATTGCTTGAATATTTAAGAAGGTTCACCGGTACTGCTGGAAAATTTCAAGTGTTAGACTTTTTTTTGTACCATTTTCCTAAACATTTATTTATATATTCATCTATAGCTACTGTATTGGATTAATTAAATGTTATGAAGAAAATGGTAACAAATTGGTATCAAATTTTTTTTCTTTACAGCCAGCAATAATATGTATAAGTTTGAAATTTTAACTGAGAACCGAATATTATTTCTCTTTAGGTATTTCTCCCCAGACAGTTTTCAATAAACCCCTAGGCTAAGTCAATACGGATTATACAAGTTTTTTCAAAGGCATATCACGTCACTAATGAAGGCATATCAATGGTGATTCAATCAATACAAAAACTTGAACAAAGTTATTTATTCGCCAGATCCCCATTCCCAATCCTCGGTTAATACGTGTGCGAAGGTTTGATTGAATTGTACAAAGCTACCTCTGTCGATGTTAATTCACGGTCTCGTTAAATACACTAAAGGAATTTTGGAAATGGCTTACATATTCGAGAATATTGAAAATTCTAACTGGATTTTTAGAAACAAATTGATTTAGGCTAAACAGATTATAATAACGTGTAAAACAGATAGTCTTTTAAAATATATATTTCAAAAATACAACCAATACCTCTGAGCGTTTAAAAATAATCAAAATTGAAATTTTAAAATAATTTATGTTCTATCCAGTGTATCTTTATCAATGTTTGTTAGGGAGACAGGCAACAATTAGCCGGCGCGCTGGGAGCAAGGTGACTCGATCAACATTGCCTTTGGCTCTATGATTATTTTTTCAACCTTTTCATTTCCGTTGAATGATTTTTCGTATAAAACTCAAGTAGCACGGTTATTTCATTGAAATACTGTTATGGTTTTTTATATTTACAATATTCTATTACCATTCTATAACCGGTTTGTTCTCGAAGAAACTAAGATGTTACAATCTCTTTGAAGGCTCAAATAAATATTTTTTTACGTTTCTTAACCTCATATCAAATCTTATAATTAATAAAAGGTTTATTTATATATTAATACTTACCAAATATTAACACTGCTCCAACCGAAACCATCGCACCTGAAAAAAAATAAAAAAACATTTTTATTCGTATTTTATATTTAAATTGAACAAAGTACGAGTACTACAAGAATATAACATTTTACTGATTGACTCGAATATCGCGTATTTGTTAAAAATATTTTCACCGTCTTTTAATTTATACAATTCAATGTTAAAAATAAATATCTCTATAATAATGCTAAAAAATTGGGTTAACATTTAAAGCATGTTTTAAAATAATAATTGAGGTCAACTTAAGATTTACATTGCATTTCTCAGGATTTCCATAGATAAATAAATATAAACTAGTAATATGTTAAGATTAACTAAGATAATGAAAAAAATACAATGCAATGTTTGTGGAAATCAATAACACTTTTAATTAATTATTCTTTAATTCAACACTAGATTTTAAATTGATCACTCATCTCTTAATTCAAAATGAATCAAAAAGCATCCAAAAATATAAGGGTATAAAGATGTGTTGTGTAAATAAAATAGTAATATAACTAGAGAACTGAACAAATAGATATTTGATCAGACGATAAAGTGACATTGAGTGATGAAACTAATGGTCTTCACGGTCGAATGTGATTGACACGTTTCTATACGAAATAAGCAGAACTAGGGAGGATAAAAGGTAAAACCTTTACATATTAAATGACTAAATATTAATAGAAAACTATTAAGAAACAATATTAAAATTTAAAAGAATACTATAGGATGAAATTCAACGAAATATATACATATGTATGTATCTAATGTTGTACGGGGTTCGGATTCGTTTGAGTCAAATGTAGCTTGATAATTAGTCTGTGGAATGTCTCTTGTAACAAGACTTTGATCTGGTTTCTGTTAATTAAGTTCTTTTTACCAGAACTTTCATTGTGTAATGTCATTTAATTAACTGTGATACGAAAGCTACAAGGTGATTAAAATTGTCTTAGACTGTCCTTGCGTATGGTAGAAGGATATGCTAATGTATATTGCTATATTTATTACTAATTTATATTATATTTCCAAAAATATTTCTTAAAAAATATATATTTTTTAATTTCAAAACGAGTCGTATGTGAAAAATGTATCAAATTTATTACTGTATAATAAAACAATTAAATATTTGTGGACTCCAATAAATTTTTCACTTATTCACATTTCGATGTTATTCGAACAATATTCCTTTTTTTATAAATTTTAGTATAAAAAAGGAGATAATAAAAACAAATTTAGAGACGTATACTATCTCGGTTCAGGCGCTGTCATAATAGCGTTTACTAATGGTGCATTTACATGTTCACCAGGCGTTTATGTAAGTCGCTGGCGTGTTTTTATTCTTCTGAACACGAGAATATAAGTGCTACACTTTGAACTATTATATGTATAGTTATACAAACGGGCTGGTTTTAATTTTATAGATCTTTGATATCTTGTAGTATGTATACAACTATTTATTCAATTTTATCTTCTTAGGTTTATAGAAGAAACCTATAAAGACGTACCTTTGCAATTATATCATAACTGTAAAGCATATATGTATCCTGTTACAAACATAACAAATATATATGTATATATATAGGAAACTTGTGTTAGTTACTGTGTTACTATTTATAACCCAAGAAAGTCTATAGGGATATAGTTGAAAATTGGTGAGGAGATAGCTTAGAACCAGGAGACGGACAAAGGATATTTAATTCTGTTCGATCGAAAAAGAAAAAATATTAATAAATTGTAATATCTGGTTATTTATGGCCTTTAGGCTGTAATGCAGTTCGCCCGGTCAGTAATACATATATTACTAATACTGATTTTAACGCGGACGAAGTCGCGGAAAAAAATAGTATAATATAAAGAACGTCATTTTCATAATTTTTGAAGCACAAAAAGATCGATATAATATACGGTATATTTAGACTTCGATTTGAAAACTCAATCAGCGTCTATTGTACATACTTAATTATATGTTTGGAGGAGACTTATTATCAATCGCCAATAAAATTGTTACGAAATATTCTCTTACATTATTAATATTTAAAATATTATTTTATTTGTGTTCATTCTGATATCAAACAGTACAATAGAAATTATCTTGCTTTTATTATTGAGAAATCATTTGAAAGTTATCATAATTTTTAATTAATTTTTCCATAAGTGATTATAATCCTTTATGAAAGTACTATAATTAAGTACTATAAACTTACACATCAATTATTATTGTTACTATTTATTAATATACTCAAGTAAAAGTTAGTATGAACGAGAAAATAATAAACATAATGCTATGTATCATTTTATAGGTTGAATATAATTACAATAATATTAAATATATTCTTTAAATTTATCAGACTTATATACAATATGTAGAGATGTAAATGGAATACGGATTGAAAAACTTTGCACTAGAAGAATATGTAAAATACAAAGGAGTTCTGCGCAGATAGATGGGTTCTGCTCATAACAGCTGACAAGATGACGTATTTCACGGCAATCTCGTATGTTTGTCCGAAATATTGCATATAAAACAATTCCACAACGAAATAGAGAGGTCGAAGCTAAAAACGTATGAGTAACAATTCTATATTACTAGATTTTTAAGTAGAAATAAGTAATCTATTCAATAATTAATAAAGTATTTTTTTATAAACATTAAACGCGCTAGGATGAGTTTTTAGACAGTCTAAAGTTTTAGGGTTAGAGAAATCAATAATAACTTTTATATAAAGTGTATAAAGAGAGGAAACTTCTCAACATTCCATGGATTAGCCATGTGGATACCGGGTCCACCGCGTTGCATTGAGAGGAGTTTTAATAGTGATTGGGACTTGCGACCCAGGTGTAGGTTAAAGGGGAAACAACACAGCGCATTTTAAAATTTGCGAATACAGAAATATGTCTGGTCTGGACGCTAACGCAAAAATATCCTACGGGATTTTATATTGGTTCTCATACGTATTCATCATTTTAGTCTAATCCGAAGCCGCTTTAAGGATATAAAATATATATTTTCATATGTATAATTTAGTTATGAAACTAGGTGTTTCGAATTTCGTTTAATATTTCGCTTCATGTAGGTGACCTATATTATTTCTCGACATAATTGACAAACCGAAAAAGTCGTTTTCGCTGAAGTGACATTAAATGTGATTTTCATTTCGGTGGTTCACATTAATGGTATTGGCTTTTAAAATGATTTAAATTTCAATGTTATTTTTTTCTTTATATATCTGTTAAAATATGTTTCATTTTCTTTTTATTTTATGTTAAGAAAATGTCATGACCATAATTAATAAAATTTAAAATAAATTTTTATTTAAAAAAAATAGTGATTCGTAGACGTATTGCCAAATATTTAAAATATAAATAATCTAATAAATATGTATACATGAACCGGTCGATACAGAAATCCTGAAAAGCGTAATGACTTTGAAGACATGAACATTTAAAAATGAAAATGAAAAAAAACACTCGCACGTATTTCTCTCCGTTGGGAACATCTGCACCGGACTTTATATTTTACTTCCTGAAATTCTGTTTGTTTTTCAAAGCGCTACTGTTAATTAAAAGCAATAACTGTGAAAGAATAAAATCGTAAATATAGGATCCCACTTAATTACTATGAAGAATTTATAATAGTAATAACTTTTTAAATTACATACGAATAGAAAAGATTTTTTATAAATGAACTATATCAAGTTAATCTTTGTATAAAAATAACATATTGAAATATTTTACTTTCAATTAAGTTAGATAAATTAATAATATTTTTAAACAAGTTGCAATTGGTTAGTAACTAATATATGAGAACACATGTTTAATTCCCGTTTCTCAATCAATAACCGATGTTTAAACAGTTATGTTGGAAGATTTATGAATAATTACTATTACCGCTCAGTATGTTGGTGAAAATAACTTAGAGTAAGCGTAGGTTTGTTGAGGTTTAAAAAACAAACAGGCCGACTTGTGAAAAATCTAAAGATCTCGAAATAATTGTTAAAAAGATATTTTTATTTATGCCACAATTCGTGAATTAGTATATTGAAAGTAACGGATAAGAATGTTCTGTTAAATATAAAAGGAAGCATCGTAACCACTCAAATTTACAATCTCATGTTTGAAATCTAGTTAAAACTGTTATATTTTATATAACATTGTATAACAACTTATGTAAAACTTCCAATAATACTAGCAAATAAATTTATCTATTGTTATGCATCTTGTAATAAAATTGTATAGAATGGGAATCAATTTATTAAAATGTTACAAAGATACGTGTTTTATTATATTTTGAATAAAATCGCATCCAGGTACTGTCTATTCTTACTTATATATATCGCATATTTAATTAATACAAATTGACTGTATTTAAAGAGAGACACGTCAACATCGCTGACGTCACTAATTTCAGTACTTTCCATGATATTTTCAAATGAAACTCCAATTCTTCCAAATATCCTGGTATTTCTTGAAGATTTCTATATTCTTCAACGGTCCGCACTCACTGAACTAAACTGTCGTGCGTCCAAAAATTCAAAAATACTTCTATTCTCCTTTTAAACAGTCTTTAATTTAATTTTACTTGTAAGAATAATTATGATTACCAATAAGTTTTCATAATAAATGATGAAACCCAGAAATTATTTTTATATTGCTCCGTCATTAATTCTGACGTCGCCGATACATATAAACAAAATTTATGGGATAATATTGCAAACAAAAGCCCTATACATACATATATATGTCTGTGTGTGTGTGTGTGTGTGTGTGTGTGTGTGTGTGTGTGTGTGTGTGTGTGTGTGCGTGTGTGGGTGTGTTTAAATTAATTTTGTCAACGTCGCAACCTGTATCTCAACGTATCCTTACCTCATATTATTATTATCGAAAGAGATTACTGGAAGGATCTATAATGAAATGAAAATCGTCATTAACAGGTTTATCTTTATAGATTCATTCTGTTTAATGACGTTGTAAATTATCTTTACTGGGTGATAATATTTAACGCCTTTATACCACAGTAGTAAAAGCGTATAGCATTTTATATCAAATTAATGTACTTTTTTAATGTTTCTTCTTTTCATTATTTGCTTATGTAAATTGATATTATATATTTTCATTATCTTCCTTCTCATTTTTAAGAATGATTATAATAATCAAAAAATATTTTCATATGTAAAATAGAAAACTCATATGAAGACAAAAATTTTCATCATACGTACTTTGTTTTTATTCAATTTATTTTCTTTTGAAATAAAGAACACTTAAAAGAATTTAGAGTCAAGTAATACTTATAAATAAATATATTTATACCATTGCTTTCCAAGCCTCATATATGTATTGTTTTCAGATTTTATTATAAGTACATAAGAGTTTACCGAATAATTTCAAAGAAAGAAAATTAATATTTAAATAAACCATAATAATGTCAATGTATAGGCCATGAAGTTTTGGAATTCAGATATTTTGTGTAAAGTCTATACAGGCATATGAAAATATAGGTAGAATGGGGTCAGTCTGGAAATATATTATATTCAAGTAAAAAAAATACTTTATTTATTCTTAGTTTGACTTCTATTCTAAATACTACTCTTATAAAGTTGGCTCTTGCTTCCATTTCTCTGAATTAATAATAATTTACTAGTAAAAATCCGACAAGTTCATAGAATCAATAATTGGAGCTTAATAAAAACAAAACATCAATGTTGAAAAATAATATAAATGATATATAAAAATTACTAACTGGTATTAAACAACTTAATGTTAAACTATTAGTTTGTCTAACATACCTTGAATGCTTCTCAAATATCCAGTTATTGTACTCGAACCTGGTTTTATAATAAGACGTTTACGTATTTACCCTTTAGATTAGAATTACTGTGATAGTTTTATTTTGTTTGTTATGAACAAAAATAAGTAGAGAGATTTTTTCGATTAACTTTTATTTTATTGATACCCTACAAAAAATTATTTATTTGTTGTGATATTTCTGTGAGTCTTGCAAAATGCGAACGTACTCGTATCTATAAGTTGATTATTAAATTTTTGTCCCTCTGTTTTTCATTCAAAAATACATATACATATGTTTGATAAGGATCAAAAATATATAAAATATTTTTTAAATGGAAGAAAACTTTTTATTGTGTTGTGACTAATGGGGAAAAATATATATATGAATCTTTTCTGTATGTTAAATATTACGCCATAGTACAAAAAAAAAGTTTGGTTTAAACGTATAAAAAGTAAAAACTTACTAAACAAATACACAACAACCTTGTAAACTTAAACAACGAACCCTTAAACATTAGAGGAAATTATTTGTTTACTTTTAACTTCTTAATTAGTTTTACAGAACTGTCACTTACCAACTTTTGAAACTTCTGTTAAAAAGGACGGCCAGCTGGTAATGAAATACACACACAAATATTCAGTTTCTAAGTATTTCAAAGGTCACGAAATTTTGTTTAAAAAGTCACAATCGGCAATAAGTCCGAGTATAAAATTGGCGCGAGTGTCGAATAGTACCGTCCGTAGCGAGTCGGATGCTGGAAGGATCGCGAGCGACTGAGCGAAGCGTCAACCGCCCGCTCTCGCCAACCTATTTTATACATACGCCTATATACCGATTTATATATTTACCCGCACTCATACATATTTAAGTTTTTTTCCCATTTCACATCGTTTATTCCTCCTGTATGTATGTATGTGTGTGTGTGTGTGTGTGTGTGTGTGTGTGATGTGCGTGTGCCGCCATTGGAACCGAACGAAACGAACGCTAGGCTCTTTTATTTACGTGTTTTTAGAAAGGGTGAAGCTTTTATACCTCTCCTTTCTAATAGTCGTTCTGTAGTTGAACGTAGTGCTCTGAATACCGGACCGTGAAATATTTCTTTTCGATTTATGAGTTCCGTTTTTTTTAGAATCATTTTTATTTGGGACGCCATTTATCTATTCCCTGACCTAATGTATATCGTAATGTTTCTTTTGTGGGAGCTGTTAATATAAAGGTAGCGTGTACATAATACGAACATTTAACCTTAATCAAATTCGTATTCAAGTATGAAATATGGTCTTTCAGAATTTAAGCAGCTGATGTGGCGGACAGATAATAAAATTAATGTTTAGCGGTCTCCTCCCAATAACTGAGTGTCATTTTAAATTAACGGCAGTTGAGGGTTAAAGCGAACGTTCGATGGCTTACCGGACCGCGCATCCATCACTATTTATTACTCGCTCCAACGAAACCTAGCATACTGGTTCTACTGAGAAACAAAATTTATGGAGCTCATATAGAATATTTGCGGACTACCTCGCTTCAAAATTTTGGTAACCAAAAATATTGGTTACGCCAAAGTATTGAATGCGTCCAAACTTTATTACGTGATGGGAAGATTAAATTCAATTTCGTGGTACAACCTGTTCTTCAGAGTTTAATAACACACGTGTAATTTATTAAAACTCGAATAATCTGTGCAGCAAAATATGATATTGATCACAAGTAAAAGAATTATAGTACATTTGTGTATCAATAATATATATTATTAAGTACTTTTTATGTACAGGTAACAGCAGACAGTTTTTTTTACAATTATTTCGTTAAAGTAAACAACAGAAAAATATTTTCTTACAAAGAGCACCTTAACTACGGGTATAATTATTATCAAGGCTGACCTAGTGCGGCCGTGGTTTTTGGACGCTAAGAAACAATGCCTTAAGAATATTCCCTATTATTCTGATAATACAATACCTGCAGTATTCTTTATAATATTTCTCAAGGAAACTTGTTTTTGTATACAATTTTATACTTTCTTTTAAGTAAAGCAACAATCAGAAATAACAAATATTAATATAAATCTATGATTTAACAAGTTTCGGCAGTGATATTTTTTGAATATTAATAATAAATAATAATTTATTAATCTCAAAGAAAAACAGGATACACTTATTTTTCCACTACTAATTAAACACTTTAATTAAGTACACAATTATTATATTATTATGTCAGTGGAAAAGTTCCTTTGTGCACTGAGCTGTAAAAAAAACTGTATTATAGGGAATTTCACATATTCCTACACAGTTTGAAATACTTTGTATCGGCAAATATATTTACATTCCTTATAATAAAGTTAAGAAAAAAATTATAAAAATAGTATTATATATTTTTTTGTTTTTTGAAAAATTCAATGTAATAAATTATATTGTTTAAGTACAACAAAATAGAAGAATATCACAAATATGATATCTTTGATAGGAGCATTGTGAAGGGTGTGTGTGTATGTGTGTTCGTGTGTGAGTGCGTGTGAGTGATGGTTATTGAATTTGGTATTTTTTTATTTTCAGTTTCCCAACAATTCAGTTTTTGCAGGTATTCAGACCAAAACCACTCTTTTTCCCTTTACTGTAGTTAGGGAATATTTCCAACCTGTTAATTATACATTCCATGCATTCCAGGACCAATGAAATCAAGCTATTTTTTAATAAAGTGTAAATTTGCATTGTGTGTGGTTAAACCGATAAGGCGTGTTCGACTTTTACTGAGCACTGGAGTATCATAAAATAGTTTACTGTGTCGTAGTAGGCTTTTAATATAAACAGTTGTTCACCAATAAAATACCACAGGTTTGATATTATAGCATATTTGGGTAGTAAATAGGATTGGTATTAACTTTGAGTAGAGTTAGACTACATAATTGAAGTCTCAGAAGCACCTCCAAAGACAGTGATGCAGTAGGTTAGGAGTCACTGATATAACAAAAAATATTTTTGGTTAGTCAATTTCGGATCATCAATGTGTCTAAGTTTATTGAAAACAAAAATTAGTTCGAGTACTCCACCGCACAGGAGTTTAATATGGTGTTTAAAGTTGAGACAGCTATCCAATATTAGACCACGGTATTTAAAAGTTTCTACACTCTGAAGTGGCTGGAAATCTAACCTGTATTTAGTTCAATAAAAGTATATACAAAAGTACAAACACATTCTTTGACTGGACCTAGACTTAAAAAGTCTAATAGGTAGTAGTTTAAATTCTAGCAAGCAATACGTTTACTCACTTATAATATTATTTTTTTAGAATTCAAGCAGTTTTAACTACTCGATAATTAAAAGTTAAGAAAAATTTCTTACTAAAGCTGTTTTAAATAAAACCTCCTTGGTTAATCCGGTGCCTATTTAACAGTTATTATTTAATTATTAAATATATAAATATAGTTATAAGTGTGTAAAAATTAAGTGCATAATAAATCAACAAAGAAAACTCTTAATGAATTCAACGTTTAAATTGTGTATAACATACCATATCTATTTCGGTTCACATTAGCATCGACGTGTTTTTTTATTTAAATTTCTAGATCCTGGAGTTCGTGTAGAGGAATTTTCGAAGTTGAATATTAATGAAAATCTACAATGAATGCGAATAAAAATTTTTGCACATGATTATGTATTCGTTAAATAAGATTGAATTTATTCTAAGGAAATCGATTTTGAATATGTTTTTTAACAGTCTAACTAGAGGGCTACAAAAATAAGTTGCTAGTAATTTAAAAGTAGATGTAAAAAGTTTTAAAAATATTTGTGTATATATAATACATTATACATATTATTAATATTAAAAGCCACTTGGAGAATTCATTTACTGATGACACTAAAACAAAATATTGTATTTATAATTTTTGTTCAAGATGAAATAGCTGGCAACTGTCTAAAATCAAATTACTCTGTTCATTGTCACGATTATTGTAACTATTATTAACAATTGAAAAACTATTGGCTGTTATATTCATTAATTAAATATTGAATTTCTCTGAACTTTAAAATTCTTCTAACTTTCGATACTATTTTTTATCCTATTGAAACAAAGTCATCTTGAAGACATCAAAAAGACCATGTTTATGGTTATGTTAAGTTTTTACTATTTTAGTAAAAAACATATTGTTCAATAAATTATATTAGTTAAAATAACTCTTGTTACATGAGACGAAACTTCTCAGCGTTCCATGGATGTGCTGTGTGGGTGCCGGGTCCATCGTTGGAGGGAGCGGAGTTTTAATAGTGCCTGAGACTTGCGACCCAGGTGTAGATTTAAGAAGAAAGTAGAAGTAATTGCAAATTTCGTATGACTGTTATATATGTGTAGAGTTTTCAACGGACTATCAATATAAAATATAAAAATCCGTATCTAAACGTAGTAAAATATTTAATAACATCATAGGACTATTCTGAGTCATGTTGATTTTCATAGTTCGTGTATTTTTGTTGCGATATCGATTGTTACTTGTATATATATATATATATATATATATATATATATATATATATATATATATATATATATATATATATATATATATATATATAGGTACACGTACTTACTGTACGTTGTAACTTATGGTACGTACGAGTATATTTCAGAAGTATCAACCAAATCGGTGGCAATGTTAGTGTGTAACACATATACAAACTTGCTTTCTTCTTTTGTAATATTGATAGGAACTATTACTAAACTAGGCAAAAAACTTTACCTTATTTAATTTTTATCACATAAATATTGAAATAATGTTAATTATGAGAAGACCAATAATTATAGAAATCAATGTTAGTCGTATATCTTTTTTTCACAATGAGAACTAATTGATTAAATCATGTAGATTTAAATGTATGAAATTTTTCAACTCATTTCTGATAACTTTATCAAAATAAAAATGATAACTTTATCAAAATAAAAATTGAATGAAAACAAGTAATTCTTCTTTTTAGTAAAAACTCCGACATTCTTGAAAGCCGGGTGGTTAAGAATAATTAAGAAGTAGTTTGCGAGTCAAATTTAATTTTAAAATTAAAGATTGTTTTGTGTTTTACTATAAAAATCCAAAGTCTAATTATTTTTCTTGCTTACTAACGAACACTTATTATTATAAGAGTGAGCGAGAGTTGTTTTATTTTTATTTTTTGAACACAGTATAGTCTTGGGTAAATATCCTCAAAATTAAAACATCATGCCTGAATTTTAAATGAAACGTATTTGGAGGAAGAAAATACAGATGAAGTTACTTTTCAGGCCAACCACTTCTAAATTGATAGGTACATGTATGTACATAATTTACTCAAATTCTAAAAAAAATCTATATTATTTTGGTACTATCGAAAGAAAATGTGATTAAGAGGTCAGGAATAAAAATTACATTAACACAAGTTTTATATTTTGACTTTGACAAATTTTAATCAATTCTCTCACATAGAAGTTTCTTTTATCAAAGAATGTGTGTCTCGCTGTAGTAAAAGTGCTTTTAGATTTTAATCTTAAACTATAAAATAAATCTATATCATATATATCAATGAAACCATAACAAAAAAATTGCTAAAAGATATTCCATATATATACATTTTTTGTTTTAAAAAATCACGACTACATGTAATTACAATAGCTTTTATTTTAACGACAAATGCAGCCGCGCTTCAAACGACGCCTTTTGTTAGGTTAAAACTACGGCTTTGCAGTTTTAATTCTTTTAAATTAATGGAAGCTTTAAATGGAGAATGGTTTCGTGAAAAATATCTGGTTCAGGAACATTTTATAATGTATATAACAATTACTTGTCATTATGTAGTCTTA